TGGTGGGTGAGGACCGGGGCGGCGTGGCCTTGCTCATCATCACCGCTCACGAGACACTGAGCAATAACTAATGATCTATAAACAAAAGCTTCAACGCACAGGGGCAATTAATTATTTGCAGAAGCCTGCTGGTGGATTCTGTAAAGGCTCAGCTCCCCCAGATTTAATCGTCGGATGAACCCCTGTGCTCCAGCAGGTGGGTGGTAGGTGAAGCACTTGGAGGGCTCGCAGCCGGCGAACCTTTCAGCCAGGGAGGAGCCCATCCCTGCGAGCGCGGACAAACGCCCCCACCTCGGCATCGGCTGTCCTGCTGAGGGTCGTGAGTATAGGATTAGCAGAGCAGCTAGGGGGTGCAGCTTCAGGGACGAGAGGACACAATCCCGTGAAAACACACATGGCACCTAATGGCGCTCAGTAGACGTTCGCTCTCCTTAAGATCTGGAAAGGAAACCTGAAATTCTGGAGGATCTAGGATCACCAGCCCCTCCACGCACCGCACCCGGCTCACCTTGTTCGCACAGTCCCAGTGGGGTCATCCCCACGAAATGCACACGGGAGCCAAGCCCGAGCAGCGACAGGTCAGCGTCCCACTGCTGAGTGGGCAGGGCTGGCACCTGATCCTCACGTGTCTGATTATCAAGCCCCGTCTCACCTGACCCCACAGCTGGGGCAGGAAACCCCTAAAGGAAAGAGGCATCGAATTCCCAGGCCTGAGGCCAGGAACATATAAGAAGAATCACCCCAGAGATCCTCTTGCTGAAGAATTAACTAGAGCAGACAAAGCCAGCCCTTCTCCTTGTGGGAGAGCCCATGTGCCTTTCATCGGTCTTTCATCCCCCAGAGTTCCCCTGATGACCCCAAGACACAATCCCTGGGCCTCCAGGCCTTTGAGGTGAGGTGGGGGGTGGGGAACAGGGGAGCCATTGTTCTCTGATTAGAGCCTGGGTCTCCTCTGAGGCACAAGATGGGCCTCTTAATATGGGGCCTCACCTGCTCCAAGTCATAGCATTATTATGTCCTCCTCCCCTCAGAGGCCTCCCACCTGCCAACCTGCACAAAAGGCGGTCCTCTCTGTGTGAGGAGGGGGAGGGGGTCACGTGACTAAGGGTCTTCCCTTGGGGTATAAAGGCTCATTCACCATCTTGTTCACAGCTGAGCATCGTTCATCCACCTGCTTCCAAGTGGGACCTTCACGGTAGGCACCCCCTTTCTCCTGATGGGTAGGGAGCCAAAGAGGGCAGGAGTGAGGGAAGGAGGGAGGGAGGGAGGGAAGGATGGAGGGATGAAGAAAGGAAGCTACGGATGGCAGAAGAGAGGGAGGGAGGAGGGTGCCTGAGGCCTGGGTGCTAGCTAGTCCGGGATGGACGTATGAGGAGATGCGATGCCAAAGGGACATCACCTGTTCAATGTACCTGGGGGAAAATCCACTACATCACATCAGTGAGGGTCCTGCAAACCTGTGTGAGCCAATGTCTCTCCCTAGGGCACCTCATATGAAAATACAGTAATCATCAGTTAATGGGCCAGCCTTCCCGAGCACTTACTACATGCCAGGCACGGTGCCCCCTTTAACCCTCATGACACCATGATGAAGAACCATCATCTGGGCATTTTACTGCCCAGGAAAATGAGTTCCAAATAGCTTTGGTACCTGGCTCAGGGTACTCAGTACGTAAAAGGCCAAGCCCACCCCGGGCCCGTCCGCTAGAAAGCCCTTTTGCTCTTAGGCACTTCCCACGCTGCCTCGCAGTCACTCGTCAGGAGACAGCTTGCCCAGCCAGGACCCCAGATAGTGCCTGCAGACCAAGGCAAGGTGCGGGGGCCCTCATTTCCTCAAGGACAGTCAGGTTCACTGTTAGCCCCGGAGGCCTCCTTGGGTCAGTTAAGAGGAGGTGGTCCTTCCTGCAGGTGGACAGAGCCCGACAGCCAAGGGCACCTGGCGTGGTCCACAGACAGCTGCTGGATTTCAGCAGCGGCCGGTGCCCTCCCACCTGGAGACCCTAGTGTGCCTGCCCCGCTGGGCTTGTACCACCATTTCCGGCTGGCATACACACCTCCCTCTCGTGGCGCTCAGCTGGGGATTGTCAACTGCCGCGTCCCACCACACCCCAGCCAGGGGCTGGCCACTTGGAGGGGCCTCCCTAGCAAACGTTACCAAAAATCATGAGAGTTGAACAGTGAATGATGGCTAGGCTGCTTGTTGGGGGTTTAATGCTCAGGATGGCCATTTCGGGCGGGTACCATACGTGGCCCGAAGACCTACATCGGACCGGCCGGCTCAGTCTGAGCTCTGCGCCCGGGGCTGCCCTGGCCCTCCTGGACCTCTCTGAGCCTCAGTTCCCCGCACGGAAAGCGAGAGGTGTGCCAGTGAGAGTCCTGACGAGGCAGTCTAAGATGCGTGCTTAGTGGTGCACCCGACATAAAGAATGACCCTGCAAATGCAAGGCAGGGTTTAAAGGCAGAAAGTCCTAGAGTGTATAAATTACATTGCTTTTAAGTGTGGTAAAATATACATACCATAAAATTTACCCTTTGAACTATTTTTAAGTGGGCAGTTCCATAGCATTAAGTATATTCATGTTGTGGTACCACCACCACCATCCATCTCCAAAACCTCTCGTCTTCCCAACTGAAGCTCTGTCCCCATTCAACAATGACCCCCATCCTCCCTCCCCGTAACCTACTTTAAACAAATACATCAGAGCTGAGTCACGACTTTGTCTGTAACAGGGTCACTTTTGCTCATTTGCCTTCTAAGAAATACATGCTTGAAAATCCAATCAACATATTTGCAATTCTGACAAGCGTCACCCTAGCGTCTTCTGGATGCGTCAGGACAGCCCGGGGGACTGCCTCCCTGAAATGAGTGTCCCAGGAGCAAAAGAACAGCATCCACTGCATGAAACTGAGCACCCTCCTTCATTTCACCAGACAGAGGCTTCCGCTCAATCAGGGAATGGGGGCCTTTATTGTAACAGCTGGTCTTTCTGGAGCCTTTACTGCATGCTAGACTCAGTGGCTATAATTGGGAATGTTTCCAAGCCGCTTCTCTCCATCACGCAGTGTGGTCAGTGCCCTGGGTGGAGGAGCTCATTCAGTCCTTACAACAGCCTCGGAAGCAGTACTGTTATAATGAGCTCTGGACATTTGGGAAGTGGGACACTCGGACCATAAATCGCCAGTCTCTAAGGCTCAGTGAACTCATTTGTAAAATGAGTTTGAACAAGATGGTTCCAGCGCTTTCTCAGAGCTCCGGCATCCTAGCGTTCTCTCATGGCATGCTGGCGACAATAGCAAATAGGACTTAGTGAGTGCCAGGTGGTGACATGGGCATGACCTCAGTGGGTGTGACCCGCTGGAATGCCTTCAGCCGTTCACCCATGGAGTTGCCAGGGCAGCCCCTCTCCATCTGGAGACGTCCCAGGGCTCACCCGGCATTTTCAGTCTGGTTTCATGGCCTTGATCAAGGGTCATTCGGATCCAAATCTCTGCAGAACAATCAGAGAGCCCGTCTAACCTTTAACATGAACCTGCTGTAGGAATTGATGTGGCTACCAAAGGTTAAAGCAGAGCATCATGCCCATCAGATAATAGCCAGAGTATGAGAAGATGATTGAGCCAAGTGAGAATCTCCGAGAACTCACGTTCTGCCCTCCGCACCCATTCAACAAACGTTTACTTTATGGCCACCAGAGGCTGGGCTAGGCCCTGGGGAAGGTTCACAGGGTAGTGATCCTACAACCTACAAATGTCTTCTCCTCTGGGACACTTTCCCCAATATCAACCCCTGCCCACAAGTCAGAGTGGCCCACCATGACCCTGGGACATTTGCCAGAACATGGGGCAGCATTTGCCTCTGGGAGAACAAACTACAGAAAGTGTTCCTTCTTCCAGGCTGATGCAGCCCTGCAGAGAACAAGCTTGGGAGTGGAGCACTGGTTACATTTCAGCCCTTACGTGCCCCTCAGTGCCACAACTTTGCACAGTGCACAACATACACAACCGTATCCAGCAGCCCTGTGTGCCCCCTGGGGTAGCAGGATCACACTGTATTATCATTCACACTTGGTTCTCAAAACCTGCTTTACGGCAGAATATGCACAAGTCAACCATCCATCTGACAGTCTTTATGGAGTTATATTCCCAGGGAGCTAAGATTTTATTCTAAAATCCCTCTGGTCTTTAATGTTTTTCCTTCTTTATTAAATACATGGTTGACCTGCTTGAGTGCACTAAGTGCCTACCGAAGTTAAATATTTGCTGAGCGGCTCAGAATGCAGGGCAGTGACGATTGAAAGGCGGTAGGTCCTTGGACCGTGCCCCCCAGTCCCGAAAGCCATTATCTCTTGAACGCCTGGACTGCAACGAAGTATTCAAATTGCTCTGAAGCTACAGGAAGGGAAGGATGATGGAGTTTGCTAGCAGGCAGCGCCACCATGCGGTCGCCAGATTTATTCCTGGGTCAAGTGATGGTAGGATAGTTCCAAAGTGAGACTGCTAAAGGTGTATTCGGAAGGCTGCTGTAGCCCAATGTATGGGTTTTTTACAGTTCGGTCTACAAAAGTCAAACTATTGCACTCATTCAACTGCCTCCTAGTTCATTAGTCTGTGAACTAGTCACAGATAAGGAGTGCTTTTCCCTCACTGTGCATTCCCGCATCCTTGCAATGTGCCCGAAACACAATAAATGACCGTGGGAAAATGAATAACCAGATCTGTGTCCTCAAGGGGCACCTGGTTGAGTTTCCACTTTGCAGATGAATCTCGGAGAGAGAACGTGATCTCCTGAATGTCGTTAGTTAATGCTGGTCAGTGGCAAAGCTGGGACAGAAACCCTTTCAGGGCTTCTTCCTGTTTCTGCACTCCACCCTGGGATGAAGAGCTCTGGTGGTTCTTATTTCCCGGGATCTCTGAAAACATCCTCATCATATTCCGCTGACTTCTCTCCCAGGAGGCTCTTCCAGTTGATGCCTCAGCCCCGCAGCCTTTGCCCTCCCGCTATGATCCTGCTTCTCCTCCTAAGTATGCTGATGGCCCCGCATGGTGGTGAGTAATGATATTTTACACTGCATTTCTGGCTTGGTCCATAATTAATATGAACACTGGGGAGGACTGTCAAATGTCATCTGATTTGCTTATTACTACTTTTATCCCCTTGCCTAGGAGTGATGGAAATCAAACAGTAACGATAAGCTATGGGTTTAGTTCAGCTGATATTTTAAGCACCCTATCCAGGGCATGAAGCATGGGATGGGCGATGAGGTGGACGTCCAGGCAGAGCCAAAGGCACTAAAAGCACCACTGGGTGGCCTGTTGGCAACCATCCCTCCCCCTGATAGCGCATCCCCTCTTCCCTTTGCCCATGGACCTCTGTCCCGTGTTTCGCTGGTTTCCTCGGAGTGAGTGTGTCAGCCTTCTTGACATGCAGCAGCTCCCTTTCCCCTGTGCCGGTGTGTCTGGCGGAGAGGCAAACACTTCTACCCCACATTGTAGGGTCTCCACCCCACCGAAGCCTGAAGACACCTGAGCGAGCTCCTTGGCAGGCAGGGTCGTCATTTTGAGTTTGCATGGAGTCTTGGCTACAAATCTGAGACTTCTGGCTCCTTCCTAATTTCTTTCTTGTTTGCACATTGGTGCAACTCTCAAACAGCCCAACTCACTTCTTTCCTTCCTACAGCTGCTTAGGCTCCATCGTGACTGATATCACCCACTTATCCAGACATTTTCTCCTTTCCTCCTCCTGTTCGGGTCCACACAGCACCAACACGCTGAGCCTCCTTCTACGGTTCCTTTCTAAGCACAATAGTGAGGGTGAGCCACAGTGAATCCACCAATATTGTTGACAATTTATCGTGACTCTGACCTGAGTTAGTGGATTTGCCGAGGTTTACATGTTCCCCAGAAGCCTGTGAGCAGAAATGACAGCACTTCACAGAAGACGCCAAGCCTTTTCTTCAGGCCCCAGTGCTCCCAAACACCATCCCAGACCTTCCCTGCAGGACAGGTGGACACCCACTTGCAGGAGGTGCTGGTTTTCTCTTGATTATTGAGTTCCTTCATGGATGATTTTTTTCCTCATCTAAACCATTTTGCTGTGACGTGGCTTCCCAGGGATAGCGTCGCTGGGCTGGTTGCCGGGGCTCCGCCTTTACCAAGACCTCAACCGTCTCGATCAAATTCCAACTGTGGTCTTGACTTGTCTCGTCTTTGATGATGAAACTGTGAAATAGTCTACAGCTTTTCAATTTCTTCCCTATTCTTTAAAATGAGATCTTGGGCACCTGGGTGGCTCAGTCGATGAAGTGTCTGCTTTCGTCTCAGGTCACGATCCCAGGGTCCTGGGATCGAGCCCCGTGCCTGGCTCCCTGCTCAGCGGGGAGCCTGCTTCTCCCTCTCCTCTCTGTTCGTTCTCTCTCTGTCTCTCTCTCTCAAATAAATAAAATCTTTAAAATAAAATGAGGTCTCACCCCCCAAAGCCCATTCTTCTAATTTTTCAAACTTACTCTCTTCTCTAACTGACCTTTTCCTTTTCCAAAACAATAAATTTCCCTGTGATTGAAATTACCCCTTCAACAACCCCCAGACACCTTTTACACATCTCTTTAAATGTTTTATTTCTCTATAAGGCTGAGGCAATGGTCTCCTGTTATTGTAAACTGTCACAAGCATTTAGGCATCTGTCCTGGGAGGTTTTATTCTCAGACACAAACAGCGAGAGTCCAAAAATTATAGCCATAGAAAGTTTAGGTGCAAGCATATGCATGTCCGTGAGGATTTAAATGTGCCATACCTGCAGCCCCAACTTTGCAGGGCTAAGTGGGTGACTCCCACAGAGATAACACTGCCCACCCAACAAACACACCACATCTTGGTCCAGGCACTACAGGGAGGCAATGAGACAGCAACCAGGAAGGGGGAGAGATCAGATGCTGCGCCAGTGAAGGTGGAGCATCCATGATCACTGCTGGATCTGAGGAGCCCTTGGCAAGGCCACCAGGGAGGAGTCCATCAGAAGAGTCCCATGTACCCCAGGACCTGGGTGGTCCATGGTGTTACACCCACTGAGCCAGTGCAAACCCTGCCTGGGCCTTCAGAGCACCCCGCTTGCAGAACTGGAGCTCTGCCAGGCACCTTCTCGCAGCTGTGCCCCCCACTACTGACTCAGATTTCAAGGCAAGGTTGGGCGTGTTGACAATGCGGAGGGTCTCTGTGCCCTACCAGGCCTCCCTCTGGGATGTTTCTCTGTCCCTGTGGCAGGAGTGGGAGCAGCCTCTTTGTTCGCCTCCCTAGCACACCCAGGGCAGGGGCTGCCCTCCCTCCTCTCTTCACTGAGAGTTGGCTCATGACTTCAAAGGGCAGACGTTTGCCGGTGGGATGGTGGTCAGGTCTGTCAGGAGAGGGAGATCTCCTTGGACCTTCCACCTACACCACATGCTCCCTTCATTGGAGAGCTCTCCACCAGCCCACATCACACAGCGAAACTGGTTCTTACTCCCCGTTCTCTGCATGTCCATCTTCCAGAACCTCTGGGAACAGGGGCCGGACAAAGGTGGGTTTTGTACATCCCTGGTTGATCTTCTGGGTAGAATACTTCATAATATGAAACACCACTCGTAACCACCAATAGACTGCATCTTTCCACTCTCTCGAGATGACATCTAATTTTGCTTAAACTTTACAAGGCTAGGACGCTATGATTCTAGTGGGCCATCACTCACTGGCTGAGAAATTGGCCATTTGATGGCGTAGTTCAACCACTATGTGCACATTTGTTCATTAAAGAGCTATCTACTGAACGTGTGCTTTAATGTGTCAGCGTTCTGACCCTCAGTACGTTCCTAATTTAGTGGGGGAAACGGTCACATAAACAGATCATTGCAACATAGGGTCATAAGTGCAGTGAGAGAAGGATGTGCCCACATTACGGGAGCCAGGGAAGGTATCCCTACGCCAGCCCATGTTGGGGTTTTGGTAGGACTTCTCGAACTTTGCATGGAATCCGAAAACGTAAGTCAGTAACGCAAAAGGGAGCAGGTCATGGCTCAGGGCACGGCACAAGCCAAGCCAGGATGGCAAGAAGTAGTTTGGTGTCTGGAAAATGATAAGCATCCCAGAAGCATGGGATTCAAAGAGGGAGATGGTTTGGCAGAGCTAGGCAGGGGCAGATGGAGGGAAGCCTTAGGTTCCAGGGCAGAAGAAGCTAGAGCTTCCTCCATGGGCCCCGACTTCACTGTTGATAAAGTGGCAATGGCAAAACGTGCCCCACAGCACTGGGCAAAGCACTGGATTTGAGGGGATGCCTGCAAAACTGAGCCTGGAACGGGACGAATGCTAGCTTCCTTCCCCTAGAGCAGCACTCCCATGGAACCAGAACTCTCCCATCCCCAAGGACCTGCCTCCCCTCTGGATTTTGTGAGCGAGCCAACTCAGTCCTCTGGGATCAGTAATTTCAAATCCAGGGTGCTTCTTTTGTTGCTAATGAAATGTGTGGGTGTCAACACCCTGAGAGTACGTAGGGGTGGGAGTAGGGGGCATGCATCCTTCTTAGCTGTTTCTCAGTGAGCAGACCACCTCCACCTGCCAGGACGCCAAGGAGATACCAGAGAAGTAATTATCGAGGACCAGGGGCTATTTCACAGTTGCTGCCTGAGTAGGCAGCAGATATTCTTAGCTGTTGGCTGGTATGCTAATTAAATCATTTCTGAGGCAATTACACCAAATATGGAATGCACCAGAGCAATTACGTGGGCTCTATGATAGGGCTCACCTGGAGCTGAAGGAAGTCCTGGGTCTCCCCACCTTCTGAACATCTGCAGGGCACTTCCCTGCGCAGCCCATGGCTCTTGGGCCAGTGGGAATGTCCCTCAGTGGGACCATCCCTCTGTGTTTAATGGTGAGAAATCCAGAGGACCAGAGAGGTTGCTCCTGCCCACAGCCACAGAGCACATCCAGCTGGGAGGGAGGCTGGTGCTGGGCGGACTTCGTCATGTGGACGGGCTAGGGTACGGTGCATAGGAGGGCGGCTGCCTCCCCCCAACCCATCCCTGGAGGGCCCGACAGCAGAGGGTCTGGGGGCTGCCTGGACCCAGGGCGAGCCCACAGGGTTTGTAGATTGGAGACTGCTCTCCTGCAGACAGCACCTGCTAAAGACGTCTGTGCCCCTGAGATAAGTCCATGGTGTTGATGAGGTGGATGAAGAGGTGAGGTCCAAGCAATGCAAACCATTTGTTAGTGTGGAGGGGACAGGGGGCAGTGAGTGGAAGAAGTTGGTAGTAATAGTCATAATAATGATGAATGGCTGGGGTAACATTTTCGTGTCCTCAGCACACCTCTCAGCGCTACTTAATCCACTCTTGACACACTTCTTTGATCCATGATGTCAGATCTTTTTTTAAGATTTTATTTATTTATTTGAGAGAGAGAGAAAGAGAGAGAGCATGAGCAGGGGGGAGGGGCAAAGGGAGAGGGAGAAGCAGACTCCCCATTGAGCAGAGAGCCCTACAAGGGGTTCGATCCCAGGACCCTAGGACCAAGAACTGAGCAGAAGGCAGACGCTTAACCCACTGAGCCACGCAGGCGCCCCCATGCGGTCAGATCTTGCAGGCTCAAGTTCATCTGATATCACAGCATTGCTCCAGCCCCTCTCGATTCCCTGCAGATCCCCTGCTTCATACTGAGCGCTCAAGGCCCCTGGGGACATAGCCCAGCCTAGTGACCAAGTATGGGAAAGGGCCAAGTCCCACTGGCTCCCTGCCCAAATATTTCACACAATTCAAAACTTGCATCCTCTCACCATGTCTCCACTGTGGATAAATGAAGGGTAGGGGGCTGAGTCTCAGCATGCATGGATCCCTAACAGCTGTTGATCATTTTGTGTGCTGATAGTGTGGGAAAGCCCTGTCCTTGATGATAAGCTCTCTGGGGGTTGGGGGGGCCTCTCCTTGTCCACACTTATTTCCGCCTATCTTTCATCTTAAGGCACTCCAAACATGCAATCTAAATTAAAATGGTTTGCTTCCTATGCAACAACAGGTTCAAGATGAGTTCCCAAATCTCTCTATCTTCCACCAGAAGGCTACTCTTAAGGCCAACCCATCTGAAACACTGGGACCACCTTATTTTCATCAGAGACCCAGCACACAGCAGGTTCTAGAAAAAAATACATAGAATTGAATTTATCTGCATCCCCTTCCCTCCTGGCTGCCCCTCCCAGCAAGTGGAAGTGCTCCTACTAACCCTTCTCTCCTCCTTGATTATAGGGGGCCATCCTCTGGACACCCCACACCTTCCACAGGAGCTGCCTCCGGGACTCTCAAAAAATATCAGTAAGGATTTTTGAACTTTTCTTAGGCGACCTCACCAGGTAGAAAGTTGTCTAGGATATTGGCAGGGAGAATGACCCCTTCTGAATATACCACTCACTGCTGGGGCTCTTGTAGGCAAAGCGATTCAAATAAGACTCAAAAGCCTCCCCCTCCGCAGTCTCCCCTCAGTCTGACCCACCTCTGCTCTCTCCTTGGAGACAAAATATTACAACTTCCATCAAATGAAGGTTAGCTGAAAAGGGAACAGGGGATGGAAATAAATGGGCTGATCGTGAGGGTTATATGGTCACAATATTTCAGCTTCAAATTGAGCTCTGAGCCTTCTAGAAGGTAAGACAAAAAGAGAAAGAAAAGGTATTCCAGAGCTCTACCGATAAGAAAAGAGGACCCGTAATTGTTCCTTTGGGAAGGGGAGGTTTTCCTGGTGATAGATTGTGAAGATTTCTCAGGTGGGTTCCTAGATGGGTACTGCTGAAGACCATGATGCATAGTGAACCATCTGGTCACGTTGGCCCAGAATTTAAGATTCATTTCCCACCTTGCAGAGAGGTGAGCTGAGTCACCAAGTTCTTTGTGCATGAGCCCATGCAAACAAAGTGATCAGTCCCACCCAGACCCAGATGACCATCTGACCTCTCTCAAAATGCCATCACCCCCATGGGAAGGGCAATGCCCAGGCCAAAGAGAACTTCTAGTAGATGTTAAGACTCACAGGCCACACTTGGCACTTGGAAGGATCAAGGCCAGGAAGCCCTGTGCGCCATCAGGCCATGCCAGTCATTCCTTTTCAAGGAGAGTAGCCCCGGGGGTGATCCCCACATCTCCCTGGAGCCCCCAGGGAGCAGCTCAGGTACAAGGGAATGGGACTCACATGAAGCAGCCACAGGACCTGCCCTGGCCTAGAAGCTTCAGTCTGCATTAGAACTAGTATCTCTAGTAACAGTTCCATAGGTATAATTTCCGGGATGCCCAGAAAAAACATGCTTCAGTTGCAAGAGTTATCACACTGAGGGAGCCCCCAGACAATGACTTCCCACCAGGGATTTATAGTTCACCCATGGTCCTTGCCAAGTCCAGATACACCTTATCATCCAGGGTCTTTTGTACCACCGAGCAATGTTGCCTGGTAACACAGTTCCTGTCTCATCTTCTTGGGTCTCCATGGTAACCCGTGTTACTAGAAAGTTAGTCCAAGGTCAAATCTATCCTTAGAGAAAGAGAAAGGGTTTTGCTTACTCTTCACAGGGGTGGGGCAGGGCGAGGAGGCAGGGCAGGGGAAGGGGAGAAACCAGAGCTCTCTGATTTGTTTTCTCTACCTTCCACTTAGATATCACATCCTTCCCTGGGGTGTTTAAAAATGTCGAAAGTGTCGCCGACATTTTTGGTAAGTTAAATGCCAAGGTGCTTCTATCCACCAGGTGTCAGGGCATGGGGTGAGTGTGGGAACTCTAAGCAAACTACTGGGCCTGGGGCTCCCCTGCTCCCACCACCCCAGCAAGCTCTGAGCTGTGTGATCCAGAGAGTAGTGGTGTCTTTTACTGCAAGATGAGTCACCAAGCTGCCAGGCGCCTTCATAGTCCTTACTTCCTTAGTCCTGACCACACCTGGCCAGGAAGGGAAAGGTACCCCTGTTGCACAGGGGAGGAACTGAGGGGAGTTATGTGACATGCCAAGAAGGAGGGAGCTCTCTTCTGTGTCCAGAGCTGAGTGCCCTCCACCAAAGTTGTTGGATTTTCTCTCCCCAACTACTAAATATACATGATAAAATATACATACATAAAGCCTAAGAATCCCAAAGATTGTCAAGTATTCCATTTCTCAATTAGGTATCTATCTTGTGACCAGTGATTGCCAGGCACCATGATGGTTCCCATCATTGTTTTCTAGAAGTAGCCCCCAAATAAGGCTATCACAGGATTGACAGAAGCAAGGAGCGCTGAACTGCTCTTGGATTAGACCATGCTTGCCAGAGGACGGCACTGAAAATATGTAGGTGACTAAGTGTGGGTGCCCCATATGTTTTTGAGTGAAAATGAATATTTATATAAACACACACAAGCCTTAGAGTGTCTTTTTCCTTCAGTACAGAATTATTTCTTCATTTTTCTGATTAGGCTATGTGGAAACAAAACACGGGAAAGGAAGTTTGAATGGGGTAGGAAAAACTAGAATAGTCTGGGTGAAACTAGTCCTCGCAGACCACTCTTTGACCTCCCCAAGCTTCCCTGTGGGTGACCCTGTGCATTAGAATCAGGGCTGTGGGGTCACCCTGTTAGCATTTAACAGTCCTCTGATCAGACGGGTGGAGAAAGGGGAGGGTGAGCATGCTTAAAGTAAAAATCAAAAACAAAACAAAACAAAAACTGGAAATCGTTCTCTTGCCAATTTTGTTTACAGGAGCATTCTTGTTTAGGGCAAATCATTACCACTGGTTGATACCTCAGGCAGATCTCTGACCTTCAGTTCCTTTATCTGTGAAATAGAAGTGACAGAATAGCGTCTGCCCTGCAGGATTAACATGAAGTTTATGCGGTGATGGACCAAGTGAATGCTTTCTAAAGTGTGACTCACTAGCAAGCTTAACCATTATTCTATTTTAAGCATCTAGCACAATTTCTGGCACATAGTAGGCGCCCCAAATTATTAGTGTCTATATCCCTTCTCTTCCTGCACTGGATTACAGTTCCCCAGTGCTGGGACTGTATCATTTGGAATCCATTCAGCAGACTCATAGTGACTTAAATAACAAAGACATTTAATTATCTCACCAAAGCTGAAAGCACCAGGATTGGTGCAAGAGCTTAGCACAGGTATCAGTGACCCAGCAGCTTCATTCTCTCCCCGCTGCTATAACTAAGCTTACTGGCTCTTCAACTTTAGACTTCAGGCCTCATGGTGGCCAAGTGGTTGCTGTAGTCCTGGCCAGCATATTCTTACCCATATTTAAGGAAGGAGAAAAGTGTAGATCAAAAGGATCTCTTTACATGCCTGCATTCTCTTTTTTTTTTTTTTTTTTAAGATTTTATTTATTTATTTGGTAGAGAGAGGCAGCGAGAGAGGGAACACAAGCAGGGGGAGTGGGAGAGGGAGAAGCAGACTTCCCGCGGAGCAGGGAGCCTGATGCGGGGCTCGATACCAGGACCCTGGGATCATGACCTGAGCCGAAGGCAGACGCTTAACAACTGAGACACCCAGGCGTCCCTACATGCCTGCATTCTTTATTATGAAAGAAATAATTCCCAAAAACCTCTAACAGACTTCCCCTTAAGTGTTTCTGGCCAGATCTGGATCACGTGCTCAGTCCCAGGCCACTCACTGTCATGGAACCTGGGATTAGCATGACCAGCTGAGAATGAGCAAGTGTCAAACGTCCACAGGGACTTAGGGAGGAGGCTCACCTCCCCTGAGTCCCTTTCAGCTTTGTTGGTAAGGGAGAAGGATTAAATGACTGTTTGTTAGGGGGACAACCAACAGGGGCCATGGCTTATAAACCCACCTCCCTTCAATTGTTCAGAACAGTTGTGAGTATACAGTAGGGGCTTATTGGTTGCTGAGGTGTGGGAAGTCCCAGGCACAGGTGCTCCTTCCTTGACCCTGGTTCCCAGTCCCCTCCCCGCTGTCCTCTCCCCGCAGACTGCCTGGGCTCCCGCTTCACCTGGCTGCAGGCTGTCTTCACCAGCTTCCCTGAGCTGCTCCAGTTCGTGAGTGGTATGAAGTGTGTGGCCAGTCTCTGCCCCCGGGACTTCGAGGACTACGGCTGTGCCTGCAGGTTTGAGATGGAGGGGCCGCCTGTGGACGAGTCTGACAGGTGAGCCACACCCACAGGTGAGCTGTCAGAGGCCTGGCTGGTACCTGGGCAGAGCACAGATGTGGAGAGCTTTCTTGTCTTGTCTTGATTCTCCTTACCTGTGGGGTGACTGGCTGCCTCGCCTTTAAACTGTCACGTATTCTGTGATTGTCTCACATCCTGGGGAGTTGTCAAGATCCCATATGTGTCTGATATGCAGAATTTCCGTGTAGTGTTTCTCCAAGTTGGGTCTTCAGGTATCAGAACTACCTGGATGCTTGCTAAAATGTAGATTCCAGGGACCCACCCCAGACCTACTGACTCAGACCACCTTTAGCTAGACCCCGAAGTCTGAATTTCAAACAAGCTCCCGGGTGACTCTTAAAACATAAGAAAATTATTCTTTATTCAGACAGTCCTGGCCACCAGGGGTAAAGCAACTATGAAGATTTCTGTTTAATTTTCCACAAACGTGCTCCAATAACATTTGAACACTGTGCTTAATATAAGCAGAATACTATCCCTGCCTCAAAGAGCTAAACAGCTAGTGGGGAATAGAGAGAAGGTATGAGGAGTCGGTAAAGATACGTGCCCTCCCTGCACACAGGGAGGGAAATTAACACAAGATATCCGCTTTTACACATCAGACTGGCAATAAAATCTAAAATCTGAGAAGCATCGAGTGTCAGCAAGGATCTGATAAACAGATACTGACACTGGGAGGGGCAGTTGGGAAAATTGGGTAGACTCTGTGTGTCAAGGCGTGCAACCCGTGACCCTGTAATTCCGGCTCTCTGCTCCTTACGGATGGCGTGACCCCTGGGCGAGGTACGTCATTTCTTTGTGTTCCAGTTTCTTCCTCTGTAAAATGGAGGAAGTAATAATACCTTCTTTATAGGATTATTATTTAGGATTAAATGACCAAGTACACAGTACGGTGACTGGGGCTCTCCCTGGCTCATTGAGTTTACTTACTGAGAGTATTAGTGATTGGTTGCAACGGTAACGGGAATGGTAGGGTGATGCCAGGGGTAGTAACAGTACTAGCAATACTAGTAATCTCAGTAACTGCAGCCACAGCGACAGCAACAGCACCAGCGGGAGGAAAGCAGGAAACGGAGCCCACGTGTCTCCCCGTACTCCGGGATCCATGGCCCTACCTCCCTGGCGTGGTACTTGTGCCCGAAGCCGGTGTGATGGAGTGTGCGCTCTCATAATCCTGGGAAGGACAGCCCATTGTCTGCCCTGGCATTTCTCCACGAGGACGCCCTCTTCGGACGCCTTGCCCACAAGGCGCCAGGGTAACCTCCATGCTCCTCAAACACCGGCCACAGGGGACAGCGCATGGCCACGGCCTCCTGCTCCACCCAGTGTCCTCTAAGGGGGGCCTGCACCGTGTTATTTCTTGGCACCCTCAGCATGGACCACAGCACGGGGTAAATTAACTCACACCAGGCAGTCAACCCCCAACTGCTTTTCAAGTTAATTAGTTAATTAAATAAAAAGGGAGATATCCTTGATTGATCAGGGATAATGGCTTTGGAGTCAAGCGATAGATCTCTCCCCTTTCCACATCTCCAAGGGAAGGTGTAAGTTGCCTCTGGATAAGAAGGGTATTTCCCATCTTTGGGACCATGAGCAAACTGCCTCCCGGCACTCAGCTCGTTGACGTTCAGGAAGAGAGAGTGGGATCCTGAATGCAGCAGAGCGTCAGGATGGTTTCTGGGAATTTGTTACCTTTCGGGTCCTCCCTTACCACTTCCTCTAATTATTAGAATACCTTGTCAACCTGGAAGTCAAAGAAATGAAGCAGTAATTCACTGTCTGAATGATGAAACTGCTCATGGCCCCAAACTGGCAGGATAATGAGCCACACCCAATTCCTATGACGGTACACAGTTCAGTTGTTGGGGGTGTGGATTTCCAAACACCTGGAGGGCTGGCCATTTCCACCTTGAACCTGCACACCAGATTCAAAGAATAATTGCTGTCATTTATTGAGTGCCTACCTCAGGGCAGGATCTATAGAGATGTTTTCTTGAATCTCCAAAAATTCTTGAGTTAGGTAATTTGAGAACATTAGTAGCTTGTCCAAGGCCATCACCTGTCTATATATTTTTTCTCTTTTACACTGGTCTCCACTGACCTCATGTGTGCACTGCAAGAGCCTCCTGACTCCCATTTTAGCGTCAGCCTCACTCTGTGATCAACTTTGACCTTGGCGAGTTATTGAGCACTATGCGTCTCAGTCCCCATGGGTGTAAATGCTCATAATGATAATAGCACCTGCTGTGTAGGTAAAATAACTCAAATAGTGTGTGTGTGTGTGTGTGTGTGTGTGTGTGTGTATGCACGAGAGCACTATTTGAAACAGGTCACTGCCAGGAATCATCCAGAGACACAATACTCACAGACTCCCCTCTCTTCACCCTCCCCCACGCTCTCACCTTGACCTCCCCTACCTGCCCCAGCTGCTGCTTCCAGCACCGCAGGTGCTTTGAAGAGGCCGCTGAGATGGACTGTCTCCAAGACCCTGCCAAGCTCAGCACAGATGTCAACTGCGTCAGCAAGAGGATCACATGTGGTGAGCATCTCCAGGTGTCCCCGGGGGCTGGGCTGAGAAATGACAGGCAGTTCAAGAATCCCAGGCCTGGACCAGACCCAGGGTTCCAAGGGCCTCCCCCCCCATCATCACCACCATTGAGGACATCATCATCTATACTCCAAGCCCCCTGAGGGCTAGATCTCTGGCATCTGTACCTTGCAAGGAGTACATGCACAATAAATGCTTTTTTTTTTTTTAAGATTTTATTTATTTATTTGACAGAGAGACAGAAGAGCACAAGCAGAGGGAGTGGCAGAGGGAGAGGGAGAAGCAGGCTCTGCACTGAGCAGGGAACCCGATCCGGGGCTCAATCCCAGGACCCTGAGATCATGACCTGAGCCGAAGGCAGACGCTTAACCATCTGAGCCACCCAGGCGCCCAATAAATGCTTTTTGAAATGAAAGAATAATTGATGGGCAGGTTATTTGATTTACAGTTTTATACTGTAGCAACCCTGGGAGCCTGGGGAGACAGATGGTTTTCTACTGATACATTGTGTGATATGGGAGCAGTTACTCAACAAGTGGCAGCCTCTACATGGGGAGGAGAAAACCTGCTTCAGAGATTTGTCATAAAAACTAAACAATGCTTAAGTGTAAAACAGTGTTACACTTGTTAAATGGAAACAGTGCTAAATGTAGAACGGCTAACACAGGGACTGGCCTATGTGAAGAAGTCAGGGTTGGAAGTAGAAGAGAGGCAGGGATGGATGAATTAGGTTTGTGGTTGCTGCTGTTTGTAAGAATCAGACATGTGTTGATGCAAATCTCAGCTCTCCACCTTACTCACCAGGGATTTTATCTCGTGTCTCTGGGCAATGCTGGCAGAAGAATTAAAAGAGACAAAGGCACAGAGAGAAGAGGTGCATGGCACCTTGGGGGTGCTCTATGAGAGCCGCCCTTTAGGAGTACCTACTATGTGCCATAGGCTTTATACCCAGCAGATATAACTGTCCCAACAATCTTATGAGATGGGGTCACTATTCCCAGTTTTCAGATAAGGACAGGAAAGCTCAGAGAAATTAAATAACTTGCCCAAAGTCACATAAGCTGCTAAGTGGTAGAGTCAGGGTTTGAGCCCAGATTCAACTGACCCCAAAGACCAGGTAGAGAGGACTGGCTGAAGTATGGTGCATCGGGAAAGAGGTGAGGAGGTGCATGGGCATAAATCACTACACGGTGGACAGGGAAAGCACCATTCATCCATCCATCCATCCATCCATCCATCCATCCATCCATCCATCCATCCAGCAGATGCATACTGAACACCTACACCAAGTGCAAGACAATCATCTAGATATTGGGGATATCCTGACCTTTTGAAATCTCCTCCTGGCTGCCAGACACTGAAAATATCAAAGTGCTAGAGTACGTTAAACAGTGACAAGAGCCATGGAGGGAAATAAAGCAGGGGAAAGGCATAGGGAGGGCTGGGCAGGGAAGCCTCCCCGAGGAGATGCCCACAGAGCAAAGACTGAGGCGTGGGGGAGAAGCAAGCTGGCGGCTATCTGGGAGGTGCGTGCACCCCGAGGCTCAAGGTGCCCGGCATGCTTGGGAGACAGGCCAGTCAGTCAGAAAGGGGTGATGAGGGAGGAAAGAGAACAGGAACAGCAGCTTTTCCATAGATTGCGAAGTCGTCGCAGGGTTCTGAACCCCAAAAAAGACATGGTTTGCCCTGAGTCTTGAACACCTTGTTCTGGCTCCTCCATGAGAGCAGACAGGAGCGGGTGGGGGGGAAGGCCACTGAGATAACTCAGGCACGAGCTGATGGGGGCTAAGCCCAGGGTAGTGGCGTGGAGGTGGGGACATGCGGTCACACTCTAAACAGGTCAAAAGTAGAGCCAATAGGATGGCCCGACGGGTCGGGTGTGAGTGTGAGAAACGGAGCGGGCACCACTCCCAGGTTGGCCTTATGCTGCTATAGCTCCCGGAGCCAAGGTGGATAACAGGAGGACGCCTGCCGGAGGAGTGGGGCCTCGGCGGGCAGATTGGGGCCAGTTTGGGAGCTTGCATTACCTCTCGGGATTCCAAATGAGATTTTCCAATCTGCTCTGCCCTTGCTCTGTGCACAGAGTCCGGGGACCCTTGTGAGCACCTGCTGTGTACCTGCAACAAGGCTGCCATAGAATGCTTAGCTCAGTCCAGGATCAACTCTTCCCTGAACCATCTGGACACTTCCTTCTGTCTGGCTCAGCCTCCAGGTGGGAAGAACCCGGCCCTGCATCAGTGGTGGGGCTGACCATCTGGGGCGGGAGCTGCTATGGGAGCAATAGTTGCTGTTTCTTCAGAAGCCAGGCCAGCACCTTCTGACAGTCCCCAGACCCGCTGCTCTAAACAGGCTTTCCAATGTGTCTCTTTGCAGAGACAACCAGCACGGAAGAGCTGACGACGCTTCTGCCCAGAGGTAAGGTCTCGCAGGGAAGCTGCTTTTACTTGGACCACGGGGGCCAGACTACAGAGGGAGCACCCCCTCCACAGGGCCAGCTGGAGTGACCCACGGCACTGGCTAGATCTCGGCCTTTCTCTGGCCAGGGGACACAATTACTTCTGATAAACCCAGTTCACACATCCAATAGCAAATGGCCCTCCTGCCAACACTGTTCTTTGTTACGTGGACAGGTGAGCATTTAATCCAGTTAAGAGGTAGACCCCAATTCTTTCTCTCTTGCTCTATGGTCAGGGCCCTGGTGTGCAGTGTGACCGGGACCAGGTCTAGTGATATGACAGAGAAAGGCCTCTCTCGGCTGGGTGAGCTCCTGGCCATTGAGGTCACCTGGGAGCAGACCAGCTGCCTCCCTCCTCTACCTTCCAGAACCTACGGCAGAAAGGGCAGCCTGGACCCAGATGGAGGCTCCTTGAGGGGGAGGCTGTTTTCTGTGTGCCTCCTTTTAAGACAGGGTGGGCTCTTAATATCTGTCTACTGAAATAAGCAAGTGATCATTCCTACTCTAAAACATGCATCTTATGGAAAATGCGAGAGTTCAGCTTCTGCCTGTTATTCCTTGTTCACCAGTGTTCGCACGATCTCTCAGTCCCAACGGAAAGTTCCAGGTACCCGTTGGCAGAGCACCTCTCCTTCCCTGGGGCTGAGGTCTCCTTCCCAGTGCTGCAGCCTTTGTTAAAAAGCTGATACCAGTGCGTCCACATGCATGAGTGTGCGTGTGCACAGGGCTGTGGGAGTGTGTACATGTGTGAGTAGGAGTGTGTGTACGTGTCCTATCTCTATGTATCTTCTGAGTCTGGCGCTCTTTTTTCTGTGCCATCTGATTCCCTTTGGAACAGAGGTCTTCCCAAGTAGGGATGTCCTGTTCCACAGCCACAAACCCTCGGGGCCTGCAGACCTTTCATTGCCACAGCCTGGGTCTGCTAGTGTCACCGCCCTGGCCAGAAGCCGGGACTGGCTGGAGTCCCTCCTGAGCCAAGGTCCTGCTGGGCAGCCTGAGCCCCAGGAGATGTACGAGGGGCAAGGGAAGCCTAAGACAGAACCAGCAGCCCTTTTCTGGCAACACTGCTCATAGCCCCCTTCCTCCCTTGGTCCAGCAATCCCCGCTTGTCCTTTGGGACTCGTGGTACTTGGTTTAGACACTCGGTTCCATCAGTCACTGATTTGGGAGCTTTCTTTTTCAGTGGTTCCCGTGGAGCCCACGAACACCAGTGCAATGGCCCTTTCAGGAGAAGGTGAGCACAAGGCGGCCAGTGTGTAATCCAAATACCCACGTTTTGATCGTACCATCTGCCTACTGGCTGGAATTAGCTTCCCAAAAATGCCCCTTGCCCAGGTTTGCACTGAAACTGCCCCAAGATCATTCCAGAGCCAATCTCAGTTCCTCCTGACCACAGCCCCCCCGATCTCTCCCCTCTATGCTCTGCTTTCTCCCACACCCCTACTCCCACTTCAGTAGAATTGTCAGATGCAGGACATTCACCCTCAATCATCTGAAGGTGCTTTTCAATGAACAACAAATACTTTTTTTAGTATAAGTATGTCCCAGAATTTGCATGGGATATACTTACACTAAAAGGTGATTGGTTGTTCATGTGAAATCTAAATTTAACCAGGCATCCTGTATTTTTATTTGCCAAATTTGGCAACCTTATGCCTCAGGGAGATCCCTCTGCACAACCACCTCCCCAGAAGTGTGTGTTATCGCTCTTCTTGGCTCCTGCTATGAGAACAGAAGCAGACGCTCTTGGCGCAGCTCCTTCCTGGCTGTCCTCCATGTCCAAGGGCATCGCATCCCTGATAGCTCCCGGACAGCCTGTGCCTTGGACAGCAGGTCTAGAAAAAAGAAGAAATGGCACCTACTCCAAGCCGAAGCTTCACCCTGTGCCCTGCCCACACAGCAACCATTCCCAGTAGGATTGACAGGGGCCACCGCCATCCTAAACTGAGGACAAATTTATCTCCCAACACACATGCACTCATACCCACGACCTAGCAGTGCCCACAAATGCCCTCCAGAAAAGGAGGCAGCCTGAATGCAGGCACAAACATCAGTTACGAAGGAAAAAGGTATAGGGCTCGTGATTGTTCTTACCATGCTGGAATGAAACAATTATGTTTTGGACTCAGGCAGCTTTGGGATGGAATCCTGGCTCTCCCACTTTTTAGCTGCAGGACTCTGGAAGCATGGTTCGACCTCTCAAAGCTTCAATTTCTTCATTTCGGACAGCAGGGATTGGCAATTTTTTTTCTGTACTGGGCCAGGGAGTAATAATTTGGGGCTTTGTGGGCCATACAGTCTCTGTCACAATGACCCAAGTTTGCCATTGTAGTGAGACAGCAGCCATAGACAATCTGTAACCGGGGGGGTGTGCCTGTGTTCATCTGCAGCTTCATTTACAAAAGCAGCTTGAGGTCTAGGCCATGGTGTACCAACCCCTGGAAAGGGATGGTTATATCTGTCCTTCAGGGTGGCAGGGGATTAAATGAGAGAGAACATGGGAAGATTCTGGACCAGCATCTTCTTCAGAAATTCTGGTGTGGTGGTAAAACACAACAATGCACTCTCGAGTCACATGCAGGACACTGGACAACTTGTTTAAAATATGTGATCTCATTTCTTGCTCCACAACCCTGTGAAATCATTTCCATAATCTCCACACTGAGATGGTACATGGAGTTGGAGAAAGAAATGGTCCAAGACTGGGAGCTGGGTGGCAGGGCTGGGGCTCGAGGCCTCCACCGCGTCTGTCTTTACCGCTAGACCGAACTCCCTCCCCCGTGGACTTGCTCCAGCAAGGGGGGACATGATGGCCCTTTCTCCCAGAGAGAGGTCTCTTCACCCAAACATAGGCCTGATGCTAATCTGACTCCTTGTCACTGAATCAGGACCAATGTGTCAATTAATGTTCCTGATCAGACTGCCATGAGCTTTCTCTCCTGGGCCCCCCAGTCCGAAAGCTGTCTTGTTTGCAGGGGATCCCTGCCTGGCTTATGTGCTGAGTTGGGTGGACAACTGAAGTAGAATGGTTTCTTTCCACAGTGGCTACTGGGACCAGTGCTGCCCACTGACTAGTCCCTCCAGGACAAGTAAGCAGGGCAGACTCAATAGGAGCACAGCATGGAATCCAGTGGAGACACGCCTTCTCAATACACATGTTCAGTTCTGATGACCACTCTTTGACAGGCTTGGAAGAAATACCAGTAGACCTATTTTTCAGATGATGGAGGACACGGAGGCTCTGGGAGGTTAAAAGTTACAGATGGTCCATCATGAGACCAGCTGGACTGGTCTTGAACCTGTCCTCGGGCTGCAAGACTGGTTTTGTCTCCATGATATGGTAGTGACTTATGGGGAACAGCCTCGCACCTGAAAACATCTAGGCAAGGATGTCATCAGAAGTGACCTAACCATTTACTTTGCTTGTGGTGATGGATAACCATGGATTCTTTATTAATAAGCATAAATCACTCATAATAACCATTTACCAATTACTAAGAATGAAGAGATAAACAAATGGATTCCTCGATTAAGAGGCAGGGACACCAGGGAGGACCTTGGTGGGCTGGCGTGTTCCTAAGCCCCTTCATCTAGCCTCTGAATCCTCCCCCTGGTCCTAGGAGGCCCATTTGACAGATAAAGGAGGCACCCTAAGAAGCAGTTGTTTGCCTGGGGTAATAGGGCATAGGATTCTGTTAGTTCTGAACCTGAGCATTTTGCTTTGAAGAGAACCATCTGCTCGGTTTAGAACCTTTGAGGTTCTCTCTCTTTGCTGGAGCACTTTTGTATGTCCACATCATCAGTCAACTTCTGAGCCCGATTTCCACAGAATACCATCATAATCTTGATCTTTGACACATTGAATTTAAGGCAGGTCCTTCCTTCCCCAAGCCTGTTGGAGTTACCTTCGCTAGCTCTCTGTGGTATGGTCAGAAGAGAAGTAGCAGCCCAGCTCAGTGGTTAGGACTATCAGCTATAGCCCTAGGTTTGCATTCTGCCACTTCCTAGCTCCATGACCTAGAACAAGTGACCTGTGTTCTCTGTGTGTCCCCTTTCTCAGCTCTGAATGAGGGTGAGGTGGTTGTTGAGTTGGTACAAACCAAGCGCTTAATGCTGTATCTGGCATGTAGTATGTCTTTGTCCGTTCTAGCTGCTACAACAAAATATCACAGACTGAGTCATCTGTGAACAACAAAATTTCTCTCTCATGGTTTCTAGAGGCTGGAAGTCCAAGCTCAAGACACCAGCACGGTCAAGTTGGGTGAGGCCCACTTCCTGGTTCATAGATAACCACCATCTTGCTGTGTCCCCACATGGTGGAAGGAGCCAGGGAGCTCTGTGGGGGCTCTTTCATAAGGGCATGAATTCCATTCATGAAGGCTCTACCCTCATGACCTAATCACCCTCCAAAAGCCCCCAAGACCATCCCACTGGGGATTAGGTTTCAACACATGAATTTGGGGGAAACACAGACATTCAGTCTACAGCATAGTAGGAGCCTAATAATGGTTAAACAATAACGGACTCGTTTTACCAAGAACCAGGGCTCAGCAGTCTTTTGGGAGCCACAGAGCAGGGAACTAGAATCCACAGTTCTGCTGCCTTGTTTCTCTTTGTTCAAAAACATGTGATTAAAAAAAATTTTTTTTTGTTTGAACTCCGGAGAAGTCTGCTTTCCTAAAGTATTTCAAAGATGCACCTGCTTCTAGCCCAACAGGCAGCAGCTGCCTTTGCCAGCACGTCTGTGTTTGGGGACGCAGCCTCTTTGTCTTAGCAGTCACCCTGCCATCACCAGCTCCCCTGGGAGGTGACGAGGCACGGAGCAATGTTGCCTCCTGTGCCCATGGGATGGGAACTGCTCCCGGATACCAAGGTGGGACAGGCTGGGGTCAACACTCACCCTGTCTCTCTTCTGTTGTGGGCAGAAGCGGGCCAGGACCAGAAAGACACGGAAGCCACTGGGACCACATCCCCTCCAGGTAAGCACACTCGGCTTCTCTAGCCTGCGGATGATGGCTGTCCCTATACGTTTATGAGCTCAAGTGTGTTCTAAAACACGGAAGAATCATTGAGACTAATTTACTTTTATGCTGTCCCCACCCCCAAAGTAGACAAACGAAGTTAAAAGGTAGATTCATTAGTAGGAAGAAATGGAACCCTACCTGATAAAGAGACACATTTAGAAAAATAGAGAAAACTGTGTTTTGTTTTCTACTTAAATCCCCTGTACTTCCATGTTATACAGATAGCCACTTTTACTATCTGAAGGTGCTCCCTTCTGACATCTCCCACCTGCCCGAACATATCCATGAATATAATTAAAATGATTTTGAGATCACTTGGCGCCACGGCTTTGCAGTCTGAGCTGTATCACTTAAAAAATGAGATGATATTCCCTGACATTAAATATCTTTATTTTTTTTTTAAAGATTTTATTTATTTATTAGAGACAGAGAGAGAGAGGCAGAGGGAGAAGCAGGCTTCCCGCGGAGCAGGGAGCCGGATGCGGGACTCGATCCCAGGACCCTGAGATCATGACCTGAGCCGAAGGCAGACGCTTAACCATCTGAGCCACTCAGGCGCCCTAAATATCTTTCTATAACATGATTTTTAGTAGTGGCTATACCATAGTTTCTGGTGTGGAATACCATAATGCATTTAACCAATTATTTCTAACATTTGTTCTTATCAATAATAGATATACACCTTATACCCATCCACTTCTGATTAATTTGTCACAGTAAATTCCTAGAAAATGAATTACTGAGGGTGTAATCATTATGTGTATCCATACAATATGTATGTATCCATATGTTGCCAAATTGCCCTAGAGGAAATTCGAAACAACTTACCCTCATACTTGTATCCCATGGCTGATGCTGCCTACTATTATTTAAAAGCAAGTGGACAAAAACCTCTACCATGTTAATAGAAAAAACCCACAGTAGCTCATTTCTCCCCCTTCTCCTCTCTGATGAAAATGGAAAGTCGTGCTTTTTGTATCCGAGCTGGACTGGCCTCTCACTCTGGAAGCTTTGGACCAGGCCTGGACAGAATTCCCATATCTTAACCGAATTTAGGGAGATGGGTCACCAGTGTCAGCGCTAAGGGCATTGAGACTTGGGCCAACTTTGCCCTCAGGTGCACAGTGACCTTCTCAGGCTGGGGGTGCGAGGGCAAGAGGAATCTGTTCCCCAAATGGGGCGGCCATTCAGGAAGAGTGATGAATGCTGCATGCTCTCATCTAAGGGGATGAGGTGGGGGGTCTCACATTTGATTAGCACCAAGAATCCAGAGAGTTCTTGCTCAGAGGGTGAGGGCTTCTAGAAGGACACTCAGACTCAGCAGGGAGCACACACGGACTTCTGGGGCTCTTTCTGCTTGTCGAGTTTTCCGCCTGGAGTCTTCACCCCAGATCAGATGTGTCTTCACACTCACTGAGTGATTCTAATGGCTGGTCTTGACTCTTCCCTCCTTGCTAGGCATTTAGCTAGAAGGATTATTCAAACGCCAAAACAGGTATTATTAATACAGTTTTACAAATGGGGAAATCAAGACTGAGAGAGGCTAGTGATTTGCCCAACATCACATAGCTAGTATGTGGCTGAGCTAAAATGCATATTCAGATTTCCTTACCTCTAAAACTGGGTTCTACCCACTCCACTCCACTGACTGGGTGAGTTTACTCAAAAAGAAACGGAGCCAGGTGTTTGTTAAAGGTGGAAAGAAAGATTTTACTCAGGTTTCCGTAGCGGGGAAGAGAGACTCCAGGGTAACCATGTTCAACTCTGATCTGTATGGAGATGACTGGGCCTTTTAGAGGGAAAATGGGAGGGTGGACAATAAGCCGGAAGTCCGGCAGAATCAGGGGAGGGGAAAATTCCAAAAAGGGGATGGGGGCTGTTTTCTGAAAACTTAGGCAAGGCAGGTGTTGGGTCAGTGTGGGTCTCAAGCTGTAAGTTCTTTGGGCTGCCTTGAGCTTTCTTGGGCAGGAAGTCAAGAGGAAGCCGGAGGCTGGGTCATCCCAGGGAAACCAGGCTGGGGTTGGTGTAAGTCTCCTAGTGTGGGGGCAGGGCGTTGATGAAATAGTTTGTGCCACGAGTTTGCAGTTCTCATAGGTCAAGTTTGAGGCCTGGTTGAGAAGAGGGCCCAGAGGAGCCTGTCTAAAGTCTGGTCAAGGAAAGAGTCTGTCAGCTACCAGCAGTCTGGAGCATGGTGAAAATGAACCAGTTCATGGGTTTCTGTTGTGGGATTGGAGAGGGGGTGGGGCATGATGTTAGTTAGACCCAGAGGACTGAGGGTGCAACAGGGCCACTAAAGCCCTGCTCCCACCCCCCAGGGAATAGAGCACTGAGCAAAGACATGGAAGCCCGGATGTATGAAGCAAACCAATATGGCAGGTCTGGGGAGAGACTGCCAGTCAGGGGGCCCCTGAGATGCCCAGGCTTCTCCCAGCGCTCTGGCTTTGCAGACGGTGGGGCAGAGCCTACAAAGCTCCCTTTGTCTGGACCAGATTGGGTTGGAAGTGTCACTGCCTCCGGTCAAGAGAACAGGTGGGGCTGACGCAGAGCGAAGGGAGACCTGGACGGCCTGGCACTTAATTCAGACTATGATGAGAAGGTCTTCCAGGATTCCCAGGAGTTCGAGGCGGGTTGTGCTTGCCTACGTTACTGAGCACCAGGAGTTAGCTTCATTTCTCCACCGTTCTTATCTCTTCACTTGTGAACACCATGCATGGCAGGCTCATGGTAGTAAATATGACATAGTCTGGGACAGTCCTTGTCGCAAGATGTCACGCAGCTGGTCTAGCGTGGGGTCCTGTCCAATGTAACGTTATCACAGAGTATGTGTTTGTTATATTTATGTTCCATTTATTTATTTAATATTTTAGCACAATACATTTCATTTATTTATTTTTGTTTCAAATTTTTATTTAAATTCTACTCAGTTAGCTTGTGTAATATTGGTTTCAGGAGTAGAATTCAGTGACTCATCACTTACATATAACACCCAGTGCTCATCACAAATGCCCTCCTTAGTACCCATCCCCCAACTAGCTCACCCCCCCACCCACCTCCTTCCATCAATCCTCAGTTTTCTTCTCTATAGTTAAGAGTCTCCTATGGTTTTCTCCCCTCCCTTTTCTTTTTCTTTCTTTTCCTGTCTCCTGTGTTCATCTGTTTTGTTTCTTAAATTCCACATGAGTGAAATCATATGGTATTTGTCTTTCTCCGGCTGACTTATTTTACTTAGCATAATACCCTCTAGTTCCATCCACGTCATTGCAAATGGCAAGATTTCATTCTTTTTTGCGGCTGAGTAATATCCCATTGTATTTATACCACATCTTCTTTATCCATTCATCAGCTGATGGACATTTAGGCTCTTTCCATAGTTTGGCTATCGTTGATAATGCTGCTGTGAACATTGCGGTGCATATACCCCTTTGAATCTGTATTTTTGTATCCTTTGATAGTGCAATTGCTGGGTCATAGGGTAGTTCTATTTTTAACATTTTGAGGAACCTCCATACTATTTTCCAGAGTGGCTGCACCAGCTTGCATCCCTACCAACAGTGTAAGAGGGTTCCCCTTTCTCTGTATCCTTGCCAACTTCTCTTGTTCCTGCCTTGTTAATTTTAGCCATTCTGACGGGTGTGAGGTGATATTGTGGTTTTGATTTGTATTTCCCTCATGATGAGTGATGTTGAGCATCTTTTCATTCCCTCATGATGAGTGATGTTGAGCATCTTTTCATGTGTCTGTTGGCCATCTGGATGTCTTCTTTGGGAAAATGTCTATTCGTGTCTTCTGCCCATTTCTTAACTGGATTGTTTTTTGAGTGTTGAGTTTGGTAATTTCTTTATAGATTTTGGATATTAGCCCTTAATCAGATATGTCATTTGCAAATATCTTCTCCCATTCCATCGGCTACCGTTTAGTTTTGTTGATTGTTTCTTTCTCTGTATCACAGAGTATTTGGAAATTCTCATGTAACATCTGTGGATCTGCAAGCCCAGATTGAGGATGCTATCCTAACACTTTGTTCTTCTGAAATATCTGCATTTGGGGTTGATCGTGTGTCCATCTGCAAACCTCTTCCTGAACTGCTTGTTGAATATGAGCCATAATGTTGTGCATTTTCAGGATCTGCAGAGATTGTTGTCTCGACAAAAGGAGTAACCATGGTCCCCGCCGGTTTAAAATCTTTGGGCTTAGCTGTGTCATCCATCAAAAGTGGCCTGGAGGAGACAACTGGAAAAGGTGAGTGGGAGCAGGCAGAGAAGCCTCTGTCCTCTCTCAGACTTGAGATCCTCTGGATGGGTTGGTAACAAAGGCCCTTAGGCCATGGTGTCATACCGTGACCTCTTCATGTCGGTGGGATTAGAGGGGACCACCCCTTGCCAGGTGAGGTCATGGGACACAGAGGGGACCCGACTTGCCTGTGGCCACTCAGCTGCTGAGCTGGGGAAAGGGGCCCACTGGCCTAATGCTCCCATCCCTCTTACTGGTGCCCAAGGGAAGAGCTTGGCATGGTGCGCACCAGGTTGTTGCAAAGAAGGAAACACCTGGGCTTTCACTCCCTCCCCCTTCTCTCTCCTCTTCCCAGGGGCCCCACTAGTGGCCCTGCACCTGCAAGGAGCTATGGCCACAGAGGAGGGCTTTGTTAGTACCAGGCCAGCCCTCCACAGCATGCACTGCAGAGTGATGGAAAAAGCAGCATTTGAGAGGGAGGCTGGGCTGGGAGCTCTTCGCAAGGGCCCTGGCTTCTTGGTTCCCCCCGCCAACCCCGCCACTGAACCTGTGATCATGGGGTCTGCACAGTGGACTGTAGCCAGGCTTGGCCAAAGTTGCAGGCAGAGAAGGAGGGGACAAGGGTGGAGAGGAGGGTGCAGGAGGGCAGAGGCAGGGGCAGAGAAAGAAAAATCAAGGGCTCTGAAGGCAAACCCAGGCAGAGTGTGCTAACCTGCTGGAGTCAGGAGGCCTAGGAGGACAGACAGGATGCCTCCAGGACGCTGGGCGCTGCCCGGGCCTCAGCGGGACATGGTCACTCTACTCAGCAATCACATGTGGCCGAAGAGCACCTCTGGTCCTGACAAGCCCCCCACCCTTCAGGGGGATTTAACCAGGAGTCTGGGCGGAGCTGTAGAGGCCTGGCAAGGAAGACTGGCTCTCTGAAAGCCAACTCATGCCAGACGGGATGCTAGACAGGGGGACTAGCCTGTAGCAGCTTTCCCAGCAGAAGGGCAATGGGAGGTGGGAACACAGCATTTCCTTGGATGTTCAATACCCATCTGGATCACTGCCTGCTGGTGTGAACTCTGTCCCGATGTCCCTGCTCTCCTGACAGCCCTGTTTCTCATCAGCCTGTGACAGGTTCACCTTCCTGCATCTGGGAAGTAGGGACAATGCATGGGTGATGCCTCAGCTCGGAGAGATGCTCTTCTGCCTGACATCCCGATGCCCAGAAGAATTTGAATCTTACGGCTGTTACTGTGGGCAAGAAGGACGAGGCGAGCCAAGGGATGCCCTGGACGGGTAGGGACATGTGAGGGTGGCAGGCCGGTGGTGCTGACGCTGTCCCCCGTGGGAGGTGATAACTCTCCTCTCCAGTGGGCATGGCTTCAGGCTTCACAGAGAGCACTGCCTGACTCGGGACGGCCGCTCACCATCATGGGCAGCTGAGGCTCAGACTTGTCCACGGTCACTCAGCGGTGAAGGGGCAGAGCCACACAGATCCTGACCTGTCTATGTGGTCTTTGGTCCAGGTCTTTGCCCTGCAGGGGGCCACATGAAAGTTAGCTTCTTAATAACTTTCTTTAAAAAGATTTATTTACTTATTTTTAGAGAGAGATTGAGAGAGAGAGAGTGAGCAGTGGGGAGGGACAGAGGGCAAGGGAGAGAGAGTCTTAAGCAGACTCCGTGCTGAGCGCGGAACCCGACACAGGGCTCAATCCCACGACCCTGAGATCATGACCTGAGCCGAAACCCAGAGTTGGACACTTAACCAACTGAGCCACCCAGGTGCCCCAGCTTCTCAATAACTTTTAAGTATAGCTGCTCAATTTTATATCTGCCACTCTTGGAAAAATTTTCAGGGACCTCGTGCATTGGCGAATCCATTCATTCATTTATGTATGCGTTCAACCCTCCTTTCTTGAGCTTTTGCTCTATGCCAGGCACCATGCTGGGTGGTGGAGACACACAAATGGTTAAACCTGAAGGAAGCAGAGGGAAAGAAACTCCCGGCATCCCCAGAGGAGCTGCCTGGTGCAGGAGATGGGCACTTCAACCAAAAGACCACCAACATCATAAATGCAGCCGTCAAAACAGGGGGAACAGTGGAGGAGTCAACCTAGACATGAGCTGCAGGAATATTCCAAGAGTAGAGTTGATAAGATGTAAAGCCTGCCCACACGTGGGGACTGTCCCAGCCCATGGCCAATGGGCTCTGCGCTCAAAAGGTGTAGGACCCTTGGGATGGTGGGGTTGCTGAAGGAAAATCCACAGCTGGAGTAGATACTGGAGACAGGGAGAAGACAAGCCTCAGTGTCGTTAATATGCAGCCTGAAGTGATGGCAGGCACATGGGGCACGTCACCTGCAGGTGTCTGGCTGGCTGTGTCACTCCCCCAGCCACCCACCTCCCTCCCCTTTCTCCCCTCACTGCTCACGGCCATCTGGCCCTACCATCCGACCAAGCTCTGCAGGGCATCCGGTGGGGAGGAAGGTAGGGGCTCTGCTCCCAGGCCACCTTCAAAACTTACCTCCCACCGGGTGACACGGAAGATGTGTCTACTCTAGCAGAGTGTAGACCACACTGTGGAATCGTAAGCATGTCTACATGAGCAAGTTCAACAATGTGGGCTCCACTCTCCGAGACAGAGTACTCAGTGAGACAAAGCAAGCGGTAAGAGTCTAGGCAGAAGTCACTGTGTCCTGTTGAACCCCATGGAAAGAAACCGGGGTCGCTCCTGACCACTGGCCATATTTCACAAAAACATGAGATTTGATCGGGCAGGCAAGTAAGTTACAATATGGCTTCCCTGACCTCCACTGGGAAGAAATTAAAACAAAGCCATCGCCTTGACCAAGGAAGAGTTACTCAAGTTGATCTCACCTTCTGCAAGGGTGTCTTTTCAAAACTATGTATACTTTACATTCTGGGCAATTTGAGTGACTTCTAATGGTATTTTGATCACAGGTGATTTCAGATTTATTCACTGACTTTAGATTTTAACTATGATATTAGCTTTCCACCACCACCTGCCCCAGGCAGGTGCACGCACCAAGAGTGTGTGGCTCAGCCGTGAAGACAACTGAGTGGGACTGCCATTTGTAACCGACACAGACCTCCAGCCTTTGGCCACTGTGCCAGGCACAGTGGTGGTGCTCCCCCCATTGCTGGCAACATGGGAAGCTGATACTTGGCTCAGCACAGGCTCTACAGAAAGGCATCCAGCCATGACGGAGCCCTGCTCTGGCTGTGGCCTCTGATGCCATGTAAGAACTATTTGAGGATGGGCTGAGTGAGTGGTGATGGGAAGATTTTGGGAGAGTGGGAGCTCCTCTGGGCTGGAGCTGTCACAAGATTCCTCTGGATGTCCATGTGGCTGGGGGACCTGCAGACTGTGAGGCTTTATCAGGCCCTACTGATACTGATACCAATTCATTCCCATATGGTTATTGAGGTCTTGCTCCATGCTGGACGCTTTGCCAGATGTTGTTCTTTATTTATGCTCAAGATCATTACTCTGCCCTCTTTCAAGGCTGGGGTCCAAAGGGGTGCCCTATGGATGTGAGATTAACTGTTCTATTAGGTAAAATGTTGGAGGGAGTGGGGTCACTGCTAGTCCTGATGGTACCTTTATGTAAACGAAAAATGGCACCCCTTCCTCAAGACTAGTTCCATCTGTTGGCAAATTACTGGCATAAATATACAAATCGTTATCTTTGCAGTCAACAAAGTGATTATAAGAATACAAAAAAAAGATTTTTTGTAAATAATAATATACATACAGTGTGGCTGACAGTTTTAGATGTGGCATCTTTGTGCAGTGCACAACCTAAACAACCATACATGGTGGTCCTATGTGCACTGGAAAGGAGGGCTTGGCTTCTCTGTAGGGATTGTGGGAGAAGCAGTCCTTGTAGGAATTCCTGACTCAGCTGGGTTCTCCTTGGTCTTAGGTGCTGTTTTTCCCACCACTGCTGCCTGGAGCAGGTGAGGAAACTGGGCTGCCTGCTTGAGAGGCTTCCTCGGTCACCAGTGGAGTGTGTGGACGGTACAGCCAAGTGTAAGTGCTGTGGGCCTGTTCAGTGAGCTATGCCTTCACTCAGGTCAGGCCTCCCGATGCTTTCCCAACCATGTTTTCATCTATAATGTGATTTAATACTTTTCTTAACCGTGGGGCACACTTACTCCCTGATCCTGCTGAGGGCACGGAAGTTCAAGAGGCTAAGTCAGCTGCCGAAAGTCAGAGCTGGGTAGGAGCAGACCAGGAACAACAGAGCCCATGCTTATGGAGTGCCTGCCACGTGCCGGCCAAAGCTCTCAAGATGGACTAACAGGGTTAATCCTTCCAACCATCCTGTGCGGAGGCCCCCGAGTCCTCCCTTGACGGAGGAGGCGGCCGAGGCCGAGGTCACACTGTAGAAAGAAGTTGGTGGTGGGAGCAGGAGTGGGGCCTGGACTCTGCCCTCGCTCAGCAGCGGCAGGGACCTCCCTGCCTCCTTGCGTGCAGGACCACGTGCACCTGTCACGTGCAGGAGCCCCGTGCCACTCCCGCACTCACTCACTCACTCATCTATCCCACACGCCTTTCCTGGGAACTAGGAAGGCACTGAACAGGCACGATCCCTGCCCCAAGTCCCCCACAGCCTGGAGGACAGACAGTCGGGCAGGTGACTGACTGCTCTCATCCCAGGTGGAAGGTGCTCACCGGAGTGCAGAGGCTCCGGGAGTTGCGGAGGGGGTCTGAGCCCCCAGAGCAGGACGCGGAGGTGGGAGAACTGAGCAGAGTCAGAATGATGGTGAGGAGGGATCTTAGAAGAGGTTGTCAGGTTCTCAGATGGCCACGCTGGGTGTGGATGTTCCAAGAGAAGTGAAAAGAGGAAAATCGTGGCATTTGGGGAACTCCTGGCAGTGTAAGAACAGAAAGTGGGGGTGAGGGACGGCTGCGGTGCCAGGTGAGGCAGGGAGTATAAGTATGCCCCAAATGGATATACTTATATGAACATATTGATCTGAAATTCACATTTAACCAGGCATCCCATATTTTATCCGGCAATGTTAAAATAGACTGCTCCAGAACTACTTCCATCTGACAAAGGGGGAAGGCCTGGCCCAGAGAAGTAAGGAAGTAAGATATTTAGCAGTTCTGTCCAAAAAATATTTTCCGAGTGCCAACTCAGGAAATAGGGGTCAAGGACTGACTTAGGTGCTTGAACACATGGGCTCTGCCAGCAAGGTTCTCCATCCAGCGAGAGGGAAAGGTAAACACAGACACAGTTGATTCATGCACAATGTCATTAACACACAACCTGCTGGGATAGAAGGAGCCACAGGTGGGATCTGATGGGAGCCCACGGGGAGCTATTCCCTCTACCCTGGGGGCTCAGGGAAGCTTTTCTGGAGGAGGGGCTGCCAAGGGGAGTCTTGACAAACAGGTATGAGTTCACCAGGAGAAAGTGAGAATATTCCCAGCAGGGAGATCGCGGATGCTGGACGTCACGAGGCTCCAAGATGGTGGGTGGGGGGACAGGGCTGAAGCGGCAGGCAGGCTGGCCACATGCCACCCTACGTCACACGTCTGCCACTCTGTTCTTGCCCTCTAAGGTGTGGGGCAGAGCCTGTGTGCGAAGCTGCTTTGTGCCTGTGACCAGACGGTGGCCGAGTGCGTGGCCTCTGCCTTCTTTAACCAAAGCCTCAAGTCATCGGGCGCACATGAGTGCCAGGGCCACCAGCTGTCCTGCGAGGACAGCATGCCCGGGGGCCCTGTGGCTTCCTCCCCTGGCTCCAGCTCTGAGGAGGACAGCGAGGAGGCCATGTCCCACACAGAGGGCCGCAGAAGAACCAGAAGATTTCTGGGGAAGTCACTGGGTCCTGTGGGGACTAGGCGACAACATGGCCCCAGAGAGACCCCTGGAGAAAGCAACAAGCGCCCCCCACAATAGGTTCCTCCCATTACTGTCCTCTCTTTGTGCCTCCATCTCTGTCCTCCCGTCCTCAAAGCTGGCGAGCCCCTTGCATTGTGATGCTTGTCAGCTCGCATGGGAATGTGTTCTATACTTCCTTCAGTGCACCCTGGGAGCTCAATAAAAACTCCAATCAGTGTTTGTTTTGGTCTTGTTTTGAAGAAATGCTGTAGATACTAGTGCATGAGTAAATGCCAAACGTAAGATGACAGAGCCATGGAGTCAAAAATTATCTCCACTCCCTCATCACTGAAAGCTACTTTACCTTCTATTAGAAAAAAAAGGGGGTTATATATTTAATCAATCTTAGGGGATCACCTGTGGGACACCAATAACCCGAGGATATGTGCCAAGGACTAAAACGACAGCTTTTCTGGTATGTGCCCCTAAAAACACACCTGCCATTCAAGTTATTCTGAGTGTCCATGTGCCACGGCCACCACCACCACGAAGAAGGTCCCAAAACTTCCAGCCACTGGAATAAACCGTATTAAAAAAAAAAAAAAAAAGTCGAGGACCCAACTTTTTTTTTTTAATACGGTTTATTCCAGTGGCTGGAAGTTTTGGGGGTTTAAACGCCCATGCTGACAGAGGCAGATTAATATCATGGTAATTGTAAAAACTTGAAATTATATCCATCCTTCTATCACTCACCAACCCTTTAGAGATTCTCCCGTGTTACCAGGCAGAAGGTAGTGTGTTACGAGAACCTCCCTCCATATTCGACAGGAACACGAAGTCCTTGGTTCACATCACATCCTTGGTTCTCAATCCCCATAAATCACGTGTCTGGTAGTGAGATGGTAAGAGTCCCTGCCTGCTCCTCAGACAGGAAAGCAGAACCGCTAGAGTTCAGTGTTGCTGACCTTCTCATGGTAGGAAAATATTCTGAAGTTGGCAAAAGTTAAGAAATTAAAAGGTCGTGGTGCCAAGCCAATAGCAGACATCCTTCCTTCCTTGCCTTCCAAGGGATTCATGTGATGAGCACTTTTTTTTTTTAAAGACTTTTTATTTGAGAGAGACAGCGAGAGAGAGCGAGCAGGTGGGGAGGCAGAGGGAGAAGCAGACTCCCCGCTGAGCAGGGAACCCGATGCGGGACTCGATCCCAAGACCCTGGGATCATGACCTCAGCCGAAGGCAGATGCTTAACCAATTGAGCCACCCAGGCGTCCCGTGATGAGCACCTTTTGGTGAATCCAACACATTGGTACCTTTTTCACCTGGTGACCTTAACTAACCACCAAAGCTGGGTTCTCCCAGAAGTGACCCCTCTGACAAGAACTCGAGAGCAAGTTTAGTTGGCAAGTGAGGGAAAGCCTGCGTGGAGGCCGAAGAAATAGGGCAGGAAAGGTAGCCAGTGAAGGATGCGTTACCAAGCCAGTTACAACTAGAATACCCTACACACCGCGAGAGGAGAGAGGTGGGGACATCAGCTTCTGTCACATCAGCCTTTACTCCCGGGGAGGGTGACATCTCCTTCTGGCCTGCTGCACACGGGAACAAAGCAGGCTCCATGGCAGAGAAAGCCTTCAGGTGCTTCAGTCAGCCAGCGGGCATCCAGTGGCAGAGCGGGCACTGGCTGCAACTAGCACATGGCTGGCTGGCTCCTCCCTCCTTCAGCCCGAAGCGAGGTCCCAACGGTCCACTCCCACCGGCAGTCCCAGTCGTGAGTTCAAGCCCCGAGCCGAGATCAAGACTTGGACGCTTAATGGACTGAGCCACCCGGGCGCCTGAAACACATTATCTTTATACAGAACAGTAAGGCCTGCCCTTGGCTCCAAAGGGTGGGCATCCCTACCTTCCTAGAGCCTGTTTGCTAGAATACATTGAGAAGATAGTCCAGAATAAAGGCTGTTGGTGTCTGCATGCTCACATGACATGCACAGACCCATGAATGCCCTCATCTTCCTGCTGCCAAAGCTACAAAATTACCTGCAGTCTCTCTCTTCCGTCTTGTTACAATGAAGTTAAGCGTTCCTTATTCAGATCAAAGGTCAATCCCTCCAACTAGGCTCTGTGTATAATGAATGCTCTATTGCCTTCTCGGGTTGGATTCCTTTAAGTATTTCCTTTTTCTTTTTTAGAGACAGAAAGCGCACGCGGGTTACGGGGGAGCAGCGGGGACAGAGGGAAAGGGAGAATCTTAAGCAGGCTCTACGCCCAGATGCAGAGCTTGATCTCATGACCTGAGCTGAAATCAAGAGTCGACACTTAAATGACGGAGCCACCCAGGCATCCCAATATTTCCTTCTTTAACCAATTTATTATCTTCTTCTGTATCAATCTTATCAGCATGGAAACATGTCCTAAAATCTCCCATCTTTAAAAATCCCTCGACTCATTAAGCAAGATGGGGGACGTGTGGAAATTGTCAATCTGATGCTCCTAGCTTTAGTCTCGTCCTTAAATGCCAAACTAGATGGTGCTCTGCTGGACACTGTTGACCTGACTCAACATCATCCAACACCTACCTCTTACTCCACACACTGCTGCGTGAACCAGCTGCACATGGGCTTCGACCTGCCTCGTTCAGAGAGGTGGGATCTGACAACGTCTGCCTTCGAACTTCCCTTCTTCATGCGTTCTGACACAGGACTTCTCTGAGGAGGAAGCATGGGGCACCCTGGGAAACTACTAGGCTCTCAAGCACACACAATCCTGAAATGGGGGGAGGGTTGCTGCCAACAGGCCACCCACGTCCAGCAGGACAGACTTCCAGTCACCTACAGTGATGGACAATTCCTACATAAATCCTCTTAATGAGCCTTTTCTCCTTGCAATTCAGTTTCAGGCCCTGGCCGGGTCTGCTGGGATCGCAGCCCAGAACAACCCCTGCGTGCCGGCCTCTGTCTTAGCACAAGTTCTCTTAAAGCAGAGCCTGCGGCTCAAAGCGCAGGTAACTGGCAAATTTTATAGCAGGAGTAGGAGGCGGCGCCTGAAGTTCTACCTTGGCTCTACTTTTTCACTCATGTGAACTTGGTGCTTGAAATCAGTATCTATCAGAACAGCTGACAGGGTCCGACCAGTTAAGGCTGGAAAGAAAGCATGTGACACAGCACGTAACACGGACGCTCCTTCTACACCGCAGCTTCCTGGAGGTGGAATAAGCAAACCAGGGTGGCACAGGGAACCAGAGCCACTATTCTTTTTCTTAGATCCTTTGTGTAAGTTATACAAGGAGAGAGGGTTGAGATGCAAACATTAAAACTGAAGCAGAGAAGGCAACTGCACTTTCCCAGTTCACACTACGTGCTCTGCCTTCACCGCATCTCGCCGTGACCAGCAGTTATGGTTCTGATTCTCCTTCCATGGAAGTGAGGATGCATCCACGCGGCAACCTGATTTTTACCCAAGCTCTTCATTTTTAACTAAAGCAAAATATTAAATAAACTTAATATAGTAAATGTAATAATTATAAATATCCACGTATCCAGAAGTAATTTGATTTTGTTTTATTGCTTATATATGAATTGCGAAGTGAATTTTTACATTTTAAAAAAACTCACCTTGTTACATTTATTACATATATTGGCATGAATAAGACAAATGAGTTCCATGTTCAGATAGGAGGAAGAGAAATGTTAATTGCTGGTGAAGTGTGGTATTATTCTAAAAGATAATGAGTTCAGAAGCATTAAGGGGTGTTTGTGTTGTGTGCACGGGCATGTGTGTGTGTATTCAGGTGAATTCCAATGACAGTCGAACTCTTTATAAGCACAAAGTCAACACAAATATAAGGAATGTTTATATGTTAGCTATTCAGTATAAAGGAAAAAAACAAAGCAAGTGTATGCAGCAAAAAGAGAATGACTAACAGTTTATTAAGAGTTTTAAATATCTACAAAAATATAGCCATATGGTGAACTTCAACAAATCCTAAACTTTCTGTCTCCAAACTGGCTAGAATACGGAACACACACCCATTACCTGGCAGGATGTCCTGCAATCTCCTGGAAAGGACAAACCAAAGAAAAGACCCACTTTTTGGGAATCATTATTAACAAGACCAGTTGAGTCATCTAGGACATATAGAAGTCTACTGTGATTTAAAAACAACAACAAGAAAAAAACCCTGCAAACCCCACATCAACAGTTTACAAACAGACCAAAAGAAAGGTGTGATCAACATTAATTCAAATGGTTTTCCTTTACATGCAATACATGCATTTCTTGTACCACAGAGAAACATGAAATTCTGTAAAGTTTGTTTGCATGAGTCCAACTGAATATAGATCTCCTTTACTTATACTATTCAATTATATATATTTTTCATACAAAAGCACACAGTGTTAATCTATAAAACGACATCCAAGTGGATGATGATTGTTTTTTTGCATGTCCCCCTGCTGAGATTTTGTTAAATGCACAAAAATTAATACACTTCTTTAAAAATACAGAAGAAGAAAAAAAGGGAAATAAAAAACAGAAAACTTGGCCTATTATATGACGACACATTTTACCCACTCAAGAGGCAAAGTTACAGTGACAGCTACAAGAAGGCCGTTCAACGCCTGCACTATCATTCTGAAACAAGGTCTTGCTTACCTACATTTAACACACTGCCCAGGAGGGCTGAGTATCATTTTATGGGTTTAAATGACTAGGCTATTTTGAAAGATGTTTCAAGATGCTGTACTTCATTTATTAAAAAAATCTGGGGTATGCTTGTTCTTTTGTTACTTCCTGACCTTTCTGTTTCTTGTACAGGTGCCTAATAATCATAATAATCATAAACTCAAACCTGCCATTCTCACTGTAGGTTCTCAAACAAAAACAAAAGATAAAAACTGAATTAGTGTTATTGCTAAGAATTTGTTTCTAGTGCAGTTTTGATTGTTGCTGTGGTCATAAAATAAAATGCAATGAAAATCTTTAAAAAAAAAACTGAATTAGTTTTTGAGCTACAATTTTTGATATGTACATTGTTCTTTGTAAAAAGAAACTGAATCGGAAAAGGCAATACAATTATAAAGAGGTTATTCTATAAAAATGTCCTATGAGAATTTTATAAGACTTGCAAAGAAAGTCATTCATTTTTGCTGTGTGATGGAATTCACTAAAATGTACATAATTTTGAGAAAACACTACAGGTCTCTGAGCACGTGTGTAGAGTACACATGTAACTTTGGGAACTTAAATCAACAGAAGCTCACAATGACGATCCGTAGCACGCTCGATTGCTAAAGCCATAGGCACTCTTTTCAAATGTAATACACCAAATCCTCAACAAATGTATACAACTGAACAGTTCAAATCTTACAAATTAAAAGTCCATTTGGAGAATTTTCTGACTACGAAGATTTTAAACAATGCATAATATAAAAATGTAAGTAATGTGCTTTTGATAGAACTCAAAATGTACACACTCTTCACAGGTGAACTAGTAGCTGTTTTAAAAGTCTTTTTTTCCTACACTAAATATAGATCTGATTTCATTAATGGAGCCACAGCAAAATACTACTATAATTTCAAAGTATAGTCTGTAAACGAATACATCTTATGATGTAAAAAAATATTGCACAGTTTGGTATGCCAAGAGTAAGCGCTAAGCTTCTCTCAAGTAGAATGGTCAAACTCTTGGCAGAAAACACAGTATTACAAGAACTAGACACTTTTAAGTATGGCGATTTTAGGGTTGGTCATATTGTGGGACTATTACTCAACAGATGTCTTATTACCATAAACAAGTTGAGGAATGCCTATCACATGTTGTTATAGATCACAACATCTAAAACGTGGGGACAACAAGCCACAGAACAGTTTTGCAGCCCCAAGATTAGCAATATATTTGTATGTATTTGCTTTTGCAGATAAACAAACACAAAAGCAATTCTATTTCTAAGCAGTTGTGCAGATGTTTAAGAAATACAGTAGACACTTCATACATCTTCAACCCTCTGGAGGCATATGTTTTAAAATTACATGTTTGTGAAAAGTTTAAAATATACTGCTTAACTGTGGAATGGGAGATCGATACATGTCCAACTTCAAAAGCCAACAGGAACGGCAAAAGAAATCCATCTTCTAAAGTATTCTAAATCATGGATGGCTCCACCATTTCTAATGTGGTGTGTGCCAAGCGTTTGGTTGAAGAGAAGTCTCACTGTTATTCTCAAGCATTATGTTAATACACATTAAGTAAACCCTGAAAACTCAGCGTGGCCTTCATTTTTCGGCTTTAGATCCTACGCTGAGGTCTTCATGAGCCACTCAGTACACACATAGATCTGGAAACTTCATCTCGTAGACTGGGATGGACTGGTACTGGGCATGCCCAGAAGTAATGGTCAGTGTTCCTGATGGACTGGGAGGAGGGCTGTAAGAGAGAACAAGCACGGTCAACAGGTTCACTGGAAAGCTGTTCATTTCACAGAACACTCTCCTAACTGCATGCAAACAGCTGAGTGAGACACCCAGCGTCGCTGCTGGCTAGCTACAAGGCTATGTGGGGCAAAAGATCACAGTGCTACCAAGCTGTTCTTAAGTCTGAACCAGACATTTTCTTTTGAGTATGTGTGTGTGTAATTTTTTATAATAGGATTACACTATACCATTCTGGTAAGCTTGCTCTGCTTCACTAGCAGAAAAATCTTTCATACGTACACATATTGTCCTTTTTGCTGACCGCATGGTATTTCATTATGTGGATACACTGTAAGGGTATCTGATCTAATCCAGTGGATAAATGCAGGTTCATTTCCATTTTCCAGTATTATAAATAATATTCAGAGGTCTACTCTTATACACACATCATTTTATCCTGATTGTCTCTAGGTTTACAGTCTTACAAACACAATTTCTTAATCAAAGCATACTCAAATTTGACTTTGATATATATTGCCAGAATACTAGGAATTTATACATTCAACACTGGAGTATATTTGTTCTCTTTTTCTTCTTTTTTTTTTTTAAGTCTTTGCCAATCTGGCAGGCAAAAGGGGTTTCATTCCTATTTTTATTTTTAATTTTTGGGTTACTACTAGTGCTACCTATCACAAAGATATCCACAAAAGATTAAGTATCCATTTTGTTTCTTTTAAAACAAATTGTCTATTTGAGTCCACTGCCTATATTTGTACTCAGATGTTTTTCTCTTATCAATATGGGAAACTAATTTTTTTTGTATGATATTAATGCGTTTCCACAATTGTACTATTTGAGTCTCAACCCTGTGTTTTGGGTTTTGTTTTGCCAAATGCTTAAAAATCTTACCAAAAAATCACTTATGATATCTTCTGACTAAAACTATAGATTCATCTGCAGAGAACTGGTGTCTTTAAGATACTAATTTTCTATTCAAAGCAAGGTGTGAGTTTTCATTTATGATGTATTCCTATGCATATTTCAGAGATTTATAGTTATTTTATATAAGTCATATTTAGTTCTTTGAGTTTGTTAGTGTTTTATGGTTATGAATCTATGGGAATACATTTTCATTACCATTCATATAGTAATGACTTTAATGTATGCACAAATATTAACTTCATATTAACTGTCTAACTGTAAACTGTTCTTAAGCTATTCAGTTGTTTCTATTTTCCTAATATATTATTCTATTTCTGGCAACTAATAATTATTTTGCAATCACCATTCCAATAGTTGTAATATCCCCCCCTTTTTTACTGAGGGATAATTTTCAGAGTGAAATGCACAGGTTTTAAGTATACTGTTTGACAAGAATTGACAAACATATACACTCGTGTGATCATACCCCAACAAAGATAATGAACATGTTCGTCATTCAAAAAAAGTTCCTTTGTGTCCCTAGTCAATTTCTCCCTACTCCCATATCCCCACACCCAACAACCATGTTCTGATTGCTATTGCTGACGATTAGTGTTGCTTGTTCCTGAATTTCATACAGTCTATACATATAGCCTGTAAGAATGGTCCATACAAGCTACACTCTTTTATGTCTGGTTTCTTTTGCTCAAGATGTTTTTTTAACAAACAAACAAACAAAAGTGTTCCTTTTTATTGAATAGTATTTCACTATATTAAGAATATCACTATTTGTCTATTGTCTATCCACTCTCCTGTTGATGAACATTTGGTAATTATGAAAAAAGCTGCTATGACATTCATGTACGTATCTTTCTGTGAATGTAAGTTTTCATTTCTTTGGGTAAATAAATACTGAGAAATGGGATTACAGGATTAAGAGCAGGTATATGTTTAACTTTGTAAGAAACTGCTAAAATTTTACAAAGTGTTTGTACATTTTATATTCCTGTGAGCACTGTAGAGCGTTCTTCTATAATGTCCAATATACTATTAGGCTCATCCTATGAAATTTTTTCATGCACTGTATCACTCTGTTCTTGCATTATGAGCTGGTTCTTTTTTAGTTTCCTCTTCTCTCCTAAAACATGTGTATATTTCCCTTTAAATTCTTTAATGTACATGTGTGTGTATTTTTAGGTCCTTGTCTACTAATTCCAATAACTGGATCATCTGTGGGGCTGCTTACTCCCCTTACTGTATTTTCCTGCTTCTTTGCATTCCTTATCATTTTCTTTATTGCACTAAGATCAAAGGGAATGAAAGGACAATGGAGACTGAAGTGTAAGAGTTTGTTCTGTTTCTTTTCTTGAGAAAACAAACCCTTTCCTCTGTCTGGTGGTTAGAGCGTAGGCAAATGAACAAGAGGAAATATATCAAACAAGAACAAAAAGCTCTGTATCATGTAAGCTATCCAGAACTCCTCCTTCCTAACTAGGTGACCTTGGATGAGTTACCTAACTTCTATGTGCCTCTGTTTCTATGCTTGCCAAGTAAAATTAATCACTACCCTTTTTAAAGGTCTGTTATAAACATTAAATGAAATAATGTCCTTAGTATAGTGCCTAGAAAAGCAGAAGTGTTCAATAAATAATAACTATTAGTAGTAAGTGCTCAATAAATGCTATTAGTAGGCTTTGGAGTACCGATAAAACAGAATTAGTCATAATCCTTATTCTAAAATATTCAATCCATATAGCCATGACGGTGTGACTAAATGTAACATGGTGGGTCCTAGCAACATTCCTTTTAAGAACAGAGTTATGGATTTGAATTTTTATTTTTCCACTCAGTAGCCGGATGACCTACAACAAGTTATTTCTCTAAAGCCTCAGTGTTTTTACCTAGAAAGCAAAAAAAAATAGCATCTACCTATATTTTCAGGACTGTGGTGAGAATTAGCAAAAATAACAGATAGAAAACATGCAGAATAAGATCCATTATAAAATCGACCATAACTATTATAATTAACAGCACCAAGTAAGTAAATGCCCACAGCCATCAATTTTCTCTGAATCTAAGGTATATCACATATTGTGTATTATAGTCTGAATTTCTGTTCTGAAATTTTTTAAATGAGTAATTCTTAGCTTAGTGGGGGTGGCAGGCTTGGTGGGGAAATGCCTAGAATAAGAGGTGTACTGATGAAAACATGCCTTGCACAGGACAGCCGAAAAAAGAATGAACTAAAAAAGCAAGTGGACGACAACGTGTACCTGTCTCTCCTATTTACAGAATCCTGTGCTTGAAGCAAAACAGACTTAGCTCATCAGGTTAAAAATATAAAACATACAGCTGATGTATAAAAAAAACTCCAAAAGCACAGCTTCGAACTATGCCTCCTCCACTGTGCCACCTCAGACAAAGGCCAGCGTCCACACTGAGGTCACGGAAGGACGTGCATAAACACTTTCCCTAGAGGGAACCTGCTGTTGTCTCTCCCTCGGTCTTGTGCTTCCCTACTTCAGCACCAACAGACACAAGTATGTAACCACGTGTCCAAGTATGTTAGATGCCGTATGTTTGGGACATAAAGTTACAACAGGACTGCAATGGGATATGACTGAAGGAAGTCTAATGATTAAGTGAGCCATCTGCATAGGGAGAATCAGTCTTGCCCTGGAAAGAACCATGAGGTTGAACCATATAAAACTGCATTTTTTTGCAAATGAAAATGGGTTAAATATGAGAAATTACCTGGTTAAACATATCATTAGAATGTGAGTCTTCTAAATTACCCAGATTTCCTTATCGGACCACATGGAAGGAAGGAATGATCTAAAAAGGAAAGCTAGGACAGCTAGGAGACACTTAGAAGCAATGCTATCAAGGTCTGTCCAAACAGAATAACCACCAAGACAGAGGCACCTCTGTGATCTTGTGTTTGCCCTAACTGAAAACCACTATTACTTCAACATGATCAGCCACAAATCTACATGGGGGTTTAACAATTTCTATTTTGTTGTTATTTTATCACTGTTGTAGTAATAAAATCCTTACCGTATGGTGAGTTCCAGTATTTGAGCAAGTCTATCATGAAGCAAATTTGCCTACAAGGAGAAAAAAAAATGTTTAAGAATGGATTTTTTTATTTCCCAAATATCCATCTGTACTAATGCAAATGCAATTTAAAGGACAAAGCATAAGTGCAACCACAAAGCTGATGGTACAGAGCGCTTTCATGTTTTGGCTTCTTCTGTCCCATCCACTGGAATTTAATGTCAAGTTTCTCTTCCACTTCCTAGCTCACTGGGAGAAACAAACCAAGAGACACATAAAACCAAATACCCATAGCCAAGTCCCTGACACCCACTACACAAGAAGTACCACAGCAGCAATGATCCTCAACATTCAGTCCAGGAGCTGCCTTCTCCATCGACCTGTACTACACACACAGATCACCGAGGCCTCCCAGCCAGGCCACCAGGGTTTTCAGTCCCCACCTGATACATTCCCGTGTGTTCTGTGGATCTGCACGAAGCGTGGAACCTACCAACTAATGACCAAGAAGATGTCCACAAAATCAAACTCTTCCCACATCCCCTTTACTATTTGTTCACTTACTTTGGATTCACACTGTGCTGCTATTTCTTCAAAAGGTGCTTTCTGGAATTTCTCTATCACAAGACGCCTCTTTTCCTTTTCCTGTTCTTCCGTTCCACTGGTATCTATATAAATGTTTACAAAGACCCATTAAAGGGATTACAGATTTTCACAGAACCTTGCCATGACCATAAAAGCAAACACTCTATAAATCAAAAATAAAGGTTATTTATAGGACTAGGTTTAAAAGGAAAAAAGCAAAAGACTGAACATCCCTGAAATGTCTATAAGGCTAGAGAGCAGATACACAAAACATTTTTTTAATCTAAGGGTTAAAGCTACATAGTACAAGATCCTTTCTCAAAGACCACCTTTGTCTCTCTTCCCAAAAAGCAGGAGAATGACAACTTCCTGCAAGCCAAACAACCTCAAGACCCCACCTGAAAGATGATTCTTGTATGACTACTCATGCCTCGGTACATGAGATACTAAATTAAAAGTCTGCTGAACTTGATACTGAATGGCACAGTGGAAATACAGAGCAGCCATTTGGAACGTATTGTTTCAGACTTTTGCATTTATTTCCAGTTTGAAAAGACATGTTTTATCTTAAAATGATGTGTGGCCTGACCAAAGTTTGTGAGATAGTAAAATAAATAAATGCCCGTTACATCTGCTTAAGAATATGGAAAAAGGCCTGATTTATGGCTTGTTAATGGTCTACCGCAACCCCCCAGCAATTCTTCAGGTTGTTTTGTTTTTTTGTTTGTTTTTTTTCCTGGTCAAGAATTTCACAGGATAAAATACACGGTGTTCTACGTTCTTTAACCCAGGCTGCTTTTCAGGTAGACAAACTGTAGGTTACAATTAGCTAGTTTTAAAAAGTGGAAATAGAAATAGCAGGTAGAAAGGAAACAGGCTTTTACAGATTTTTCCTTTGAAACTGTGGCAGGTTAAAATAATTGAAGAATTTATACACTTCTGAATGACTAACAGAGACTTATGATCACCTCTCTGTTGTTCACTAGAACAGGGTAAGCAGCTCAAATGGCCAGAGGCCGGGCGGGACACATAAATGTTTACATTAGGTCAGGTAAAAGCAGTAGGAAATAAGGGAACGTGGGCAAGATGAGGTAGATACACCCTGGTCTTATGTCAATTTCTGAAGATACTTCAAACTAAATTTGGCCTGTAAGCAGCAAGTCTGTTTGCCATGCATTAGGCAGTTCTCAAGCTTTTTGGTTTCAAGAGTCCTTTCCTTTACATCCTTGAAAGTTATGAAAAAACCAAATCGTTATATCCACTGATACTTTCCATATTACAACATAAAACTGAGGAACTTTAAAAACATTTAATTCCTTTAAAAATAATTCATTTTAAAATTATGACACCATTATATGTTAACATAAATAACATTTCTTTAATGAAAAAATGACCATACTTTCCAAAGTGAAAAAACTCAGTGAAGAGAATGGCATTGCTTTGTATTTCTACAAATCTCTTTAATGTCTTGGCCTAATAGAAGGCAGCTGGATTCTATCTGCAAATGCATCCAAACCACTGCAGTGTGTTATTCTGGTTGAAGTATATAAAGAGGTATGTACTGGGGGAAAGAGTATTTTAATAGCCTTTCACAGAACTGTCGGTATTTTTTTCTTGGACATTACAACACAATTTGAAAAGTGGTAGTTTTGTTAAAAGTTAGCTGCAATACGAAATTTGAAATCTTACTAATAAACTTTTTGTAACTGGTTATGGTAAAATCCATTGGTCTATTTTACACTTTGAATAATCTTTATTTATGCATGATTTTGTAACATCATGCAATAGTCATGTGGAATACTGATCCAGTGATTTAGGCAGGTCCTCTAAATGTAGACATGTTTCATTATACAAGATTTTTAAAATCATATTTGGTAGTTACTACCACTGATCTCATTAGAAGCGTCTAAATATTTGGGTGCTGTCAAACTCACAATAGCAGACAAAAGTCAAAATTTTATTTTGTTCAAAGTGCAAATTTTATCATTAGAAGCAAATACAGTGAGGATGGTTTTGTTTTTCCTCTTAAAGTCACAGCTTTGTTTCATTTATTTTCCAGAAAATGCCTACCAAATACCACAGGTTTTCTGTCAGTCTTTTTTTCTTTCTTTTTGAAATAAAAATGGTGTTCCTTATAAAAATCGACCAGTTTAGGGGCGCCTGGGTGGCTCGTTCGGTTAAGCAGCCCACTCTTGACTTCAGCTCAGGTCATGATCTCAGGGTCATGGGACTGAGACCCGTGCTGGGCTCCGTGCTTGGCAGGGAGTCTGCTTGAGATTCTCTCTCTCCCTCCCTCTGCCCCTCCCCCCACCGACTTGTGCACTCTCTCTCTAAATCTTTAAAAAAAAATCAGCTAGTTCAGCTTGCAAATCAAGGCAATCAAAGAAGTGCTTTATGTGTACTTCCCAAAGATACGTACCCATGGGTTGAGATTTAATAAAATAATTTACAGTAAGAGCATTCCTAAATAAAATCTCATTTTAAAGTACCTGTGTGTGTGTGGTACTAAGGAGTACGATCACTGCTAGACTAGTGTGGTGCTATGGTCTCCGTCATTCCTGTTATCTGACGTAGTACAAAGGCTAACAGCGTAAAGACACTGTTAGGTGAAAATACGTTTTGCGTGAAGGATCCCTTGAAAGAGCCACCACAGGCTACTGAGGGATCCACAGACACACTGTGAGAACCACTGTCCTAGACTGTAAATTTCTCGACATGTCCTATCCTGTTGTTACTGTTATTTTTAAGTAGGCTCCATGCCCAACATGGGGCTTAAACTCACAACCCTGAGATTAAGAGTCACATGCTCCACCAACTGAGCCAGCCACGCACCCAATGACATGTCCTATTAATCTTTAAACGTCTCAAAATATATTGCATATAATGGATGTTCAAAATTGCTTACTGAATTCAATTAATTTTATTTTGGTAAATTTGACATTGTATTACAGTAATTCAAAAATCCTCTAATGGATTAAGCCAAAAAAGGTCAGATTTTACTTCATGGATGATGGGTGCTAGAGCACTCCACTTTCCTTGATACTAATTTTTTTCTTCTAACAGCTCTGAAAAGATGAGAGCCCATTTCCACCCTATATTGCTTTACCAGTTAGAAAAACTGAGAACAAGGTATCATTAGCCTAGCAGTAATTTATATCAATACTTAATTGAAAGAACCGTTTTAAAATTTTAAAAAAGAGGCAAATCATACAAAACTTATTTCCATAAGGGACAAAGGAGAAAAAAAATCAGAGTAATATTTTATGCAAAGTAAAAAGATTACAGTCAGTCAACTGTGGGTACAAAATCTGGCATCAGCATTTACTTGCTATGTGATCTCAGAAGAGTTTGGTAATTTCTCTGCACCGATGATCTCACCGATAAAACAGCAAGAGTTAACATGGTCCTCTCTCATGCCTACCTGCTAACAATCTCAGCCAGCTCCTTTCTCCTGCCCCATTAGAAACACGCCTCTAATCACACTACTGTGTGCCTGTTAGGTTACTCAATTTATTCAGAATTTTCATCCCCCCATGTCCTACAAAAGGAAGCATGCTATTTCTCCTAAGAAGTTGGAGCAGCCTGCAGGTTGGCTACCAAATAAGTGTGGCATTAAAATATACTGACGTGCTTTCTTAATTCTAGGACAGTCACTGTACAGAGCAGAACTACCTCTGATAAGACAGGACAAGTATAAGTCTAAAAAACAGCTGGGGGGCGCCTGGGTGGTTCAGTTGTTAAGCATCTGCCTTCGGCTCAGGTCATGATCCCGGGGTCCTGGGATCGAGCCCCACATCGGGCTCCCTGCTCAGTGGGAAGCCTGCTTCTCCCTCTCCCACTCCCCCTGCTTATGTTCCCTCTCTCACTATATCTCTGTCAAATAAATAAGTAAAAAATCTTTAAGAAAAATAAATAAAAAATAAAAAACATAGCTGAATAAATCAATTACAGATCTACGCACAAATGCCATGCTGCTTCTGTTTATTCTGGCACCTCATCAAGTACTAAGACAGAGATAAGCTAGCAAATCATTAGGAGAGTTAACAAAAATCTCACCAATTGCTTTCTTCAATGCTTCAAAGGTGATTTCTTCAGTGTTACTAACCTAGAGAAAAGTGATTTTAAGTAAAATAAAGAGTTAAGAAAGGTCAATATAAATAACACCTTCACCTAGTTACAAGTCATCTAAGAACTTTTATAGTTGTTTTTCTTCTCTGTGCTGGCTGGATTTGTGATTATCCTCCACAGTATCCCATAATCTCCCCTTGCTCCTCGGTACCAGTGGCCTACTGCAGGGATTAATGCTAGGCTGGCAGGATCAGCATCCTGTAGGCAACCCAACCACCACTGAGTTACAGAACTCCATCTCCACTCACGGAGTGTGCAACAGGCCTGAGGCCCACTGACTGAACTAGGCTTCCCTAAGTGAACAGTGCTTTGAGAGAGTCAAGGCAGAGAAAAGAACGTCAATACAGTTCAGTTATGTAATAAATGAAAACTAAGTATACTCTACACCCTCTATAATTTTGGTGCCATATACAGTTTACAAATAAAAAATAAACTGAAAACTTTAAATGGTTTAGAAGCAAGAATCACCACTACTTTGGGAAGTGTTCAAATGAGTACAATTAACATCTTAAAACATTCATATTCTGGGTCTTCTAAGGTCAACCACCTACACTTATTTTCCAGAAATACCTTTTAATAAGAAGCTTCCCCCATTTCTTGCTTTGAGATATATAAAAGGCATGAAATCAATTGCCTTATGATAAAAAATCAGTAATACTTTTTACGGCACCAGCACATTTTCAGGGGGAGCAATACACCCAGTTACTATAGTATCTCTGAATAGAAGTTATGAAATGATACCTGAGTACTTGCCTGGGCCTCTGGTCATCCCTAATTTTAGCTCATGAGCTTCTTTTGCTAAGTCTAAGGCAGCAAGACTAACGAAAGCAAGACTTCATGCTTTGCACCTTAGCTTCTCTGTAATACAAAGGCTTTAGCTGGAAATCAAGCAGCAAGCGTTCCACTACCTCAGTTTTTCTACTGAGGGTTCATATTTCTAGTTGAAGTCAGATTAAACTTGGGAATCTTCGGTTGCTTTGTTCTAGATATTTGGAGCAGATATACAGGATTAGGCTCTGGCTCATTAATTATTTGTACCTAGTAGCAGTCTAGTACCTCAATGAAAAAAACCCACTGTCGTTCTTACAACTGGTGAGGAGTTTTAGACTTCTGAGAAGCAACTACAGTACAGGGAAAAGAACACAGAAGAACTACGAGGCCAGCCTCCTTGTTACATATAACTGTGAATTATTACCTATTTGATCCCTGGTAAGTGAGAAGTTAAAGTCCTTTATTCCAAGAACTCTTCTCTCTTGGTTCTTGTTTTCCCTAATTCGGATGATCCTGATACAGTCACTCTGCCCCTCTCCTTTCTTGTTTTTAACCTCCTTTCTCGGACTCCCTTTTAGTTACTTCTTGGACCTGCCCATCCTGCTCCGGAACAGGCTACTGCTCTCTTGTCCCCTACCTTATCTCCAGCCTGGCTACTGCAGGTCCTCCTTACCCAAACTGTAGACTAGTAAAAGGATCTACTAGATGGCCTCTCTACCTCCGGTCCCTTCTTTTCAGTTCAGCCTAGCCACGCTTCTGAGATTCCTTTCATGAAAGCATAGCCGTGATAATGACACTGCCCAAATTTCAGGGTTTCCCTACTTCCTACCAAATCACACACAAAGCCCTCAGGCAGGTGACAAAACCTTCTATAATTTGGCTTCAATCTTGTTTCCCACTCTTTCCTTTTGTGAATCCTATTTAAAAAGGAAAAAAAGACCAACTGCTTTATATTAGTGTTCAACAATTCCTATTTTTCATACAGTGTAGCTACTAAGTACAAGCCACCTATTTCATTTGGTGCCCAACCAAACTACAGTCTATTTGCCTCTCTAGAACACCAGTTGTGTGTTCTGGAGAAATGGTGCAAAGGCACCAGGCTCGAGGAGTTTCAACACTCCTTTTACTCTTGATGACTTTTGCCTTATTCATGATCTACAGCTCTAACCTAGACTGTACAACACCCTTGAGCCTACATAAAATGTGTTTGTCTTCTTCCAATCAGACTAGTTGTTATGTTACTTCCGCTGATATCTTACTAATTTTATAGCACCTAGCAGAGCAGCTTCCGACTCATACTATACTAGACTTGTTTTGTTAGCACACATGCAAGTTTCTTTATTCGTTTATGGGAAAAGGCAGGAGTGTGTAAAACAAAGATCTGTTATTTATCCTAGAATAAATGACAATTCTTTTTAGCCAACCAGTGACTTAATTTTGTACAAAGAAAAATTCAATATGCACTGAAAATGTAATATGTATAGCCTCCCATTCATTCCCCCAAATAATTAAGCACTATGACCTTTTAGAAAGAAGAACTGAGTGGTGATTATTCATTAGACTACAGTAACAATTTGAGTTATATCTATGGAAAACATAAGTTTGCTATGATCTCATCTAAACATTCTGACTTTAAAAAAATATATAAGCTCTAAAAGCAGATATTGGATATATCTGAGGATTAACTGGGATTATGTATATAAAATTTCAAATAATTTTTATCAAATACAAGAGTACTGTTTTTTAAATGAGTAATTCTCTTATTTGACTGTTAGCAAATATACTTATTCATAGTTTGATATTTTGTTACATCATTAATTGGTGAGCACTTAATTGACGTGTATTTCTCCTTTCCATGCTATGAAATTAATTAGTTCCAGTCTAGAGGGTAATGTTATTTTGTCTTCTGGTTTTTGAACAGTCATTCCTAATACGCAAAATCAGATTCCATAATGGTAAATGAGTTTGAAACACCAATGTGCTCAGGTAAATCTTGTAAGAAACTGTACTTAACTTTTCAAATGCTTGGTGTGCAGCATATTTGACTTAGGACTTACAGCAAAGAAAAAACAGGGTCTTTAACAAGTTAACAAATGTATTAATGGACTTTTAATTGCAAAATGTATGTTTAAGAATCTTCTTCCTATAGTTAAGTCTTTATACAATGCAAATATTTTCTTTAGTTCTTTTTGTCCCGGAATGATAAAATGTTTTTATCAAAATAGATTGATTTCTTTGCAACACCTTGAAGTGCTATATGTATATATATATATTTTTTTAAATAAAAATGGTTAACAAAAAGAGAATGGGATACCACTCAATAAAATTTACTGCACTCTTGATAAAGTGTATAAACCAAGGCTTTAGATTAATTTTCCCCCAAAAGGTAACAGCAACAAATTCATAATCATTAAAATACAGAGCTAGCACAATACCCTCCTGACCAGTAAAAAAGTATATACGTTAAGATGGCTTTCAAGAGGTGAATTTAAACAGGAAGATGATTTTTCTTGAGCTTTAAACTGGCAAGAAACTACACCCACTCTATTTCAAAATGAACACTAACTGCCTCTTAACTACTCTTGACACACTGCTGATAATTTCTTAATGAAACTGACTGGTTCTACTTAATGGGGAGTGGAACACCATAAAAGATGTAAGCTAATTGGCTGGAACTGGCCACCAAAAAGTTCAATTCCTGAAGACTGACAGGGATTGGGGAGGTGGGGGGGGGGGGGGAGCGCTGTGACAGCATGAATTCAGGCAAATTCCTTCCCCTTTTCTTAGATGGATAATCTCTTAATTATTTATACTGTACCATGAGAAATAATGAAAAACCTAGGAAGGCAAACAACAGATAAACTCCAAGGAGGAGGCTGACATCCTGGTATTTCAGCATTTTTACTTGACCATCAAAAAATTCTCTGGTGATTTGTGCAGAGTAAGTCTTAGACAATACTGGCTGTTTTCTTCTTCCTAAAGCTCAGGATACACTTCTGTGTTCTATTGAAACAGGAGGAGAGCATCAAATCTCTGACCCTTCAAGTCAGTCACAGTTCTTAAAGAGTACACGGGGCACTGATACAGTGTAGCCGACATTAAAGCCATTATAGTTACTATCAAAGGATAAAAAAGTTTCCCTCCCAGCTGAGGCTTTGAAACCTTCCACACAGTACTTGCCTTCACATGAGATTGTACAGTTCCCTTTATTCTCCTAATTCGTTTCATAAATCTTTAAAAATAAATAGAATTTGGAGCACCTCCCAATTTAATAACAGGCCTTACATAACATTTCTGATAAAAACTTAGTTCTGTTTCACAGTTCCTTTTATTACACTAAATTACAATGTAAAGCCTAATGACCTCATAACACACAATGTTAAGTTTATGTATCTTTACTGAGAGCTGACATGAGTTTAGTAAAATAAAAAATAAGCTCAAGGCTAAATCAGATTAATGTCTACTAATAGCACTGTCGATATGGGGATAATTTAGAGTTATATTTGCTCCTGTTTGAAAGCATGGAGGGGCAAAAAGTTATTTTAAATTGATACCCATCTCAAGAAAGTACTCTGCCATACACTTTCAGCAACTTACCACATCATCAGAAGGAATGCTGTTGGGTAAAATATCCACCTGAATGGATACGGTGTCCACAATACTTTTTCTTCTAGAAAGTCGATCTTCATCTAAAATCAAAATGGTTTTTTCCACCATTACTTGCTAGTTAGAAATGGTATATCATTTAAAAACTCTACCTATTTCAGATTTCAAAAAATCTCAGAAAATAAACAGTTGTCTTTTTTGCTCTTTCTAAATGTATGAAGCATTGTGTTCTCAGACTTTTAAATTTTATCAAGCAGATAAAAAAAAAAAAAACTGATGGGGTGAACTAAAGTTAACAGTTTTATTTTCCAAAAAGGGGCATTCAGAGCAGCAACATTACCATTACCCTAATAGTTTAATAAAAAACAAAAGTCAACACTAAAAGGAGGAATTACATAATCTAAATTGAATACATTCATTTTTACTGAACACTCACAATGTTGCCCTTATATCTCTCATTTCTCCCCTGAACAGTGAAAGCTGCACTAACTATGGATCTAGCTCAGGAACCCATGTCTGCAAGTGTTTACCATGCACCACATTTGTGGACTGAAAGGATCTGCTGCTTCAGTCAATAGCTCCTTCTCCACCCTTTCCAGCCATTCAACTCCACCGGCTCCTCACCTATCCGGAAAAACCTACCCTTCACTTCAGTGCCTACTTTCTCCCCACTTTTGCAAACATGCTTGGTCTGAACCAACTGCTGTAATCTGTCACTACCTACTCTTAACCCCTGAAGTTATAATCCTGCCCTTAACCACTCTTCTCAAAAGAGTGTCTTCCCACCCAGTAAGTTCAACAGCTATCCCTAGGCCCATTTTAGCTTAACCGTTTCGTGGAAATTTGAATTTTTTTTTATTATAATCTCCCCCCACACATTTTTTTCTACTTCGATTTTCTCCTTCGGCATTCAATAAATCTATAAAGTGATTAGACACCATGTTAGGTGTTAGGGACAGACTGCTGAATGTAGTCCATACGAGCTTACAGTCTAACAGATAAGACCCAAAATAAACAAATAGTTACAGAAATAATGAAGCACAATGGAGAAGGACAGGGTGCAAGGAGAACAACTAATAGTTACGGTTTCATCCAAAAAAATGAAGCCACTTTATGTATTCCAATACATAGAATTAGAGGTTTATTCAACCACAGTTGAACTGGACAAGTATATTTTCTCTTCTGAGCTCCAGTTCAGTATTTCCAATTTCCTATTAGTCAATTCTATTCAACATGTTCTAAACCCAATTTTAACATCTCTAATAAACCATCTTTATGTCACACTGCCCTATTTATTTTCAAGAGGGCCATCATTAAAATTCTGCATCTTTTTTGCCTGAATTCTTAGGATAGCTTCCTACCTGATCTCTCCCTTTTATACTGCTAATAGTGTTATTTTGAAAGTAAATCATTTTTAGTCTTAATTATAATTTTAAAACAAATACAGCCCACGCACTGATACAGAGCTTCCCAAGCTTTTACAGTTGGGTTTAGAACATGTCAGAGTAAAATGGAAGAGGCTGCTCACACTGTAGGCTCTGACTGCCCCAGCCACAACCCATTTACTAGAAGGGCTAAGGAGATCAATATCCAGACACATCTGAAATGTTCCCAAAAGCAGCTGGGAAGCTCAGGTCTAGAATCTATGTCTGACAGCACAGTCACTTCATAATCTGGCAACACCCCATCTCTCTAATCCTATTTTATACATACTGTGATTTTCTTCTACGGAAAGAGTCAAGAATAAAGAACCACAAGAAGGCCAGCACAGATGAAGAAACTGGTTTCTTACTGACCACTTCTACTCCATGGTAGGCTTCCATGGTGGTAATTGAAGCTGGTGATCAAATACGGTTGTTCACCCTCTTTCTAGGCAGCAAGGAGGACTGCAATTCCAGCTTCTCTGTGGTTTAGAGGGACTATGTAACTAGTTCTGGCCAATAAAGAACAAGCAGCATTCTAGAGAGCAGCTACTCCATCAGCTTGGATTCCAGATATGGATGCTATGAAGTTATGCACAGTTAATTTGAGCAACAAATCTTTACTGCTTTAAACCACTAAGAACCGGGTGCCTGGGTGGCTCAGATGGTTAAGCGTCTGCCTTCGGCTCAGGTCATGATCCCGGGGTCCTGGGATCGAGTCCCGCATCGGGCTCTCTGCTCCTTGGGAGCCTGCTTCTCCCTCTGCCTCTCTCTCTCTCTCTCTCTCTCTGTCTCTCATGAATAAATAAATAAAATCTTTAAAAAAAAAAAAAAACCCACTAAGAACCTATGATTATTATCACAACTTAACTTAGCCAGGGTTAAACCTTGGCACTACTGATCTTTTGGGCCAGATAATTCTTGTGGTGGGGGGGTTTTCCGTGTATTGCAGGATGTTTAGCTTCTACCCACTAGCAACCAGTAGGGCCTACCCCACCTCTCCTTGCCCCACAGTGGTGACAACTAAAAATGTCTCCAGGATAGACAAGTATTTCCTGGCATGGGCAAAATCACCCTCAGATGAGAATCACCGACCCAGTCCATCCTCACCAGTAATAGCCCCTTCTACAATATTCCCTATATGCCACCATCATATCATAAGTTTCTTAAAACACTAACCACATCACTCCACAAAGCCACCCACTTCTTGATGAATTAAAAAGCCATTCTGGGGTCTCTGGTCAGATCTACCAACAGTAACTTCAACTGCTCCCTAATTTATCTAATGTTCAAGTAAAATGTGCTGTTTTCCAATCTCTGAGCGTGCTCTGGCCTCCTGCCTTCCATGCTTTTCTAGAAACAGAAACCCCTACTGGAAACACTTTATTTCTTGTCCTTCTTTACATCCTCCCACTATACAAATTTTCACATCTTCTAAGGCCTAAATGAATATTACATCACTTCCTTAAAATTTTAAATATTACTCCATTTATTTTTACTTATCCCTCTTTCTTTCAGATACAAAAACTTACTATCACAGTTATGATTGATCTTCCCCATCACCCTTCCATCAACGGCACCCTTCAAACATTTCTTGGGCCTTGTACTAAGACATGTAACTTAATGCCTTATCTCGGTTATCACAGCAGGAATTCAGTGACAAACTCTGCTTTGCACCTACCACGCAGGATTCACTCGGGTTCTGCTTAAGAAGGCTGTAGGTACAGACGAATACATACTCAACTGTGACACATCAATACAGATTGCGCTGCTACGGTTTTCAGACTGAAAATACCCCATCTCCTGCGTGTGGCTATGACTACGACCTAGACATTGTATTCTTTTTCTTCACGATCATGTGCTTTGATATAAATTACCAAACATAATGACATCAATAGAACTGCTACAAAGTAGTATGTGGTCATCACTGCTGACTTGCTTTTACCTTCTAAGCTGGTCAGCTGTCAAGACCTCATCAGAACTCAAAATGAGGAATAGCAGCCTGTTTCTCACAAAAAAACCCATAAAGGATTTCTAGGCTAACATACAAAGGCTGATGGGGAGCACAGTAAAGTCAGCTTTAAGTCGAAGATAAAAATAAAAAGGGAAGAGAGGCGTGAGGGCAGGGAAGGAATCACTGGATGGCAAAAACCAATGAGAACATAGTCCAGAGGGAGCTGATTTAAGATTAAAAAATTTTAAAGGGAAGAAAATAAAACGTAATGGGAAACTCTAATGTTATGTTCTCAGAACTTTATTCTTTTGACCTATACAATCACGTGCTTACAGGTGACTGCAGAAAAGCCCAGGTACAACTCTAATCAGATATCATGGACATCTACACGAAAGTAAGGTTTCTAAAACAGAGCTTACGGAGATAATGCCCCTGGTCCCTGTGGGCCACCTGCGTCTGTTCCTGACCTGCTCTTCCAAGCTTACTGAAAGCAGCCTCACTGCAGCCTCCACGGACTACACCGTCCTGCTGTCTAGAGAACGTCCCTGTCACCATCTCAGGGTCTGATATAGTGATACACTGGTCTCTGGGAAGACCGCTGCTTTCCATCCTCAAGATGGGCTGGGGTCGTCCCAGACACTGCTTGCTGTGCCCTCGTCACTTTCCCATCCCTCCTCCTGCTCTGCTTCCTGTGTCTGCTATTCATTCACAATGGTGACCATCGTCTCTCCTTATTGTTTCTAACTAGGACTTGGGAGTTTAGAAGCAATTCTTAGACAGAGCTATGCTCACTACAACCTCTGAACTCCCACACAAAACCCATCTGTGACTCTTAACTGCCTACAGGGCACCCTACACGGTTGCTCACTGTCAAAGATACTCAGCAAGAGGCTGATTCCCTAAACTAGCCACTTTTTCCTATTCATTTCTGTGAATAAAAACTCCTTTCTGTCATCCAAGATCCAAAACAACGTATAGACAGTTACATCTAAAATGTGCATCTTTTTCTTTCTTCAATTAAACCCAGTCATATCACCCAACTCTCCAAAAAAAAAAAAAAAAACAAAAAAAACAAAAGCAACTGAAGCAGCAAATACACTCCACTCTTACCCTCAGTGGTGTGCCATCCATCCACCCAAGCATCCAAGGCAGAAACCAAGACAAATCTTTGGCTTTCTCCTTGTCCCCTCATGCCAATCAACTGCTTATAAATTCTTTCTTGTAGGTTTTTCTAGAATCCACCCACTTCTCTGTATTCTCACTTAGTGCAGGCCATGGTCCTCTCTCCTGGAAATTACTGACGAGCATTCTAAATGGGTGCTCCATCTCCACTATGCTGTAATACCACCACAGTAATACTTGTACAATGCCTAACCCTGTTTAAAATCACTCACTGACTCCCCAATGCTTGCAGAATAGTGCAAAATATGCAACCTGTGTTTACAATTCCCAACCCTACTCCTCTGATTCAGTCTAAGTACACTAACTTCATACTAATTCCCTGAAGAATCACGTTCTTGCCTATGTCCCTTCTTTCACACATGCCATCACACTTCTGAAGAAAACACTTGCCTCACACCTGCTTCAGGTTCAGCCCAGGAATTGTTCCCTTTGGAAGACATCCCTGGCCCACCAAACCTGGACCACCAAATGCTCTCCTAGCTGCTGCCTGGGACCCCAAACTTCTCTGATCATAGCCCTGAAGGTCTGCTGTAACTGTCCAGTTATTTGTCCTGTTCGAGACAAATTGTATAATGAATTAGCTTCTTTGCTATGCATCTGGAATAAAACTGGTAAAACGCCATCATGGGGGGAACTGAGAAAATAGTCACTCAAATCATCTTCTGTGCTTTGTGGTCCAGATGAAGAACCCAGTTGAGAAAGACTATCAATTCTGTGAAAGTAGGGACTTCTACCTATTTTCTTCGTTTTTGCTTCTGTTTGCATTGAAGCTGGAACTGTAAATACTCATAAACATTTAACTATACAAGTTTACTACAGCCACTGACACTTCTGATTGATCTAGCTGATTGATCTATTACGGTACCCCCTCATGGAGGAGTATTTAGCACATGCCTAGACCTACACTATTCACTCAAGTTCTAGGTGGATTTGAGATTAAAGAAAAATGCTATAACCACCTTATATTTAGGGCCCACTTACTATATGTCAGTCACCAACAGTTCAATAACTTTTAGGCAGACCACTTCTTCTTTCTTTAGAACCCACTACCATTATATTTTAATCATGTGTCCGCCTTCTCCACCAGATTTTAATCCTTAACATCTTTCTACCCTCAAAACCACACCAATTTTTGGTAAATAGTAGGCAGTCAGTCAAGGTTTATGGAATACATGAAAGAAACAATCTGGATCAGTAGGGATGACTGAACAATCTTTATGTACATGGGAAACAGTAGTGTTACCTACTGAAATTATTTAATTTCCACCTCATTATTCTCATTTGTAAACAAAGATAATGCTACCTACTTCACCAAACCTTTAAGGATTAAATGAGAAAATGAATACAAGTGCTTATCTCAGTGACTGGAACAGAGTTAATGCACACTAAATGGCTGCTAATATTTTCATGATGATAGGTATATGCATGATACACAGCAAACTAAGTATGTTTTGCGTTTTCTTTTGATATATTCTTCTTAAATCCCTGATTTTTTTAAATGAATATCTGATGGTTACACAGCAAAAAAAATTTTTAATAACCAATTGATTATACCATAAAGCATCACTGCATCTTCAAACTCTGCATTAAGGCAGGGCATACATGCCATAAACTGGTTCTAAACTATCAAAGTTTTTATAAATCAGAAAAACCTTATTCACACTGAGGGATTTCTATGCAGTTACATAAATTAAATATATACTGAAATATTCAGAATTCTTCCAGTCAATGATAGAGAGGCATTAAGAATGAGAATACATCTATTGGGGGGGGGGAGGGGGGAGAGCAAACCATCTGTTAAAAAAAACAAGTACCATAATTTTCATTAAAAATTGTTACTTGTTAAGAGTCCCATCTGTTAAAAGAGTTAAAGGAACAGGGTAAAAGGAAACAACAAAGGTGAAAATATACTATGGTTACTGGGAAGGTAAAGGGAAATAACCACTGAACTTACTACTACATAAAATATACGGGCCACTGGCTCCATTTCTAAAAGGCAAATTTTATTAAGCTATTTTCCTAGAGGACAGGTGAGGGAAGGGCAGGCCAAACTGACACTTGGATTTACCTTTGTGCTTGTGCCTGGGTTTATCAGGTTTTTTGCCTGAAGGAAAGAGAGCTAAATCCAAATTATAAGAATGAAATATTTTTAAGGTCTTTTTTAAAAAATGTTTTAAATTACAAAACTGTACCACTGTTATATCCCCAAGGAATTCATGAGGTATAGAACTTTCATAGCGTAGAATGTAAAAGAAAATGCAAAAGCATTCATTAACATCTCAGAGGATTACGAACTATCACTGTAATAAATGTGTATGTTTTGGATCCACATTATAAAAAAGATAGCTATTTACAAAGATTGTGCTATTTTTAGTGATTAATCCAGAAAACTGCCTAAGTCAAACAATTCTCATATAGAACAAAGGTGTCCCCAAAGCAAGAAGTAGTTCTTCTGTCAAATTTAATACTTATATGATCATCAAATGACAATGAAGGCGCAGAACAGAGACACTTTGATTTTAGTTGTTAAACACTAAATGCAAGACACCATGCAGTTTTGCCTTAAAAACAACAGAATTACTTGAGGCAATGAAGAGAACGGAAAGAAATACATGGTGCACAGAGGAAAACACATTCTTAACTTAAAAGGTCTGAAGACTTTTTTTACAAAGCAGTCAGCGCTTCCAATGACAGCAGTTACCTGCCTCATTCAGCTCAGTAGTCACAAATCACTCATTAAACAACTTACATATATTTCCATAAGCCAAACACAATATGGGTTAATGAAGAAAGATACCCATGGGTTCCTCTGTTTGAAGTACAATAATATGTTAAGTATAATACTAACAATCACTTAAAGACTCCGTTTGTTCATGATAAAATCATGAGAGATTTACCAAAAGGTTTTCAAGAGCAAAATTTAAGTGAAAGTAAAACCTAAGCATTTGAAAAACTGTGGTAAAGTAAGTATACAAACAATGAATTTTCATTGCTAACTGTGTTAATGGAAAAATTACCGAAACATCATCACCAGAGTTAGAGTTCCAATTACCCTCCTCTTACCTGTGACTTGGGGTACATACGGTACCGACAACCTCTCAACACTATAGCCGCTTCCGCCTAGTGACTCTGCAATCTTGTTGGTCAAAAAGTATAAATTTTTGTCATGCTTCTCTAAAGATTTTGGAAGCCTGTCGGGTTGATCATAACAAAAGTCATTCAGCATTATTTAAATTACTGAGCAAAAATAAGTTAACATGCAGGCATGCTAGATCCAAGCCTAAATATAAATATAAACACAACTTAAACTGTAATTAGTGATAGAAAAATCAGTGTATTTTTGGTGACCAATCTGACTATAAAAACACATGGTATGTGGTCCCATATGTTAAGCATTCTGCTGTGAATCCTTCTCCAATAACGTTCCAATGGGGAAGTCAGCCTTAATTATTCTGTGGGTATTCACACATTAAATGATGAAGAGGACTAAATTCAGCTTTAACCTAATTAAAACTCTGAGAGAAGAAAAATCAAACTGTAGCTCAGCGATTGCTAATGAAACACCTATCAAAGTGATAGGAAGCACCAGCCCAATCACATAAAAAGGTCCACTTTCTTCTCAAGCTGTCTGACATTATTTTATGCTGATGCTTCCAATATTACACTGCTTTTACAGCTCCAAAGTCTGAATAAAGTATTGTTCACATATATGTTCTTATTTTAAGAGCAAGGGAGAAGGAAGGGTATAACACTGTTTTTCTTAATACACTCTCTGTCCCACAATTTTGTGAGTACTGTTAGCTATGAGTGCTGAAAGTCTTGAATAGGATACTGTATTCTCTTAAGGAAATGCTTATTTATATATGAGAACATGCTATATTTGAGATATACCTCCATACTAAAAAGAGGTAAGATATATTTTTTTCATCAAAGATTGACTCTGTGTGTGCATGAGTCTACACTTACACTGTACAAGAACTTTTATAGCAAGGGAAAGAAGTCACATGCATTAAATGACAGAAATACGAAATACACGAAAATAGCCTAACAGTTTACTCCTTCGTAATCATCACTGAAAGGTTTCTCAAGCCAGTGCCCTTTCCTTAAAATGTAAAGAATTAACATACATGCACTTATCTCTGAAAATATGCTCTGGTAGAAAATAAGGGGCTTCCATAGTTCGAATTTCAATAACCTGAAAAATATCCAAAAACAAAAGAAAAAAAATCAAAAACCTCATTCCTCAGGACCTGGCTCTGAAAATTTGGAAAACCAAAAACACTGAAATTAAACATTTGGAAAGATACCAGCACTTTATTTTGGAATTTAAGCTATGTTTAGAGCACACAAGCAGGGTTCATTTTATTTTCACATTTATTATTTTAAAAATCCAGAAGGTAACAAAACTGTAACAATAAAATAATACATGTAATAAAAAAACAATGATGTACCGCATCTGATTGAACCTACGACAAAAGGATAAGAACACCTCGAGTGCCACTGCGTTGGAAACCCCTTGACAAAGCCCAAGGCCGTGGGCACTCTCACTCTTCTGTAGCACGTGCCTGAGGTCTCAACGTACTTCTGAGGTCAGGCTCCTCTGCACCGTGAGCAACTTAGAGAGGGGGGCACTCTGCTTTTGTAGCATTTGTATCTCTAAGGGCAGGCATCAGGTAGTCAACCACTTGTCTAACGAATGAATGAGTTTTATTTCTTAGAATGCACTAAAAGCCTGCATTTTAGCATGGACTGAGAGATGTGCTTCCAATTTCAGAAAAATGAGGCTCTCCTTGACCAGTATCTTTAAAGAATAAAAATTACATTGGACTTCCTCTGCCAGGTAAGTTAGAGGCTCTGAAACTCATATTAAATTGCGTAAGTAGCTATTTAATGACTTATTGCTGACAAAAGCTGAATATAGTTGAATGACAAGACAAATCTCTAACAAATGTTTTCCTTCAACCTTTGAGACCTGGCTCAAGTAGACTGATTTAAAACAATAACTAAAATCGTATAAAACAGTATAACTAAAAATAATTTAGATACTAAGATTCATAATGGCTTAAAAGGAAAACAATTATATATTAGAATTCACATGACATTCTAGAAGAAAACCATGCATTCTACTTGACCACTATACAAAAAAATTCTATTAAAGCAACAGGCATCAAGGAAAAGTATAAACACTAGCTGTAGTTTTAGTTTAGTTTCAGTTAAGTCACTACTGAAAAAGTGATGCATACTTTTACAGCATTATCTTTGTAATTTGATACTCAAATCATCAAAATTAAAAATAATCAGCAGTCCAGAGGAAAATCAGCCATTTTTATATAAAAATCAAGTCGAAGGACTTTTCCAAACATCTTACCTTGCTAACATGTTGGCAAAATGCAGGGACAGCGATCATCTGACTTACAAAGTTGAGGTACGCCGCAACCAGCGCCATGATCCCACAGCGATGGAACATGGGCAAATTATCCTCATTGATAATCGCACTGTCCTTTAATAAAAAAACAAACACAGCTTGTGACAGATAAAGGTCTTATGCTCCATTAGTGTTTTCTCTATGATTATACGGAAAAACCGCAGGTCGTTTGGAGTGACAACAAAACTGTTACCTTTTAAGAAGTTGTTTTTTAAAGAATTCTGAAAGGAGAATAAATGTCCATTTACAGGAGAGTTCAATCTCTTGAATAGCTCTTTCTTAGGAAAGTCTTTTGGGGGGTGGAGGGGATACACAAATACACACATACGTGTGTGTGTGTATATATATGCGCACACGTACCCATATGTATCTTACACTAAAATACATCTGATACATATTCCCATCACACACTGTCCTTTGCACACTCCAATGAGACAGCTACATATGTAATGACTATGTAACGACCCTCTTCCCCACTAGACTTAAGACTATGGGTGGAGGGGCCATGCTGCCCCCCTTCACAATATTCTCAAGTTTCTGAGTAAATGTGGCACACTGCGGATGCTCACTCAATATTTGTTAAAAGAATGAGTATGACCATAACTTGGAGTATTTTTTATTTAAAACTAGAAACCTCCCTTTTAAAATTCATGTCCTTGGATAAAGGCAACAGCAACACCACTTTAAAGATGGTGTCTAGTTCATTAAAAAAAAAAAAAAGTTTTCTTCACTGAAAGATTATGAAAGCATACCTGTAAAGCAATGGCTAATCGAATGAGATCAATAACCACGTCTTCATTGGCCAATTCAATAGTTATAAGAGCAAGAGAAGTATAAAGTAGCTCATAGTTTTTCTGAACATTGTCTTCCTCTTTACAGCCCAAATATATGTGGCGGTACAGTTGCTGCCCATTCTGAGAAGGGAAGCGACAAAGGAAAAAGATGATTTTGCTTAAAAGTAGTACAGGCAGATTTCATATGCATTTAACCTCCTAAAAGGTGGTCTTATCACCTAACACGGAAGAGAAACTTAAGCTAATAACCAGAGGGTCAAACTGTATTACAATTATCAACATCAACAAGTATGCTGATATACAACTACCAGCTAAGATAGAGTTTAAGCATGAACCAGAAATAAAAACAGCAGCTAAGAAAGAGTACCAGTGTAAACAACGAGATGCTTTTAGTGATAATCTGAAAACACAAAAGCAAGTTATAGCCTGATTCGGGAAAAGGCTGAAATGGCTGACAGAGTTACGGGAGATACTTCTGCAATACAGCCTTGGCAATGATTAAAAAAAAAAGAAAAGAAAAGAAAAAAAAAACATTTGGCTAAGGGGAAATATACTCAGGCTTTCTCGCCTTTGGAGGCAATCTCCTGTGAGGTAGGTTAGGAGCTGTCCAAGGAAGAGCATCTGCAGGTTCCACTACACTTTGGTGTGGAGTGACCAAAGGCAAGCCGAGGGAAGAGGTTACAGAAACACTCCAGGGACTGCAAAAGGTTTCCCCCTAAACCAAACTAATCTCAATATGTTAATACAGAATGGAAAAGCTTTTCCTATCTAAAGCATTCCTGAGTATAGGTTCAGCTGCTAAGTGAGAGCTGACAGAAATTTGAGTGTGTTCTCCATTTAAAGTCACTATGTGACTATGTGGTTAATTACTATGTGGTAATTAACTCAACCTGTTGCATTGGTTTTCAACACTAATTGTAAACTACAATCATTGAGAAAGTGGAATGACCACCATGCTTCTACCCTCCCCACTGCCCACCCCCAATATGATTTAGCTGGTTAGTGGAGATGCCCAAATATTTCTGAAGCACAAAGCTCCCCAGGTGATTCTTTTTTTTTCCCCCCAAGATTTTATTTATTTATTTGACAGAGAGAGACACAGCGAGAGAGGGACCATAAGCAGGGGGAGTGAGAGGGAGAAGCAGGCTTCCTGTTGAGCAGGGAGCCCGATGCAGGGCTCGATCCCAGGACTCTGGGATCATGACCTGAGCCGAAGGCAGACACTTAATGACTGAGCCACCCAGGCACCCCACCCCAGGTGATTCTAATATTCAGCCAGGGTTAAGACTAGGGGCCTATTCACTCATATGTGGAGGGACTTTAGCTTAACACCCCAGGCCTATTTCTCAGCAGGTTCATCTGACTGTTCATTTTAGGGGAAAGGACTGAATAAGACCAACACAGTCTTCTGAATCCAGATTCTGCTTCTCTCAAATGGTTCTATGCTTGGGTGTGCAACAACAGTCTATATATTGGGCCCTCTCCAACTCTATTCTTGAATCCTATGGTTCCTAAACATCATTAACATTAAAGCTTGCACACATGGGAGTTTTAATGTCAGGTTCCTTAAGTAATTCAAGTTGATATTATACCTACTATGTACCCATCAGGTTAGACAACATTAAAATCTAACATTATGTAACTATAATAATACAGTGTAAGTTGGTGTGATGACTTCACAAAGTGGTCTGGAATTGTCTAATCAACCTAAAGAACCCACTACTTGGCAATGCCTCTCCTATAGGCCTTAGAGAAATGGGAGTTACATGCGGTACACTACATGTACAAGAAGGTTCACAGCAGCCCTGTCTGCAACAATTCACATGTCCCCAACAGGAGAACAGATAACTTGTGGTATATTCCTGTTATGCAACACCATACAGCTACACATATGAATTTTACCAAAGTAGAGCTAAATGAAAGAAAACATAAAAGAACATGTAACAAGTGGTTCCTTTCACTCAAAATACAAAAACTGACAAAACTACACTGTATTGTTCAGGAATCGATAGATGTACACTTAGGTGGCAACCTGCAAAGAAAACGAAGCAAGGAGTCCATTTTCATAAAAGCACGGGGACTGCTACCCACTGTGGACGACACGGAGCTGTGGACAGGCTGGGCATGTGGGAGGCCTACACTGTTGTTCACTTCAGAGTAATTAAATAATGCCAGTGCATTTTTTATTTCGTAATAATTGGTACCTTTTTTGCTAAGTGATTCCCTGAATTGCTGAAACCATTAACAAGAGCTCTTTCCATCTGGTGACAGTCTGCCAGGATTATAGCTTTAGGAGAGGAGCCCTGAAGAGACACTAGATACTGAGTGGCAGTGGCTTTTCCTTGTGTCTGCAAGTACAGCTTCATTAGGAAAGAAGCTGTGAAGGAGCACCTCCCAGGGTAAACTGTGAGAGCCTCCTGCCCCAGGACAGTCTTTCAAACATCGACCCAATGTCTACGACGTCCCTAAAACATTCAGGTGGAGCAGTTTTAGGCTGGGTAGTAATATCCAAAGGGCAGTCCATCATCCCCTGACTACAGAATGCCAACTTTTTTTTCTTTAGGTCTTTGTTGAAATTTCCATAAGGTGCCAAATAAAGCCGCCTAAGAAAACCGAACAGCATTTTGACTGATAGGATAAATTGGAAGGTAAATGAAAAAGGGTGTCCAATTGTAAAAATAAAATTTGATTTACAAAAAAAGTGAACAGATTGAACCAAAAGAAAAATATACTAAAAAGAAGTGGTTTCTACTAACAGTAACAAATGCTTAGCCAGTTATTTTAAATTATAAAATCGAAGGATAACTAATTCAGAGAACAACTTTAAGAATTCAAAATTTAGGGCGCCTGGGTGGCTCAATTGGTTAAGCGACTGCCTTCGGCTCAGGTCATGATCCTGGAGTCCCGGGATCGAGTCCCGCATCGGGCTCCCTGCTCGGCAGGGAGTCTGCTTCTCCCTCTGACCCTCCTCCCTCTCGTGCTCTCTGTCTCTCATTCTCTCTGTCTCAAATAAATAAATAAAATCTTTAAAAAATAAAAAAGAATTCAAAATTTAACATGGAATAATAGTCCAATCTTTCGGTTCAACTGGACCCTTTCAAAATTAGTTGGCTAGCGAAATTAAGGAAAGAGAAGAATTATTTCTATCACTGTCATACCAGATAAAATAAAATAAATCCAGTCCCCAAATTCAGGATTTCTTACTATCATTATATGAAGTCAAAACCTGAAAGTTATCAGTGAGTTTTCAAAATTCATTCTATTAATCATGATTAAAAGTTCTTCCCTTATGAGAAACGGTTTCTTTCAGTAACTGGATAATATAAGGAAATACTGAAAAAAGCAAAAGTTGGAAAGAGCTAATGCCTTTGCCCTCCTTATTAGCCACTTTTTTCATACACAATAGAGCCAAACTTAAAGAATTACTCTAGTCACATTAATTTAGTAACTGTTATTTTAGAAATCATTTTTCAAATGAAGTTTTTAAACTGTGGGGACACTGACCTGAAACACAGCAATCAACAGTAATAGAGAGAGCAAAATAAAGATGGTGACAGGGACAAAGCACGCTGTAGAAATGAGCCAAAGAAGCACATGGATTACAGATCTCTGCACCTGTCTTCCTACGGGCTCTCTGTCTGTTGTCCCTGCACCTCTACACACCAAGGCTCACTTATCCACCAAGACGGGGATATCGCGAGGCCAGATGGCATGTGTGTCGTGGATACTACTGTATCTCTCAGTGTTGAGCTCAGAAGCTGGCAAATACTAAGTGCTCAAGCTTTGGATAAAGAATACACAGAAAGATTATTCAATATGCTACACAAATTTAGGTGTCACGATTCCCTAAATTCAGCCACTTGCCAACAGACGTACAAAATTCAACCGATCATAATGAAAATCTGGTTACGTATTACGTTTAAGGGCAGAGATCCTGCCTACCTCATCCTTATATCCCAAATAATGACAGAACAATGCCAAAAACAAAGTAAAAACATAAAACCCTCATTATATTTGTTTATTCAATGGTGATAAGTGTTTCCAAAAACCTGAAGCCATTAAAACATTAAAGTGGAGTAAGTGTGTGTGCCTGGGGTGGAGAGGAGTGTAGGACAGAAATTACAGGGAGACACTTTTACTCAAATGCAGAATTCAGAACCACTGCAGCATCCACCAACACTTAAACACAGGCTGGAAGAGACGCCATCAAGAAGGTTGCGGTAATGTGGGGAGGCTAAAGATGGCGACTTGAGATTCCCAACTCCACAAAATTCAATGGCTTCCTTTTAAAGTCAGAGGATCAATATAAAACTACCTAACAATTCGAACAGCTATAACTTATATCATGCATTATTTTTAAGAAAACAATCTTACCTTTTTCATGAAACTTGTGTCTTGTCTACAAATTTTTTCTCTTTTTATCTTTAGGTCAGCTACATCTGGTATTATTCTAGAGACAACATATAATTCTTAATGAATAGCACATTTAATCATAATATCATGTCTTCTTAGGCAAATCATAGTTATACTTAGGAGTTTGAACTATTTAACACATTTCAGTGAACATTTGAAATAAGCCTATACGCAATGACACTACTGAATTACCAAGCTCAATTAAGGGGAATTCATAAATTCATCTTGACTCCTGTCATTCTTAAGTTTAAAGCAAAACCAAAATAAAATTCACGTTACTAGTAACTACTAGTAGATGAGATCTCCGAAAGTACATTAAATGACCTTCAAATATTTGCTATCTTAAATATAATAATTAAATTGTCTAATACCAATTAAATAAAACTTTGAATTAATAAAACTTAAAAATCTTAGATTAAAAAAAATCACAATACTTGACTACATTAATGTGGGAACTTAAAAACATTATCACTAAGCCTATTTCAAAATGGCCCAATACCTGATCCCTCGAAGTTTTGCCCTATTGTCATGGCGATCCATGAGATTATGCATTACTTCCAAGACTAACTGTCTCAGTTCATAGTCTTCCATGAGGGATGGTGATAACAAAGGATCCAGAAAAGATCCAGGCAGTGCAGTAACAATTGTCTTTGCTTTGTATCCAGAGGTTACCTGATTACAGGGAGGAAAAACAAAGAAACAAAAAAACCTGTCATGAGTCCTTCTTTGGTAAAATTCTCAAACCGTTTTATAAAAACCATAAGCTTAGGGAAACAGCAAGTATGAACATAAGCCTGAATGAAAAACAAAAAGGAAATTTATAAGGTAATGAGGATTTTGTGGCACCTGGGTGATGCTGCCGGGTTAAGTGTCCGACTCTTGGTTTCCTCTCAGGTCATGATCTCAGGGTCATGAGATCGAGCCCCATGTGAGGCTCTGTGCTCAGTGTGGAATCTGCTTAAGATTCTCCCTCCCTGGGGCGCCTGGGTGGCTCAATCGTTAAGCGTCTGCCTTCGGCTCAGGTCATGATCCCAGGGTCCTGGGATCGAGCCCCGCATTGGGCTCCCTGCTCGGCGGGAAGCCTGCTCCTCCCTCTCCCACTCCCCCTGCTTGTGTTCCCTCTCTCGCTGTCTCTCTCTGTCAAATAAATAAATAAATAAAATCTTAAAAAAAAAAAAAAAAAGATTCTCCCTCCCTGTCCTTCTCCTTCTGCCCCTCCCCACAGTGCTCTCCCTCTAAAATAAATCTTTTAAAAAATGTAGTAACAATTTTAATGAATTTTCAAAAAATCATAATAAAGAGAATAAAATTAATAAAAGCACATCTTTACTATGTGCCAGGCACAACTCTAAGTACTGTATGAATATTAACTTCTTCTTCACCACATCTTTATGAGGCGGGCATCAGTGTGCATCAGAAAAGAGGCTCAAAGAGATCAAGAATCTGGGGGATAGGTAGTCAGTACTAAATGGACACAAGGTATTAGGTAGCAAATAGTACAGTACAGGTAAGACCTGAAAATTTTAAAAATTGTCAAATTATTCTTTTATTTTAAAGTAAGCAGTTTAGGTTAACAGGGATACATTTTTATTTTGGAAAGCTGTACTTTATTCATTACTTGATCTGACATTTCTGAATGTATCCCTATCCTCTAAATTTAAACGTTTTAAAGAGCATATACTTAAATGCTATTAAGCATTTTAACTATACCACATAGACATGCATTCAGGTGACTCTGGTACAATTAGGATTAGAGACAAGATGATTTATTCAGGGTATTTGTTTAATTAAAAGGCTTAGAAACAAAAGAAATTTCATGTGGGGAGTCTCTATTTATAGTCAGGATTACAAGCGAATATGCGTATTTACATTTGGGCACTTATTACAGCATGGAGGTGATTTTAGAAGTGAACAAGGAAATTGGTTGGGACCATTGCCACCCGCCTAGAAGAGTTAAAAATATACCCAAGTCTCACACCACATGCAAAAATAAACTTCAAATATCTAGCTATGGAAAGCCAAATTCTAAATACTTTTGTAAAAAAATATAAGCAAAATGTGCTCATAAGAGTAGGCAAAAGTTCTTAAAACAAGACACAAAATACATATGAAAGGATGATAAATCTGGCTATATTAGATTTAAAACTTCAGTATAGCAAGTACCATAACCAGGATTAAGAATGAAACACAAAATCCTAGGTATGAAATATTTATTAAAAAAAAAAGGGGGGGGGTGGCGCCTGGGTGGCTCAGTCGTTTAGCGTCTGCCTTCAGCTCAGGTCATGATCCCAGGGTCCTGGGATCGAGCCCCGCATCGGGCTCCCTGCTCCTCGGGAGGCCTGCTTCTCCCTCTGCCTGCTGCTCCCCCTGCTTGTGCTCTCTCTCTCTCTGTGTCAAATAAATAAATAAAATCTTTAAAAAAAAAAAGGGGGGGGGTTGCCTAGGTGGCTCAGCTGGTTAAGCATCTGCCTTCAGCTCAGGTCATGGTCTTGGGGTCCTGGGGTTGGGCCCCGCATTGGGCTCCCCACTCATCAGGGAGCCTGCTTCTCCCTCTGCCCTCCACCTACCCCCCCATGCTCTGCTTGCTCACTCTCTGTCATGCTCTCCCTCCCTCTCTCTCTCTCTCAAATAAAATCTTTTTTAAGGGATCATGTACAATCAAGATTTCCTAAAACAAATTTTAAAGTTTTTTAAAGATGCAGAAAGGACACACATTCCAAATAATCAGCTCCTACTTTATTCTTGGCATTATACTAGATATAGTTAAATCAAAGATGAATATAATTACTATAAAATAACCAAAGGACTTCACATTTTAGGTATGCTTTTCCCTTTTGTCTATTTATAGCTGAATTATTTTCCAAATGAGAAGTCATTATTTGGTCAGTGTATGAAGGAAATAGATGATTTGTAGAAAGAACATGGTTTCACATCCAAGTTCTAGTCTTCAGCTTATTGACCTTGGTGAACCTCTTCCACTCCTTAGACTCCAAGTCTCTGAGCCCAGGCATCTTTGTGTATTAAACACAATACTTTCTATCCTCTGTATATGTCATCTTATGAAGATCAAATAAGATGACAGAAGTGAGAAATAAACAGTAAAAGAATAAAATAAAATATTTAAGTATATAAGCCATAGGAAAAAACTAACCATAAATAGTTTCTTACAATGTAAGAAAAAACAGATAATGTGAAGCTATTCTTTCAACCTCTTCAATAATGTAAGTGTATTCTTCACTTATCTTAAATGGCTTACCATAAGTAAAGATCTCAGCAACATTATCTGAATCCGCCTGGTTCCCAAATCCCTAAGATATACAAAATACTGGCATTATCTTATTAATAGAGTAATTAACATTAACATTATTTCATTTACTTATATTACTACTTGATTTTAAAACTCTATTCATTTTGATTAAATAGACTGTTTCCATACTAGCTGAAGTCGTGGCTCACTTTATACTCATCAATTTCATAAAAAGTTGTATGTAAAAAAACAAAAATTCAAACAAAAAAATTAAAAAGCTATTGGCTTTTTAATTCAATCATATGCACACACAGTGAAACAACCCCAATTTAAAGACACTGTAAGAATATATTTACCATGAACATAACTGACAAACATAGTATCTATTTAACATTTATCAATAAGCAGATACGAACAGACAAAAAACAAGCTAGCAAATGGAAAAGGTTTATTTAATTAGTGTCAAAGAAATATAAATCAAGTAAGACTATCATTTCTTTATGAAATTAAAAACATATTTCCAAACTAAAGCTTTAGCATGTTGTAAAATCAAATCAAACTATAAAATGAGGGAGCCAAAGCATATAATCTTTAAAATCACTCTCAGTTCTAGCATTCTAGGAATAAGTCAACATTCTGGCAAAACTGACATTCATTTTTAAAATTTTTATAGGAAACTTGAAGATTTACCCTACATTATGTGTGTATATAGACAATGTCCAAGCTAAGTAAACCTTCAACCTGGTCAATATAAGACATAGAAAATTTGAGAATTTATAATTATACTGAAAACTGATTCTAAATCAGGAAATGTTGATAGAATTGCTTAGCAACGTAGTGCCAAAAAAAACAATGATTTCCATAGGATTTTTATTACCAATGATTAAAAAAAATAAAACATACTATATATAACCTTAAGATGAAATTTAACCCAAGATTACAATTAAAATTTACAGTTGGAAAAAAAAAAAATTACAGTTGGAGAACACAGGAAAACTACATATGCATACCCTAGTTGACTGATATCCAAAGTATGGGTGGATGTTCCAAAAACAGGTACTCTCCCCATAATGAACATCATGATTTCTGACCTCTGATAATCTGGTAGGTTACTTCCAAAAAATCCTATGAAAATATTAAGATAAAGTTAAGATAAATTTTACAAATTGGAAAGGTTATTTTTCCATAATACTCAATCATAACATATTTTTAACCAAAGCTTTCAATATGTGGTAAAATGATGTCTTTAAGTTATACATGTAACTCTAAAGTCCTTTTCTGTCCTCCCTTCTTGCTGCTTACTGTGCCGGCCACGTGTTCCCCTGTGCCCCTCATAGCCATGCCGGGCGGAACTGAAGAAATCAAGGACTTTCTGCTCACGGCCAGGTGAAAGGATGCCATACCCAGCAAGATCCAGAAAAGTAAGGATAACGTGAAGTTTAAAGTTCAATGCAGCAGATACCTTTATATCTCAGTCATCACAGACAGAGAAACTAAAGCAGTCCCTGCCCCCAGGTTTGGCAGTGAAGGAGCTGAAATGAACCTGGCACACTGATTTGAACTGTATTATAATTTTAAAAATTCAAAAAACAAAACTCCAAAGATACTCTAATTTCTTTTATTCAAAGTCATTTACTCATGTATAGTAGAAGACGTACACAATAGACTGATACTTAAGATAAAACAATAAATGTCTAAAAATCTTTTGCATATGGTTTATAGTGGCAAACCATCAATTTGAGTTGGACTTTTAGAAAAATGAAAAACAAAACAAAACAAAAACACCTCTGGAAGTATTTTTGATGAAACTCTGTTCACATATTGTGAGCCTAAATTCTTGTTCTGGTAAGGAAGTCAGTAATTAGGCCATATTTTGGTAAAGAGGTCAATAATTATGTCACTACTTTGGCTTCAATTGCTGAAATATTGTAGAATGTCGTTACAATGAGCCAGGTTTACAGTCTAAGCCAGTGGGTTAATTCAATATATATTATTCAACTAGTGCAAAAAACCCCCACAAAACCTTATTTACTTGTCATTTTTCTCATATACTCTTAGTTCTTGTGGATATTTTAAATTTAACTGCTGTAGCCTTTGATGGTTTACTTTCTAGTCTAGAAGACTTAAAACATTTAATTATCACTTATTCAAACTTTATTGTTTCTTTGAAAGATCAGAACAGGTATTGAATCATGCTGGTTTTGTTCATTTCTCAAAATGCAATATAATCATTACAAAAACCTTCTCATTTTTAGTATTTCTTTAAGAATAAATTAGTTTTTCAATTTAACTCTTAAGCTTCTATGATTGGAATTAATAATCTATGCAAACTCAAACTGTTCTACTTATCATCTGATTGGATTTGGGGATGAAAGTCATTTCCCATTATCACACACTTCAGCAATCAAAAATCTCATGATCTTAACATTACGCAATCCAAGTAAAGCATACGATTCTAACACTTCAGAAGCACTATCTATGGGGTTAAGAAACTACTTTGTATTTGGATCCTCAAAATAACCGTATGAGTCTAGATACTATTTCTTATTAACCTCAGTTGCTTCTTGTGGAAATGTGGATTAGAGAGGTTAATAGTTCAAACCAAAAGACTACACAGCTAACAGGCCTGAGGTGAAGGCTATTCATTTCCAAAGCCTACGTTATTATTACCCTCTCCTTCCTCCTTGTAAGGTACTTTCAACTTTGCAAGAACCCAGTTAGGTATGTTGCTAATCACCATGCACAACTTGACACTGATTTTCTGTTCCAAGCAAGCCAGTCATTGCCACAAGGGCGTAAGTTTCCAACATAATCAACTCTGAGGAGAGTCCTGAAAGGAATTAATTCTCTATACCCACTGTTTGTACTTGAACCACTGAGGGGAAGTGCTGAGGAGCCCCCCCCCACCCCTGACTGGAAAGAAGGAAAGAACATTGCAGGGAGCTATGTTCTTGATTACTGTTAAAAAGGAATTTGTACAATAGCCTTGTATTGTCAAGTGCCAAAGGCACGCAGCCCTGCTCCCTAGTCCAACAGCAATATCCACACGAGCTGGTAACTACCAGAGTACTGAGAACTTCTAAAAGAAAATACTGAGGAAATCAGAAGTGTGATTAAATAAAAATCTTACTGTGCCACACTGCATTTCTTTTCTCTCATGGTTTCATTTTCACATGTTATTTTGAAAGTGTTAAGTCACAGAACTATTGCTTGAGCCTATTATATCTGTATTTTATAATAAAATACTTAAAAAAATAAATATTCTAGAGTGAAAGAGCAACCATGAATTAATTAGAAATCATGAAAGCAATTTAAATTAATTCTGTGAAAACAAGAATAGCTGATTATCTTAAATATCACAAAAAATCCATAAATTATCCAAATAAATTTAAGAGTCACCAAAAGTTAGGTTTACCATCCACAGATCTAATTGTTTTAAGGAATATCTAAAATGTCTCTGCTATACTGAGATTCCATGGTAATATTGGACTTCCATTATGTTTTGTCTTTTTACTGGGCACCAAGCAGATCAACCACATGTGTCCACAAGAGGAGAGCCGTATGCATCACATAATCCTAGTATGGGGCCTGCTGTATATACAGCATTCAGCACATATGTAAGTGCTGTGTTTCTGCGGTGAGCAGAATATGTATATCCACAGAACTTTAGAAAGAAAATAAAAAAGAGAAACTTTGTATTACATATTCCAGAAGACTATTATAAATAAGTAGCCTACACACAGGAAAATTACCCAGAAAAAAGACATATATTGGGTTTCAAAATAAATTTACGTATGACTCTATTTTTAGCAGAAACTATTAGCAACCATTAGAAATTAGGTACTAAGCCCCAGGGTTACAGCTCTATTTTGAAATATGTAGCAATCATGTAGTTTCCTTAAAACATGATTTGGGATATTCTAAAGTTATCAGGAGGGGAAGGTTAAAGGAGAATAGGAGTTTGCTTACTTTAATTTGTATTTAATTTGTATTTTACTTTAATACAGTCACATCACTTTATTTCCACCCCCCCCCAAAATTCTCATGGCTTTTTTTTTTTAAAGGAAGTTCTTTACCCTTTTACTGTACTTTAACCATGTTTTTAAGAAAAAAACATATGAAATTAAAGCCCAAGGTAGCAGTCCCCACAACTTGGTTTCTAATGCCATTCCCCAGTAAAAGAAACCACAGCACTTTGAGAAATGACAGATTCCATGGCTGGGACAGGAAATACCAAATGAGCCTGAAACAACTTAAACCAGTAAGGCTGCGCTGAAAAGAAATAGGAGGATGTTACAAAGACATAGAAGATGGGAGTTCCCACTGGCCAAATCTGGGACAATTTCAGCACCAAAATATAATAATAAATACAGAATGAATGATGAAGCATGAAAATATAAATCCATAAGCTCATACCAATAATAAAGATATAAATACCTGCATTCCTACATACATACACAGGGAAGAAAAAGGGACTCCTGCTCACCGCAGAACACAGAGTGCCACCTGACAGCTGCGGAGGGAGTGCCGAGTTCGAAAACCATCCATTTGCAACATTATGGTAAAGACAGGTTCAGGTGAGAATTATGAATGGTTACTAAATTCAGGGGGAGGTTTGGGTGAAGAGCAGAACATCCGCACGGTCTAAAAGCATATCCTCAGAGACTGTTTACTGTTTGCAAGGATAAAAACTGAAACCGTACAACAGAGAAACAGAACACTTTGAGCAAAACTCCCATCACCAATGAGAAGCAAAAGTTCACTGTGTACCTCTTGGTATGCAATACTCTGAGAAGAACTTTATCACTTATGTAGTATCCAGCCAGGAATGAGCAACCAGACAAACCCAAAGGAGAAAATTTTTTAGAAGGGGGTGGTATGCTCTTAAAAACTCCCATATCAGAACTGAAATGTTCCAGACTAAAGGAACTCAAGAAATATTACAACTAAATGCAATTTATGATCCTAGACTGAATCCTGGATGTAAGGAAAAACATGCTCTAAAGGACATGATTAGGGGTGCCTGGGTGGCTCAGTCGTTAAGTGTCTGCCTTCAGCTCAGGTCATGATCCCAGGGTCCTGGGATCGAGCCCCACATTGGGCTCCCTGCTCAGCGGGAAGCCTGCTTCTCCCTCTCCCACTCCCCTTGCTTGTGTTCCTGCTCTCGCTCTCTGTCAAATAAATAAATAAATAAAATCTTAAAAAGAAAATAAAGAACATGATTAGGTCAAATGACAAAACTGAAATATGGAAGTCTGATTAACGTATATGCCAATGTTAAATTCACTGATGCTGATAACTGTATTCTGGTTATATAAGAATCTTATTCTTTGGAAAAAGTCTCTGTGGTAAAGGACCATGATGCATATGCACTTAATCTCTAGTGGTTTAGGGAAAAAACGAGGATACATGTATATACTTATATATGCACATATATGTACACACACACACACACATACATGTACACACAGAGAAATGGAGAGAGGGAGGAGAAGAGGAGACAACATAAATGATAAAATAAATGGCATAAAATATTAACAGATGAATCTGGGTGAAGGGTATACAGTGTTCTTTGTCCTATTCTTATGTGTGTTTCAGAATATCAGGTTTTTTAAAAGTCTAAGCTATCATTCACCTTTGACTAATGTACTATATGAGACAAGTTAACTTTCAGCAAGAGCTTTTTTAATCACTGTTTTACATAATAGTTTGGAAAAGTGAAATGTACTCACCTATTGTTTGGATGATAGCATTCTGCACAATCTTCTCATCATTGTCTTTGGAACTTGAGTTTAAGTTAGGACTGCCTACAGATCCCCCCTGCAAGTCATTTGCTTCAAATTCAACACTGAGACGCAGATGCTTTAGGAGAGTATTAAAGACTTCCAGCACTGTGGGTCCTGTAAACAAACACTAATGTGAGTTTTTCCAATATTATATACTCAAAAACAATTCTCACATTTCTCAGAGATTTTTGGATATTTCCAAAATAGAAAAAAAGTAAATGAGAAATACCTAAATAAAGTCTCCTAGTTACTCCAGCATTTACTGGGCATCTCTGAGCAACTGACTGTTTGAACCTCCAGTACAAACCACACAAAATGTGTATACGCATATAAAAAACTTTCCATCTATATAATCTTGTCTCCTCAAAATAACATGCATTAGGACAATATTTAACTTGATTGTTGGGTCAGAACCCACAGAATTAGGATACCATAGCTCACTGTAGTGTCGAAAATTTATTTTGCATCTTTTGAAGATGAAGAAGGGATAATTTGCCTCTGTTATGAGAAAGAAACTAGCCAATTTATCAGATTCAGATAAATGAGATTTGCTTTCTGCTTTTAGTTCTATAAATACTGTGCACATGTTTGTCACTGCATCTATCACACTATAGTTTAATCAGTGTTTTTTATTTCTGCCTCCAACTCTTAGTTGCAATCTTCTCCAGGACAGGCAGCCATGGTCAAATACTTCTTCGAATGTACAGAGCTTAGTACATAGTACTTCATACGTAACACACGTAAGTGTGTTAATTCAACATAGTATCTGTTTTGTTTAATATTTCAAATTAAGTAACTTTTCAGGGGCAACTGGGTGGCTCAGTCATGATCCCAGGGTCCTGGGATCGAGCCCCGCATCAGGCACCCTGCTCAGCGAGAAGCCTGCTTCTCCCTCTCCCACTCCCCCTGCTTGCGTTCCCTCCCTCCCTGTCTGTCAAATAAAATAAAACCTTAAAAAAAAAAATTAAGTAACTTTTCAGTTAAACAAATGCTTCCATCTCTTTGAGATAAATTATCAGTAATAAAAAGTCCATATCCAAAATGCCCACTCCTATTTGACACTGAATGAGCAATAGAGTATTTCAGTAGCTAATGTATTTCCATTTTGATTTTGAAGCAAAGAAACCATAACCAGATTTTTCTCCTAAATTTACTAATTCTATCATGGCCCCTTCCATTCTTCTAATGACATGCAGGTGAAAAATTGACCTCTGATCTGTCCCTTCTCTTTGTTAGCCATAGAGTCAGTCAGTGATCTAACCCTGTTTACTTCCCATTCCTGTGCTGCCATCCAAGGTCAAATTCTTTCCCTTGTGCCTACAATGCTGGCAAGCACCTGTTATTTCTGAAGTGGCCTACGTTTTAAAGCCAGATGAATTACTTATCCTACAGCACATCTTTGATAAAGATTACATTAAACCTCTAAGGACTAGCAATCAACTGTAGAATTACATCCCTGATTTGGCTGCAACTTTAACTTTAAAGCAATTTCTCGGACTTCCTCCACACTACCACACATTCTAGCCAAATGGGCTACTTAATATTTTGCTCTTACCAAACCATTTTCCATCCCTGGTTTTCTGAAGAAATGTGAACAAACCTGCCTTGAATTACAGCATTAGGTAAAGTTGTCTAACGTCAAGTAAACCATACGTTTCTTCTATCTATATCCTCCCAAATGTCTAGCACATAATTGGTATTCAAAATTCTTTTTCATATTATTTTTTAAATTTAAATCAATTAACACATAGTGTATTATTAGTTTCAGTGATTCATCAGTTGTACATAATACCCAGTGTTCATTATGTCATGTGCCTCCTTCATGCCCATCACCTAATTACCCTATCCTCCCACCCGCCTCCCCTCTCCCCTCAGTTTGTTTCCTATGATTGAGAGTCTCTTATGGTTTGTCTCCATCTCTGATTTCATCTTGTTTTATTGTCCCACCCTTCCCCTATGCTCCTGTTTGGTTTCTTAAATTCCACAAGTGAAATCATAATTGTCTTTCTCTGATTGAGAAAGACTCTCTAGTTCCACCCATGTCCTAACAAATGGCAAGATTTTGTTTTTTTGATGGCTGAGTAATATTCCTGTGTGTGTGTGTGAGTGTGTGTGTGTGTGTGTGCGCGCGCGTGTGTGTACGTATATATACATATACCATCTCTTCTATAGCCATTCATCTGTCGATGGACATCTGGGCTTTTTCCATAGTTTGGCTACTGTGGACATTGCTGCTATAAACATTGGGGTGCAGGTGCCCCTTCAGATTACTGCATTTGTATCTTTGGGGTAAATACCTAGTAGTACAATTACTGGGTCATGGGGTAGCTCTATTTTTAACTTTTTGAGGAACCTCCGTACTGTTTTCCAGAGTGGCTGCACCAGCTTGCATTCCCACTAGCAGTTTAAGATGGTTCCCTTGCAGGGTGCATTCTCACCAACATCCTCATTGTTTCCTGAGTTGTTAATTTTAGCCATTCTGACTGGTTAATTTCCCTGATGCCCAGTGAGGTTGAGTATTATTTCATGTGTCTATTGGCCATTTATATGTATGTCTTCTTTGGAGAAATGGCTGTTCTTGTCTTCTGCCCATTTCTTGATTGGATTATTTGTTCTTTGGGTGTTGAGTGTGATAAGGTCTTTATAGATTTTGGATACTAGCCCTTTATCTGATGTGTCATTTGCAAGTATCTTTTCCCATTCTGTAGGTTGTCTTTAGGTTTTGTTGACTGTTTCCTTTGCTGTGCAAAAGTTTTTTATCTTGATGAAGTCGCAATAGTTCATTTTTGCCTTTGTTTGCCTTGCCTTTGGAGATGTGTCTAGCAAGAAGTTGCTGCGGCTAAGGTCACAGAGGTGCTACCTGTGTTCTCCTGTAGAGTTCTGATGGATTCCTGTCTCACATCTAGGTCTTTCATCAATTTTGAGTCTATTCTTGTGTATGGTGGAAGGAAATGGTCCAGTTTCATTCTTCTGCATGTGGCTATCCAATTTTCCCAACACCATTTGTTGGAGACTGTTTTTTTCCCGTTGGACATTCTTTCCTGCTTTGTCAAAGGTGAGTTGACCATAGAGTTGAGGGTCCATTTCTGGGCTCTCTATTCTGTTCCATTGATCTATGTGTCTGTTTTTGTGCCAGTACCATACTGTCTTGATGATGACAGCTTTGTAATAGAGCTGGAAATCCGGAATTGTGATGCCGCCAGCTTTGCTTTTCTTTTTCAACATTCCTCTGGCTATTCGGGGTCTTTTCTGGTTCCATAACAAATTTTAGGATTATTTGTTCCAGCTCTATTAAAAAAAAAAAAAAATTGATGGTATTTTGATAGGGATTGCATTGAATGTATAGATTCCTCTAGGAAGCATAGACATTTTAACAATATTTGTTCTTCCAAACCATGGAATGTTTTTCCATTTCTTTGTGTCTTCCTCAATTTCTTTCATGAGTGTTCTACAGGTTTCTGAGTCAAGATCTTTTGCCTCTTTGGTTAGGTTTATTCCTAGGTATCTCATGGTTTTTGGTGCAATTGTAAATGGGATCGATTCCTTAATTTCTCTTTCTTGTGGCTTATTGTTAGAATATAGAAATGCAATTGATTTCTGTGCATTGATGTTATATCCTACCACTCTGCTACATTCCTGCATGAGTTCTAGCACCTTTGGGGTGGAGTCTTTTCGGTTTTCCATATAGAGTCTCATGTCATCTAAGAATGAGAGTTTGACTTCTTTGCTGATTAGGATACATTTTATTTCTTTTTGTTGTCTGATTGCCGAAGCTAGGACTTCTAGTACTGCGTTAAACAACAGCGCTGAGAGTGGACATTCCTGTTGTGTTCCTGATCACAGGGAAAAAGCTCTGTTTTTCCCCATCGACAATGTTATTTGCATGGGCTTTTCATATATGGTTTTTATGATATTGAGGTATGTCCCACCATCCCTCTGTGGAGAGTTTTAATCAAGAAAGGATGCTGTACTTTGTCAAATGCTTTTTCTACATCTACTGAGAGAATCACATGGTTCTTGTCCTTCCTTTTATTAATGTGGTGTATCACATTGACTGATTTGTGGATGCTGAACCACACTTGCAGCCCAGGAATAAATCCCACTTGGTCATGGCGAATAATCCTTTTTGTGTACTGTTGGATCCTATCGGCTAGTCTCTTGGTGAGAACTTTGGCATCCATGTTCATCAGGGATATTAGTCTGTAATTCTCCTTTCTGGTGGGGTCTTTGTCTAGTTTTGGGATCAAGGTAATGCTAGCCTCACAGAAAGAGTTTGGAAGTTTTCCTTCCATTTCTATTTATTGTAACAACTTCAGAAAAATAGGTATTAATTCTTTTTTAAATGGTTGGTAGGATTCCCTGGGAAGCCATCCAGCCCTGGACTCTTGTTTGTTGGGAGATTTTTGATTACTGCTTCTATTCTTGCCGGTATGGGTCTGTTCAGGTTTTCTATTTCTTCCTGTTTCAGTTTTGGTAGTTTGTATGTTTCTAATAATGCATCCATTTCTTCCAGATTGCCTAATTTGTTGGCATAAAGTTGGCTCATAATATATTCTTATATAAGTTTGTATTTCTTCAGTGTTGGTTGTGATCTCTCCTTTTTCATTCATAATTTTATTTATTTGGGGCCTTTCTCTTTTCTTTTTGATAAGTCTGGCCAGGGCTTTATTGATCTTATTAATTCTTTCAAAGAACCAGCTCCAAGTTTCATTGATCTGTTCTATTGTTCTTCTGGCTTCTATTTCATTGATTTCTGCTCTAATCTTTATTCTCTTTTCCTGCTGGGTTTAGGCTTGATTTGCTGTTCTTTCTCCAGCTCCTTTAGGTTTAAGGTTAGGCTGTATATTTGAGACCTTTCTTGTTTCTTGAGAAAGGCTTGTACTGCTATACACTTAGGACTGCCTTTGCTACATCCCAAAGGTTTTGAACAGTTGTGTTTTCATTTTCATTTATTTCCTTGAATTTTTTAAATTCTTCTTTAATTTTCTGGTTGACCCATCCATTCTTTAGTAAGATGCTCTTTAACCTCCATTTATTTGTGTTCCTTCCAAATTTCCCCTTGTGATTGAGTTCAAGCTTCAAAGCACTGTGGCCTGAAAATATGCAGGGAATGATCCCTATCTTTTGGTACCGGTTGAGACCTGATTTGTGACCCAGTATGTGATCTATTCTGGAGAATATTCTATGCACACTGGAGAAGAATGTAAATATTCTGTTGCTTTAGGATGGAATGCTCTAAATACATCTGTGAAGTCCATCTGGTCCAGTGTGTCATTCAGAGCCCTTATTTCCTTGTTGATCTTCTGCTTAATGATCTGTCCATTGCAGTGAGTGGGGTGGTAAAGTCCCCTACTATTACTGTATTATTATCAATGTGTTTAATTTTGTTATTAATTGGTTTATACAGTTGGCTGCTCCCATGTTAGGGGCATAAATATTTACAATTGTTAGATCTTCTTGCTGGACAGGCCCTTTAATTATGATATAGTATCCTTCCTCATCTCTTATTACAGTCTTTGGTTTAAAATCCAATTTGTCTGATATAAGAATTGCTAGCCCAGCTTTCTTTTGATGTCCACCAGCATGATAAATGGTTTTCCACCCCGTCACTTTCAGTTTGGAGGTGTCTTTGGGTCTAAAATGAGTCTCTTGTAGACAGCATATGGATGGGTCTTGCTTTTTTATCCAATCTGATACCCCATGTCTTTGACTGGGGCATTTAACCCATTTATATTCAGAGTAACTATTGAAAAATATGAATTTAGTGCCATTGTATTACCTGTAAATCACTGTTTCTGTATACTGTCTCTGTTCCTTTCTGGTCTATGTTGCTTTGGGGCTCTGTCTTCGCTTAAAGGATCCCCTTTAATATTTCTTGCAGGGCTGGTTTAGTGATCACAAATTCTTTTAGTTTTTGTTTGTCCTGGAAGCTCTTTATCTCCTCTTCTATTCTGAATAACAACCTTGTGAGATAAAGTATTCTTGGCTGCAAATTTTTCTCATTTAGCACCTTGAATATATCTTGTTGGACCTTTCTGGCCTGTCAGGTCTCTGTGGATAGGTTTGCTGCCAACCTTATGTTTCTACCCTTGTAGGTTGAAGATCTCTTGTCCTAAGCTGCTTTCAGGATTTTCTCTGTCTCTGGAATTTGCAAGCTTTGCTATTAGATGTCGAGGTGTTAACCTATTTTTGATTGGGGGGGGGGGGGGGCGTTCTCTGTGCCTCCTGGACTTAAATGCCTGTTTCCTTCTCCAGATTAGGGAACTTTCTCAGCTATAATTTGCTCTAATATACCTTCTGCCCCCCCTTTTCTCTCTCTCTTTCGCCTCCTTCTTCTGGGATCCCGTTTATTCTAATATTGTTTCACTTTATGGTATCACTTATCTCTGGAATTCTCCTCTAGTGATTCAAGAGTTGTTTACCTCTCTTTTTCTCAGCTTCTTTATTCTCCATCATTTTGTCTTCTATTTCACTAATTCTCTGTTCTGCCTCATTTATCCTAGCAGTTAGAGCGTCCATTTTTTATTACATCTCATTAATAGCCTTTTTGATTTCAGCTTGATTATAGTTCTTTTATGTCTCCAGAAAGGGATTCTCTAGTGTCTTCTATGCTTTTTTCAAGTCAGATAGTATCTTTACAATCCTTATTCTGAACTCTAGTTCCAACATCTTACTTATATCCATAATGTTTAGGTCCCTGGCAGTCAGTACTGCTTCTTGGTCTCTTTTTTGCATTGGGTTCTTCCGTCCTGTCATTCTTGCAAAAAGTGGTCCCTTTTCTATTTGTAGAACTGCAGCAATTCTTTTCTTAGATCTCCAGTTGAGTTTGCAGGTGTTCAGAATGATTCGACAGCTATCTAGCTGAATTCCAGGGACCAGATGAAACTAGGGTCCCCTTCTCCTCTGCCATCTTCCTCCTCCATCCAAAAATGTTCATTAGGAAAAAGGAGGAAGGGGAGAGGGGAGACTGATATAGTGGAAAACACTTAAGTGCACACTAAAGAAGTCTGAGAAATTCCAAGAGAAATTGTAGCACATTTAAAAACATTAAAGTATTTTTAAAGAGTTTTCCATACACTGCTGTATATACTGAAAAAAATTCTAGAGTAGATTAATGCATTAATTTTTTTGTTTAAGTTTTTTTGTTTTGTTTTGCTGACACTCACCTATGGAACCTTTAGCAGCAATGGCAACAGCCTCTAACAGAACCTGGATGATACCAGCTCGAACCCGTGGAGAATCTTTTTTACGAGCATCAAGGTGTCCTAGGATCTCCTGAATTACATGGTGAGAATACTGAGCCTAAAAGAAGCAAAACAGTACACAAAGATGTATGAACAGTTATATACATACTGGGTGGATTCTTAAGAAGGGAAAACCATGTGTCACTTAAACGTCTCACTACAGGAGACTGGTACTCCCGTTACAGAACAATATGTAGCCATTAAAGACCATGCTTTTTAAGAATAAATAGGGATACCAGAGAATATTTATAATACCCTGGATGAAAAAAGCAAGTTGCAAAAACTATGATTAAATTTAATCTGCTTTTTTAAAACAATATACAGGACTAGAATTATATACACCTAAATATTGACAGTGCCAGGATTCATGAGAAGTTTTTATTCTCGTCACACTTCTCTGTAATTTCAAAGAACATTTATATACTCTTATAATTTGATAATAGGACAAATGTTTAAAAATAAACAGATTATGATATTTACAGCACTTCTCTCTTACCCAAACTAGATATTATTTCTCATCATGGACACCTAACAATTCTAAACAGTTATATCTCCCATCTCATCAAAAGCCACTCTCAAAATGAAAATGTTATCAGTGTATACCTGATTAAATTTAAATCAAGGAGATATCAGAAGATTTGCAATTTACAAAGGCAATTTTATCATAATCTGATCAATCACACTGAATGCTATTAGGACCTAAATCTAAAATAGGATAGCTAGACAATGTTTAACTACAATGAGTATTTTCTCACTTCTTTTTTTTCTTAACAGAGTAGCAAAGTTTTGGTTTTTTAAACTAATAACTACACCCAAGAGTCATGAGTGATCTACCACCAGGTTATAAAAATCCAAAAACAAACAAAACAGGCTACGGCCCTGAATCTCCATGTCTGCGTTTGCCCTTAGGCCCCACTACTCTGTTTTCAGACTGGTTTACCTTTCTCTCCTTTGGAATGGAGTGTCCAGCACATACTGGCTACTCTGCTCAAAAGCGAAAAGAATTCCCCTCCACCTCTAACAGCATAACCAAATTCACTGTCAGGTATTTCTGGTATTTCTGTCAAAACACATGTACTTTTTTTAACAACCCAAGGTAAACATTTTCACCTTTACTTTCTGCAATGTTAAAACAGAGGAATTCCAGATAGACAGACACACACACAAAACTTGAAACCGAACTTCTTGCCCAGGAAACTGTATGCTTCTGATGTGTGAACCTCATGCAAATAGAACAGGGTCTTATAAACAGGATGGCAATTTGACTTATTGTCCAAATTAGAACACTTCAGAGAGTGAAAGTATTAATAATTACATAAAGTAGGGCTATCCTAAGCAAAGCACAGCACCTGTTCACAACAGCTCAAGAATTCCATCATGGATGAAAAGTGCATGGAGTGACAGGAACAAAACTGCAATGATGTTAATTATACTTTATACTGAGTTTCTGACACAGGTTTACTAAGCTATCATGTACCTATGGTAAAACTCACCCTCACACTGAAGTTTAAAGCAATAGTAATGGATGCGTAGCTTTAAGAAGCAACATAATAGGGTAGTTAAGTATGTCGGTAAGCCTTAGAGTCAGATTTGCCCAAATTCAAATTCGGGCTCCATCATTTAATAGTGTAATAGTATACAGCTAAAGAGATGGCTACTTAACCTTTCTGTACCTCAGTTTTCCTCATCTACAATATTTATAAAACAAAAAGTTATCTTATCTTGTAGGATTGTTATGGCACTTAAATGAGTTCATTTGTGTAAAGAATCTAAAATTGTGTCTACCACAGGAAACGTGCTCAATCTAGCCATTATTACTTACTCTTTAATTGGTGACTCCTCGGATAATATGTTACTACAAAATTAAACATAACAAAATGACAACAAAAGACATTTGATTCATAAGCAGGTGCCAGGCACTGTTCTACGCACTGTATGTGTATTATCACATTTTATCCACACCAACAGTTCCCGGAAGTAGCCTAACTCAATCACACTGTGCACTTCGCAGTGCAAATGAGGCAGGTTTTTAAGTAACTTGCCCAAAGTCATAGAATAATTCTAAGGGAGGGTCTAGCTGTGAATCCTAGACCAACGTCAGAGCCCAGATCTTAAATACACCTATTACCTTCAACAAATCAATTTAGCACAAAAGATAAGCTTTAAATATTTTCCCTTTACCACAAATGCCCTATTATATTTGAAACTATCTGAAACTATGTCTATGTAACCCTTACAGATTATAAATACTAGTAAGGCTAGCTGATGTTTTGCAGACAGGAAAAAATGTTACCTCAGAATGATTCCCATAAACAATTTTATGGTAAATAGCAATTAAAACAAGTTTATCAGAAGTTTTAATTGTATCAGGATAGTCTTATCAAACAGAAATTCCCATTCTACTGGGTACTACCATTAAACTTTTGATCAATGGACTTCATAAAACATATGCTGTACTTAAAGCTATTTGCAAAGAAATGCGGTGGACCAGCAGTTTCTTAACTTTTAATCAACAAGTATTTATTGATTCCTTAAGTTTGACTTTATTTATTTTATTAATTTACTTTGTGCAAAAAAGCAATTTCATTTAGTAACAAAATCTGAATGAGGAAGACAATGAAGAAAGACAAGGCTACAAAAGACCAGGAGAACAGCCTTAATTATGCCCACAGATTGCCAGATCAACCTCTTACCTACTAAATTAAAATTAAATTAAAAGAACTTAAAAGTTCTCATAAGAAGGAAAAAAACCTTGTAAGTATGTGAGAAGATGGATCTTGAGTAAACTACTACAGTAATCATTTTACAATACATCCAATCATTGTATTTTTTATATTATCCAGAACAGAATAATACCCTCAGGGTACTGCTCTACCACATCCAAACCAGCTTTATAATAACTACTACTTATCTAAAACCCACATTATGGTACACAAATAACTTTAACTTACTGGTTGATTTACCCCCAAAATTTGTGGAACAGAATGACCAAAATTTAAATCCTGACTTCACTTTCTACCTGTGTGCCCTTCAGCGAGGTACCTGACCTCTCTAAAGATCAGTTTTCTGATCTGTAAAAGAATAGTAACAATATCTACTATATAAAATGAGGCGACTTAAAAGCAAGAAAGCAAATAGGTTATGTGCACAGTGCATAGTACATTCATTCAGCACTTGATAAAATGGTACTTCTATTTTAAAATATAAATGAACCATTCAATGCGTGCATTAAAGTTTTCTTTTCAGAAACGAGAAAACTAGAACTCAGCGGGACTGAATAATTTGCCCAAGTTCACACAACCAGTAAACAGCACATCTAGGATGTGAATCCTAGTATGACCTACAGTAAAAGCCAGGTTTCTTTCTTACTCTACCTTATTTCCTTTGAATTGATGATGACTTTTTAGGGCATAAAAAAATGTAGACTTTGTTTAAAAAAAGGGGGGGGGGACTTAAAATCCCACTTGAATTAAGAGCTACCTGGGTCTGTTCAGATTTCGAGGAGAACCAAGGTGTGTGTGGTCCTCTGCAGTACAGTTTCTCATCCTAAGATTCTATTATAGGTGAGAGGAGTTAATACATGTACTGTTTCATAGTAAAAACTCAATAAATGCTAGTTATTATCAGCTATATGCTGCTGTAATAAATTTCAATTCCAATACCAGTTTATCAGTGAAATATAAATATAATATAAATACACAATAAAAATATTCAAATAAATGAACTATAAATAGCATCATCATGAAGTCTTTTACTTCTTTTTATTAAATAACTTTTCATCTTGGCAAGTAAGAAAATAAGTGGTAAATAAAAATGAGACAAAAAACAAAATTAAGAACATGCTGTGTATCTTACAGAGTTCTCTATATCTCTGATGACATGTTTATCAATACAGAACCAAACTTAGTTATATAAATATGATAAATACTTAACCAATCCTTACCTGAATGGAATACATTATAATTTTAAAGCAGTGAACTGCAAATTCATTGGGATCCCATAGTTTGTGATGGTCTAAATGCCTGTAATTAACAAGAAAATCACTTTAAGAACTCCTTTTTTTGTCCACTTTCTTCCTCTAGAACCCTTAACAATATGTAAAATTGTACCCTAGAATGTAGCACAGAGAAGCAAAGGAATGAACAATGTGTTAGAGAGCTTAAGAGCCATGAAGTAAAAAGGGAGAAGACCTAAAACACCTTTAGCAAGGGTTTCAGAAGAACAAAGATCAAATGAGAGTGAGCGCCATTTGAGGAGCCAATGACTGAGAATTTTTCTAATTAAAAACAACCAACCAAAGACCAAAACCCTAATCCTCAGGTTTAGAAATCCCATCAAGATAAAGAGATGGTTAACAGGAGTCCAAGAGGAGTAACAGCTCACCTCTAAAGGAAACAACTAGATTCACAGGTAACTCACCACGAGCAACAACAGAAGGCAGAAAAGAACAGAATAATACCCTCAGGGTACTGCTCTATTAATTCAGCTTAGTATTATATACCGAGCAAAACTTTCAATGTGGATAAAATAAAGACGTGCGATAAAGCAATTTCTGGAGCACTTATTTCAGGAAGAAAGAAATAAAAAAATGATTCCAGAATAAAGAACAGAAAGGCAAAAAGGAAAGCTGAGCAACGGAACTCAACAACATACACGTTAAAATACACACAAACACTGACTGAATAACATAATAATACCTAATTTGTGAAACTGAAAAACATACTAGCCGAAAGTAAACATTAAGACAAAATAATTCAACCTTGTATTCCTAAAGAAGAAAAAGAAAGCATTAAACTTTACACCAAAAAAAAAGGAACGTTAAACTTGAAATTTTATATAAAATGAATGTTACATTTCCTAAGAACTACACACAGAAGAATTATGCAAAAAAAAGTTTGTGATTTTAAAAACTGACAGCAAACTAGAAATAAGAGAATTTTCTTAAACCAGGTTTTCTATTTAAAAAATAAAAAAAAAAAACCTCAGCAAACACCATGCTCAGTGGTAAAATGGTATGGCAATCTTGAAAACTGGGGTCAAACCCCTGAACTCAAATGCCACTTAGTAACCGTCACTTTGGACAAATGATTTCACCTCTTGAATTTCAGTGTTCCTCTGTGTAAACTGGGGATGACACATTCCTTACAAGGCTGCTGGAATGACTAAACAAGAACTCATGTGAAAAACACCTCGCATAGTATATGGCACAGAACAGGTAATGAATGACAGCTTAATCTCAATCAGGTGTAGTATTTGTGGCCCTTCTCTACGTAATATGAATCATTTAAAATTATCACTTAAAACCGATGACTTAGCTCTGGCAGAATTTAAATTGTTTGGGTATCATAATTTCATTTTCTCCATTTATTTTGTCCTTATTTTAGTTCAGTTTTCAGGAAAGAATTGGCAAGTTTGGTTGAAAAATTCTTTTGGTTATAGCCTTTCAAGCCATTAGTCTATGTCCTGGCAGGTGTTTCTATATATTTAAATCTATAACTAAACGCACAGTGTTGCTTTAGGCTGTCTAGGACACAGAAGCAACACATCACTCCTGCCACTGGAGGGGAAAAAGCAAAGCAATGTTAAGGGTAATTCTGCTTGTTACCTTTGTAAGTTACCTTTGTAAGAAGAGCTCCAACCCACTGGCATGAGTAGCAGCCAGACTGCAATGAAACCAGGCAACAACTAGATACTATTTTTTCTAGCAGTTTAGTAGTAAGGGGAAAGGGAGAGGAAAAGAATTTCCAAATATAGGACCAGGGATTCTCAAATCATGTTTCTCAGACAACATACAACAAAATCACCTTGGGATTTGGTTAAAAACAGCAACAACCAGATTTCAGGGCTCTCTACTGTGCCCCAGTCCCAAGAACCGTGGGGCCAAAGATCTTACACATCCAGAGATTTGTAACTACAGTTAACTTCTGAAAACCACTACCCTGGACTTATATACACAATTTACTACTCCTACTATCTTTGCAAAACAGGTGGGGAGTTTCACTTTGAGGGGTCACTGATGCACAACAAGGAAGAAAAAGTAGAGCGACAAAGTCAACTGGGTGAGATCTTTGAAAGCAAAAAAAAATAAAATAATCACTTCTAAAAACAGAACTGGCGCAAAATATATACAGTTCAAACAAAAATTATTTTAATTCTATGGTATGGATGCTAGTGGGGGATCTATTTAAGCATAGTCAGACTTAGGGGTCAGATGAAGAATAAAATTTTCACCCCTTAAGCGTCCGCCTTCAGCTCAGGTCATAATCCCAGGGTCCTGAGATAGGAGTCCCACTTTGGGCTCTTTGCTCAGCGGAGAGCCTGCTTCTCCCTCTGCCTGCCACTCCCCCTGCTTGTGCTCACTCTCTCTCAATCTCTCCCTTTCTCTGGCAAATAAATAAAAATAAAATCTTAAAAAAATTTTTTTTCACCTTACTATTCCTTTCAGAAGAAAAACAATTTCACTCAGACTTTGAGAAAAAAGAAAATGCCTTATTTTTATAAAATATGCAAAATCATGGAGACACTGCGTAAGGACAAGCAAAATTTTCAATAATTTATAAAACATGTGACTTCAAAAAAACTTTCCAGTTTCTTACTTTAAGCTACTTCTAGACAACCAAAGGTCAAACGTAACAGTTCACTCTGTTGACTGTGGTAGAAACTTTAAGAAACATGAAGAGCTTTAATCTTTTATCACAGCTGTTAACATTCTACATCCAAATGTCTAATTTTGTCTCAAATGTCAAATTTTAATTTCAACAGGATTTTGTAAGTGTTGAGGAGTAGCTTAGGTATAAAAATTTCCTTATGAAATCTTTACAGGTCCAGAATCAATCAATGCAAAGAACTTCAAAGTTTAGAACTATGGGCCATAGCCTTTCATTTGTAAAACAGGAGTGACAGTACCTTCCCCGTACAGGGTAACTGTACTGTGCAGACTGAATGAGATAAAGCTAGCAAAATCACCAAGCACGGTGTCTGACAATGTACAACATCAACTTTAATCTCAATCTTTGTCTCTTTTTCCCTGCTACTCTGGCACCCCCAATTCTTGCCCCAGTATTCAACGAACACTGATGTTACGTCTGCTCTAAAAAGTCAGACTAAATTTTCTAGGTTCAAAACATTCAAAAAGGAATTGTGATAACTGAGTGACCATACCTTACTAAGATACATCTCTTAACTAAATGTATGGTACTTTAAACCTAATCTATTAAATTTCTCAAAAATTAAAATCTTGACCTGAACATATTCTGGTTAAAAAAAATCAGAACCATAATTTGTAAAACATGAAATAGGCAATCCTAATCCTAATAATCTAAAAAGAAATACCTTCAACTACATAAGAGTTAAAAATCTCTGCATATAAAAATTGCCATAAGGACACCTGGGTGGCTGAGTCAGTTGAGCATCTAACTCTTGATCTCAACTCAGGTCTCGATGCCAGGGTTATGAGTTCAGGCCCTACGTAGGCTCCACGATGGGCATGGAGCCTACTTAAGAAAAAAAAAGAGAAGAAAAGAAAGTAGAAAGAAAAAGCAAAACTATTTTACATAGGAAATGTATTATTAAAATCACATTTGCCTTCATGCTAATAATTTTTTCTTTCAATGCTAAATTAACTTTTTACGGTATATAAAAAAGTATGCAGTAAGAATAGTCTTTTCAATGACATATTAAGTAATTTTTTTAAGTAAAAATAAAAATGAAAACAGTGTTGCATACTTTGCAAAATTAGTATCTCACAGAAGTCTTCCTGTAGTAAGAAGGATTCGTCTCCTAACAAAAGCATTTTATTTCTAGTTAATGAAAAAAGTAGCTCTTAAGTAGGAAAACTTGCCTTGGGAAATTACTTGCAAAAAATGCTTTAGTTCGACACTAAAGTAGGTTTTTTATTTCAATCATTATTTCATCTAGTAAAGAAAATAAATGATTTAGTAGAAATTTTGAATATCATATTTTTAATAAACAGTGAACACAACAGGAAACATTTTTCAGTTATTTAAGAATAGTACATAAATAATGTTTTCCTAAAAAAAAAAAAAGAAGAAAACTGCAGGTTTAAACTAAAGTGAGTCGTTTAGCACTAAAAGAAGCTATAAAATCCCCTTAAATTAAATTGTACCACTACTCTTCTACAAAGTTCCAAATCCACTTTGCTGAAGCAGCAGAAAATTGAACTTTATTTACCTCTTCAAGCATGGTAGCAGTTATTTCTGGTTCTTGCACCTTTTTGTCGAGAATTTTATTATATAGTAATCTCCTAACATACCGGCCCTGGCTCAAACCCCTCCTCAGACCTCATCTGATTAACTTTCTCAAAGGGCAGTTCTGACCATTTCATAGCTTTGAGCTAAGATCCCCAATTCCTTACAGATTTAAATATAAAACTGTAAGATCTCTATGGTGTGGCTTGAACTACACCTTTCTCTCATCTTACACCAGCCCTTTAATTCTGACACTCCAGCCAATGGTGTCAACTAATCTCTGCTTCTCAAAGTCCACACTTCTCTGCCTCTGCTCATGCATCTCGACCAGCTAAAATCTACTTATCCACCTAACTATCAAAAAAGATCACCCCAATATCCCAAATTCGACTTCAATTCTTTGTTTTGAACTGCTATAGCTCTTTTGGCCTTTTCTCATAACCTATATATCGTATAATAATTATCGTGCATGTCAATTATCCATCAAAAGTTTGCTGAGGACTAGGACTGTTTTATTCATGTATATATTCTCCAAAATATCTTACATAGAGAGGGTATTTAATATTAAATAGCTAACATATAATTAAATGTTTAATTAACAACTAACACATGATCAAGATTTAAGTCTGTTAAGTTCTACATAGTAAAAAACATAGCCCACTTCAGGTTACCCAACTCAAGTAGAGTTAATTTAGTAGCTTCTTTCTTCCAGGATTGCTCTCTAGATTTTTAAGGCCTTATAGATTACCTCCCAGTTAATAAGAATATTAAGATAAAAACAGGAATTCTGAGTTATTAAATCAGCAGGTCTGGACACTGAACAATACGCCTGCCTTTAGTTATATCTTACATAATTTTGTTTATTTCCTTACTAACACTTCAATAAGCCCACAGTCATTAAACAGTAGATCTCAATTTGGGGGGAGAGGCGGAATGGGGGGGAATCATGGATCCCTTCGGAAACCTAATGATTCTCTGATTTTTAATATAATTTTGTGGCTTATAGACTCATATTAACTAAAGCTCAACTATGAACCCAAATATTTGCCTTAAATAAAGAATTCTGGGATACAGACTACTTTATATGCACTATAAAGACATTATTACAGTAGGGAAGGGAAAAGGATGAGGCAAATGATTAACAAAAACTAGTAAAAATGGCCAGAAATTACACAGAATTTTTTTTTTTTTTTTAAGATTTTATTTATTTATTTGACAGAGAGAGACACAGCGAGAGAGGGAACACAAGCAGGGGGAGTGGGAGAGGGAGAAGCAGGCTTCCTGCCAAGCAGAGAGCCCGATGTGGGGCTCGATCCCAGGACCCTGGGATCATGACCTGAGCCAAAGGCAGACGCTTAACGACTGAGCCACCCAGGCACCCCTACACAGAATATTATACAGTAGATCTATCACCTGATGATTGAGTTAGAACACAAAAGCTTGACAACAAGGCTTAAGAGAGAATATCTCTGTGGAGAAACTCAAAGTTCACAAATGTATTTTCCCTGAGGGGAGACCAGATGTACAATGAGATATTAAATACTCCTGCTCTGACCAGTCACAGATGTCAGGTGAAATTTAGAGAAGTGAACGTGCACCAAGGCAGTCCAACCACAGGAGAAAGCAAGCCAAGAAACAGAAGCCAGGGACTACGAGGAAATGACCACAGAACTTACTAAAATGATACACATCACACTTGGGCACTGTTTAATATTTTACTGTGCATACACATTTCAAGGTCTGAGAGTAGAAATTCACGATAAATGATGCACAGGATCTCATGCACCAGACTGTATTTCATTTTTAAGGGGAAAAAGCTGGTGCAGTGGTTGAAAAGTGCTCAAACACAGGATGTCGGACTCACTCCTATACTCTGCCCACAATGCTACACGTTCCACTAATAACACACTCATGCCAGCAAAAAGCGCCCTCTGTAAGGAAATGAACACAGCATCAATACAGCACAGTCACAAATAACCAGGAAAATACCAACTCCTTACGCAAAAACTGGTCTGACAGCATTATTCATGTTCCCAAAAGTCGCTCGTCCCAGCAGTTCTCTGAAACAGTTTTCGGCCAGCACAGCGGGATTCTCTTCTTTGTCGGCAGCAGAAGGGGAAGGAGGAGGACCTGTGCGACTGGGAACAAAAAGGGAAATGAAGAAAGCTGCACGCAAGAACTCTAACACCAGTTCTAACAGCTAACAGAACAGACGTGACTCTGCAGAAATGTTAAAACGTTCTTCTTTTCTTCCAAAATACCTAAGAATAAGAAACAAACACAGTCTAACCTTTTGTTTAAAAAAGTGAATAGCAATTATCATTATTATTTTGGTTAGTTCTAACTGCCTAAGAAAAAGCATCCTGGATCTCTAAAGAGTAACATATGTTCAGCTGTAATTTCTGTTTCTCACACTTGCAACTTTCAGTATTAATTCAAACAGCAATTTGGATGCTCAGTAACAAGCAGCAAGTGTACATTTATTCTAAAATAAATAAAACCCTAAATGTGTGAGTAAGAATCTGTGGTCTACTAAGCCTAAAGATGAATAATTTTTTCAGAAAGGGCACATATTTAAACTCACTCAAGTTTACGAGACCACTATTTATATAACACTAAGGACAAAACTTGCTTATCCTGTCAAGCAAGCACACATACACATATACAAAAGTAACACACCCTCAACCCTAGTATCTTTATTCCATACCTGTCAACCTCTTCTATCTTTTGCATGTTAAACAACAGGGATGGAACAATTTTATCCATATGCTGGGGTTCCCAAATGGTAGCCCGAAGTTCATCATTAACTGTTTTGCGAACCACTCCTTGAATACCCCTGATTCCAGCAATTCGGATTCTATAAAAAAGAAAAAACTGAGTCATGAAAAAGGTTATATAAACAAGTCTGCCTGTTTAGCTAAGAGAATGGATGCCAAGTGAATATTATTATCTCAATCAACAAAATGAAAATAACACAACAAGTCTAAGAAATTAGAATCTCAAAAATCTAAGATAGAGGTATGGCAGTTCCAAAAGAGATTTACTTTATGTTTTTGTTTTTTAGATTTTAATGTAATTGCTACCCCCTTGATGCAGGGCTCAACCTCAGACCCCAAGATCAAGAGTTGCATGCTCTACTGACTGAGCCAGCCAGGTGCCCCAAGATTTACTCTGAAAAACCATCTTTTTAAAATCAGCACTTAAAGTTTAAAGGGACTGTAAAGTATAATAATATCAAGTCTATGCATTATTTTTCAATAAAAAAGAATTTAATCAAAAGCATTAGGTTTTCCTAAGGGGATGATAATAGTTCAAACTGTTATGAACTAGAGTCTCCATTTCTTGCCTAGAAGTCTCAGAAGCTGAGTGAAAAAAGAATTTCACTCTTCTTGAACACCCTTCAGTGCTTCCTCAGACTTTTTCACTCTTTCTCCCCCAAGGACCTCTCACTTCCCACAGTCCACATAGATGGAAGACTAAGCTGGTTCCCATAAAGGTATTGTGACAAAGGAGAACTACCAAATGGGAGCACAGATAACCTCAGCCATTTTTAAACATACACACCCATGTATACTAACATATGTACACATCATGTATATGTGTGACTAAAATCTATCCACATAGGGAGAGACCCTCTCTTGCCCTATTGTCCCATCACAACCCACAACTTCCTCAAGCTATTCGCTCTTCTGCACTCTTCTTTTTTAAAAAGTCTGTATGTTCAAGAATGAGATGAAATATGATTAGAAAACAGCATATAAAAGGCGGGGAGGAAGAATCTCACAAGCAGAGCTAACTTGGTCACCCATTTGTCCCCAAACAACTTCCTTCTGGCCCAATTTGATTGTTATTTACTTCTTTTTTTGCTTCTACCGGAACTATTCACCAGTAGAGGTTTGTTTAGCTTACCCAGCCAAGTCTTCTGAAAGTTACAGGTTTTGAAGAATGCAAGATATGGGGAAGGGGGTGACTATGCTTTACAAACCCATGAGGACATAACACAGGCACTGAGGAATGGCAGATGGAGAAAAGGGTAACAGGATACTGAACAGGTAAGAAAGTGAACAGGAAACACAAAGACAGATTTTTGCCTATTTCAAAGCTGTGTCTATAAATTTCACCTTCTAAAACAAAGTCTCAAGAGACTCTTGTAGAGCTATCACAAGTGGGCAAGACTGGTATTACTATAATAGTGTCTGCTTTGTGTGCGTGCTGTTACTCCCTGGGTGATGAGAGGACCAAGCACAAAGTGGCAAACAGCACATGGACAAGATGCTACAAGAAGGGGGGAACTATCTATAGCTACTACAGATCAACACCTGGCATCCAATTCAGATCTAGATCTGGCCTAACCAATATATTCTACCCATGCCCTTAAAGGAATTTTACAGTTTCTTCATCAGTAAAATAGAACTTGTCTTGACTAAAGCACAGGAATGTTGTAGGGATCTAAATGAGTTAATGAGCTAATTCAATTACAGTGTTTACCCAGTAAGATGTTAAATAAATTGGCACACAATTACTCACTGTTAGCTGCTCCTGCTATTGTTAATCATTATTATGCTGATGATGATTGCTACCGTAACTGAAGGTTGCTTAGGAAATTAGAGCTTAAGATTATGATGTAGTACTTTACAGGTGGGAAGCATTTCTGCAGGGCAAATATGTTAAGAAAATCTTAAGTTTTCAGCCCCATTTCCTAGCGCCCTGAATTCTATTTGATACAGTTTTGCTAAGAATAAAGGGAATGATAAGTAACTAAGTTAGAACCTAAAAAGGAGTATTAATATGCCTGAAGAAAACCAAAAGGACTTTCACTTAAAACAAAGCAGGAAAAAAAAAAAAAAATCAAATCCTAAATCTTAAAAGCGTTTTGGCTTACTCATTTGTTTCACAGTGATTCAAACAAAATGTCATTTTGGAATTTCAAATATATAATTCTGGAAAGACCGAGAATTAGGAAAAAGTTCCATAAGGCTTTTCATTTTTATTTAGAAAATTTCAAGTTTCTTCTTATAAATATTAGTGAAAAATGTCAGGTAAAAATATGTTCAAAAGACAAGATCTTTCACTAGGGGGCAGTACATACCTAAAAATAAGACACTTAATGATTTTTGAATTTTTTTTTTTAAAGGTTTATTTATTTATTTGGGGGAGGTGGAGAATCCCCAAGCAGACTCCCCACTGAGCTTGGAGTCCGATGGAGGGCTCAACCCCAGGACCCTGAGATCATGACCTGGGCCAAAATCAAGAGTTGGCCACTTAACCGACTAAGCCACCCAGGTTCCCCTAAATTTTGAGCTTCTTAATGTATCCTTTCATAAATACTAGGATGTCACAAACACTTTTCACCTACACGGCTTTATATGTGAAACTCACTTCAACCAAAATTTGAGAAATGTCTGTATAGTTTACTAATCCTTATAATATTAAAGAAATACTACATTCTGCATATTTACCATATTTTAAAAGAAAACAAAATTGTCAAAATCTTTAAAAAAAAAAAACTATACTTTCTTTAGGTAATCTTTATACCTTTTTGCCCCATTAGTAAGTTAACATCAGCCTTTGAGGACAGGGACAATCTTTTTAAGATTTATATGAGAGAGAGAGAGCACACACGCGTGCGTGCAAGCCTGAAGAAGGGCAGAGGGAGAGGGAGAACTGCAAGCAGACTCCCTGCTGAGCACAGAGCTCCATGCGGCCAATCCCAGGACCCCGAGATCACAACCCATGCCAAAATCAAGAGTCAGACACTCAACCAACTGAGCTACCCAGGGGACCCAGAAGAGGGACAAATTTTATAAAACATTTTTTAAATGTTCCTTAGGGAGGGAAAAAAAAAAGATTTTAAACTGGAAAAAAGAGGAAATTAGCAAGACATTTATAGTTACCTCCACCATTCTAAGGCTCTACACTCATAATAAAGGAGTAACAGCGTAACTCTAAATGGCCAATACTAAGCTGAGGAAAAATTACACCTATGGCGTGTCAGGCAGTGTGTTTGTATCTGAAAACAACTAGTAAATCACGTCTCAGCTTTCTTTCTCCATGTTAAAATAACCTTTTACATTTGTTTTGGTTTTTATAAACCAAGCTACACTGTAGCTTGCACACTAAAAGCTACTTATATTTCTGTGCATTCCCTTATTTTAAAAGAAAACTAAAAATTACAAACATGCTAAATCTTGACTTTAAACTGCCTACAATAACTCTCTGAACTCAAGTTAGTTTCTTTCTTTTTAGTTGTAGTATCGTAAAATTCAAACTACTTTTTATTTACCAGATTCATTTTGATGTCAATTCTTAACTTTAAAGCTTCTCATTTCCACATAAATATCAACCTATAGACTGTGTTTGCAGGTAAGTATTTGATTACAGATTACTGGGAAGTATCCAGAAGAAATGTTTAAAAATACCCCAGTTGTTATGATAAACTCAGGCTGACAATGATTCAGTAATATTCTTTCATTCATTCAACTTATGTATGTATTCATAAAAGTACTTAAAAGTACTTATTGAGAGCCTACTATGTGCTCAGCACTATTCAAAGTACTAGTGATACACCAGTCCTCAAAACAAGGACGTTGTCCTCCTGGAGTTCATATTCCATAGAGGAACAAGAAACAGAGATGAGAAGAAGATAAAAGAGTAACTGGGGATGGGATGAGAGGCTGATACTCAATAAATAAAAGGGGACCAGTGGAAGACTCCCCTGAGAATGTGACATGTAAGCAGAGAGCTGAACAAGGTGAGGCAAAAAGCCCTGTGCATATCCGGGGAATCATTCTAGGCAGAAATCACTTAGTCCACAGGCCTTGAAGAACTGTGTCTGATGTGTTCAAGAACAGCAAGGAGACCACGTGGCTGGAAAGAGCAAAAAGAACAAGAAATGATAGGCCCACAGAATCTGACACTGGGGCAGAGGGAGCAGAAAGGGGCATTCCAGGTTACAGTAAAGACTAGGAATTTTAGTCTAAGTTGAGAAACCAGTCTCAGTTTGGCTACTTCAGCCAGTCCTTCTAAAGCAATAGAAAGACATATTTCAGGAAAGTGTATTTTCCCATTTCCTTTGGTAATCGTTATGTAATATACCATATTATGTATTATGGTAATCAAAACACAGTACTCATCAATAAACCGCTCTATGACTCTAAGTCATAGAGTAAGGAAGGGCGTCTAGGTGGCTCAGTCGGTTAAGCACCCGACTCTTGATCTCAGCACAGGTCTTGATCTCAGGGTCATGAGTTCAAGCCCTGGGTTGGGCTCCATGATGGGTGTGGAGCCTACAATAATAATAACTCATAGAGTAAAATAATACATACTCTGTTCGTATTTCTGGATCACTATGACAGGAATGACACATGGCACTGAAGCGAGATACAAAAAAGTCATAACGTCTGTGATAGGATGGTGTATCTTCTTCAATATTTGCAAATTTGACAAACTAAAAAAAAATATATAAACATGTTATCACCTTTTGGAAAGTCTGGAACACATTTCATCCATTATTTGTCACATTAACAAGAACTATCCAAATAAGCAGCAAATGAAACATACAAAATATCATAAACACTACACACATACAAAAGGAATTTTTTAATGAACTTGAGAAAATCAAGAATATAGCTTTATAAATATTAACTTTAACACTTTAATCCAGTTCCTTTTGAGTGTGCCCACTCTCTAGAAGGAAAGGTCTTACTCTAAAGCTCTTCTCCATTTCCTAGACACTGACCGTACTTCAATGATAACCTCAGGCCCAAACCTGCAGAAAATTTTATTCCTTAATCATGGCACCAAATCTTCTGACAGCTGTGACTTAACACACAAATGAGTAATATTTATACCAATAAGATGGGACATGGAAAGGAGACATAAACGGAAGGAAATGTACACTCAATAGAGAAGAAAAATACTGAGATGGTAAAATATATTCTACCTCCTTTCCAGATATAAAAAAGAGAGAAATATGTATGCATTTGGGAAGTTTTAAATACCCCACCTGTGTCACAGACCTGGCCCTGAGGCTCCTTATTATGTCTTTCTCATTAGCTTTCCGTTCACTCAGTGACGTGTTACTTCTGGTACAGCCTAACGGCATACTGTTACTTTACATGCAAATTTAAATATATAGAAACACCTGCCAGGATATATAGACTGATGGCTTGGAAGACTATAACCAAAAGAATTATTCAACCAAATTTACCAATACTTTCCTGAAAACTAAACTAAGGATAAAATCAATGTGAGAAAATGAAATTACGATACCAAAACAATTTAAATTAATTCCGCCAGAGCTAAGTCCTCAGTTTTAAATGATAATTTTATATGATTCGTATTATCTAGAAAAGGGCCACAAATACTACACTTGGTTGAGATTAAACTGACACTCATTACCTATTGTGTGCCATACACTGCGCTAAGTGTTTTCACACAATTTAATCAGTCCAATGGCCCTGTATCATTATCCCCAGTTTACAGATAGGAACCCTGAAATTCAAGAGGTGAAATCATTTGTCCCAAGTGACAGTAAGTGGTGGAACTGGCGTAAGAGTGCAGGGATTTGACTCCAACTGTCACGATTCCCATACTACGCACTGACCATGTGAAGTTTCAGAAAATATTAAACCAAGTATCTCTATTTTTCATAAAAATAAATCTTAACCGACTGAGCCACCCGGGTGCCCCGTCAAAAACTAATGATGTACTATATGTTGGCTAACCGAACATAAAAAAAAAAAAAAGACATGAAAAGTAAAACAGCCCAGGTAACAGTATGTCTTTTGAAAGCATCAGTTTGTGGAAAAACAAACAAACAAACAAGACAGAGATACTGTGAAATCATGAAGAACTGAATCTTCCAGAATCCCAGAGAAAAAATTAAAACTCACATTCTGTTGCAAAAAATAAATAAATAAGTAAATAAACCTTAAACTGTATCAGGAAATGCTCAAAAATGTAAATGGAAAAAACACACACACAAAAGTCTACCTAAAATATGTTCCTCACTTTCCAATATATATTAAAAAAAGAAAAATATTAAAAGATTACTTCTGGATATTGGAATTACAGATGTCTTGTTTACTCTTCCATGTTTTCTTGATTTTCCAAATGCACTACAAAAAGCATATTACTTTGAAATAAATCAGAAATGTTTTAAATGACCATCAAAATGTTAAATGTTCTGGAAAATTCTTAGAAGGAGAAACTTTATTCTCTTTTCACTTACTGAAAGTCACAAGTAAGAATACAGACCAAGTGATCGTTTACAGAAGGAGCTCCTATTGCCTCTGAGTATGAAGAACTTACTTAATGGCCAACAGATTTTCCGATGCTCCTTATGAATGGTTAGTATCACAGATTTCACAAGAAGCAACAGAAAAAGCTAGGGACAGTGTTCTTTTTTTTTTTTAAGATTTTATTTTTAAATAATCTCTATACCCCAAGTGGGGCTCAAACGCACAACCTCAAGAGCCAGCTGCATGCTTTGCTGACTGAATGAGCCAGGCACCCCAAGAGAGAGTGTTCTAATCACCTACATCTGCGTTGTCTGTCCACACGCCCTGAACAAAGCATTTGTTTTTATCGGGTAAAAACATTCTAAGAAGATATCAAGTCTAGATACGCTAATTAACCTGAAAGTTAGAGAACAGTTTTACTCACAGAATTTGTTCCAAGAACTTGAAGCTTTGGTTCCCCTGATTCTAGCAGCTTTGCTACCATATGAAGAAAGCTTTCTACAAATGGCTTGATGCTCTGAGAATGGCAAGCCATAAGAAGCTGGTCCAACGCCTCCATAGCAATTAAAACATACCTAAGTATAAGAGAAAAATAATGTCAAAGCATTTCTAGCTCTCCAAATTCTCTTAGGTGCTTTTTCATTGGAATAATTAAATGTAAATGCACAGAACAGAGAAAGGCAAATTTAGTAGTTCCTAAGTGAAATCTCACTTCTCACAAACACTAATGATCTCCGATTATATAATAACCCTCATGCTGAAGTATACAAAAACTATACTGTACTACCACCCCATTGTCTTCTCCTTTCCAAACTCTTCACAGCTTCTTTAATATTAGCTTTGTGTATATTTTTCTTTGGAAACATGGACATTTTCTATTTTCCAGGCTTCTAACCATCTATCTTTGTATCTGACCCAAAAGAGTTACTATAAGCAATGTGCCTAAGTTTCCAATATAATCTATTTGTATTTGTAAATATGAGTGTAAAAAACATTACCAGCAACAACAGAGTATCATAAGGAAACATCTCATAAATTTAACCTTACAATTCATCAGATTTTAAAGCTTATACTAAAAATTAAAATTGACTTTAGATAACTTTGTTTCAATAACCGTAAGACTCACTAAAATGTTCTAAGAGATAACCATATGGAAATAGGGAAAACCAGTATCACTTGAAGAATGGAGTACTTAAGAAATGAGGATCATAAAATGAATATGGAAAAGTACTGATAATCCAAATTATCCAAGTTACTACTGTTCAAGCATAATGAATGGAGTAAGATGGCAGATTTTTATTTATAGGTAGGTATATAGCTAGTGCAGGTCCAAATCAGCATGCTTACATTCTCTGGACCTTAATACCTAAGCCTAACGTTCTTTTTCATCATTCTACTGATAAATACACTAAGGGAGTCAATTTCTACTGTTTCCATTAAAGAAATATTAAAATACCAAAAATTAACGGATGCTTAGGCTAAATGCAACTCTGTTAACTCACGTGTCTATTCTTAAAACATGACCATCAGAAAAGTAATAAAAGCTGCAAACATCTATATGGTATACATTTCCTTGTAAAATATTACAATGTTTTATCCTCCACATATCATCTTTGCATGACTAGATGACAAAACAATGTACAGAATGATTTAGCTTAGGAAGAATTTTCAGAGATACAGTATTAGCAGCAATTAGTTTCCTTACCCAGAACGATGTCTGACAACATCCCTGCTCAACCTCTCTGCTAAGTAAGAACCAATTCGATCCAGTTTCTCTGGAGCAGATACCGCATAAAATGTCAGTTTCTCCATGTCCGCTTTAACAAGGCCATCCTAAAAATAAGAAGAACAGCAAGATAAATAGGCTATCTGTATTTTCATAGTTATTTTTTATTTCTAAGCGTTGTTTGCTTCACATGTCCCCATTTGGGATTCGTGATTAATCCATTATTTATGCTGAACCTTTCTGGCTATAACCTCCTTACCGTAAATATTCACCATTCTAGATATAGAATTTTCAGAAAGTTAAAGAAATGCCCCCATTTAGGCAGAATATTTAAATATACCTTCACAAGCAATGAATTATTCTAACACCTTCCTAAATAGAGAAACAGCTCAACTAAATGCAATACGTAGGGAGTGGGATGTATTTTAGTGAAAAGGTTTCAAACAAATTTATTTCAATTTTAAAATTTTACACTATGTTGTTAAGCCTATTTTACTCCTTTACATATACAACAGTGAACATGTTAAAATGATTCCAAACTTGCCGACAGCATTATAGAGCCTTCTTTTAATTAATAAATGAGAAGGTATTAAGAACTGCATGAATCTCTGTTTAGCCAACATATTAAGAATAAGAGGCCCCCAGTGTGGGATTGGCAAACTTTCATTTGTCTCTGCCCCCTAAAAGGTGACAGGCCATAGGTCTGACGGTACTCCCCACCCTCAGACAACAAATCAGTTATCAGCCTAAACGTTTTGGTCATATATAGTCCAAATAACTAAATGCTTTTTAGGATTGTTAGAGGAGGTGGGAAGGGAGACGGAAAAATTATGTTAAATGGTGAATCTACAACTAAAAATTTTATAAATCTACATTTTCAACTGTCCCCTCCACATTCTCTGGCTATTTTGTCATTCCATCGCCAACCTACTTTTTACCTACTCGTTTTTCCTCAAACTTGCTACTTTGCCGCCTCTCTTCCCTCTCTGACATCAAATGAGCTCCTCTCCTCCTCAGAGAAGATGGAAGTCACCAGATTAGAATTTACTGGCAAAAACAGCCCTGCTTTCTCAGTGCCCTCAGTGCCCTCCAGACCAGTGGTTTTCAACCAGGGTGACTTCATTTCCCCAGGGTAATGTCTGGAGACATTCTGGATTGTCACAGCTGGGCGGTGGGTGTACTGGCATCTGGGGTAGAGGCCTGGGATGCTAATAAACATCCCACAATGCACAGCATAACCCAACAGCAAAGAACTAACTGGATCAAAAGGTCAACAGAACCTGAATGAAGAAACCCTGCCCCTGCAAAGTGAAAGTGCCCTACTTTTGGAGGACTTGTCTTGGAGAAATCAGTTTGTCTATGTTCTTGCTGTTTGCTTCACATGGCCCAGGATCTGGCTCCATCAAGTTAGCCTCTCTCTTTCCTGGTTTTTTAACCTCTCCCTCTGTATTAGTTCCTCGACATCATTACTTAAATATGACTGCCTCTCACCCATTTTTTTTAATCCCTTACTAATTTTATTGAGGAATTATTTATACACAATAAACTATAATTTGAACTATGACAGTTGTGTATCTGTGAAACCACCACTAAAAAACAAGATGCAAACATTTCCATCATTGCAAAAGGTTCCTCATGCCCTCTGCAGTCCTTGTCTTCCTCTCCAGGCAATCACCACTCTGCTTTTCAGCATTATCAAAAGCAGCACACATCGACGGAATCATACAGTCTGTGCATGACTCCTCTCACTCAACTCACCTCTGCCTGGGGATGCTTCTCTAGCTCACCTGGTTAACTCCTGCTCATCCTGCAGGTCTCAATGCCCTCCAAAAAGCCTTCAGTGCAACCTCCCAACATCCCTTCAGAACTTGGGTGAGAGGCTCCTCCTATATGTTCCTTTAGCTCACTGTACTTATCTCTATTATATTTTATCATACTGTTTTTCAGTCATTAAGCAAATACTCATCAAGTGCTAACCATATGCCAGGCGCTGTCATTGACACTAGGGAAGAGAGGGTGAGCAAAGAATTGTATTAACTCATTTAATCCTCATGAGAACCTTATGAAATAGGAACTATTTATAATTTCCATTTCATGATGAGGAACTGAGGTACCTGCCCATGATCACAAGGCCAGTAATTATTAAAACATGGTTTGGTCCCCCTCACTAGATCACTCTTTGAGGGCCGGGACTATAACATGTAGACCTCTGTATACTGGGTAGTATGCCTGATCTATTTTGGCTATACTACATGATTTTTTATTGTTGGTCAATAAATTAAAAATAACAAATAAGGTCAAATGGGTTATGATTGCCACATGTATGCAAGGTTTATGTAAATTTTTTAAAATCTTATTTTACAGATCTCCATTTGAACAAATCTTATCTAAATACTCTGCAATCAATCAATCAATACCTGGCAAAAATATTCTTTCTATAACCATTCTCTCTGCCTGTCATCACTCCCATGGTCACAGGTGTTCAAGACTCCCTCACTGCCTAGGAATTAAAGTAGATAAAGGAGAAGCTTTGTCTGTCATTCACATTCCTCCATAATCTGGCCTCCACCAATGATCAGAACACTCAGTCTACTAAATGACATGACTGGAATTTCAAATCAGAAATCATGGTCAACATGATTATCACCCAATACCCTCTACAATGAGGCTATATAAACCTTTATTTGAAGGTTCTTAATCTCAAATGTACCCCTTGCTTTCTCTTGCACCCCTTTGCCTTTTCTCTGGAGGCCCCTCACTTGCAACAAAGAGACTAATCTCACTTCTCCAGATGGCACACATCCTTCAAAGCTCAGCAAATCTCCTCTCCTCCGAGAATGCTTCCCAGAGATTGCCAACCCACAGTAAAATCTCTCTGCTTTACGGGCAAAAACTTTTCCACCTGCTTTACTTAAAATTTTGCTGACTGACTTAGGCATTAGGATTTAATATTTAGTGTACTGTTGCTTTATGTCAGTCAACGGATGGAAAGCTACTAAAGGCAGGTACCATATCTTCTGGCTCAATCAGCCACAAAGTACCCAGGTATCTGGCAGCCAGTAGTATGTGACAAATTAGCCTCCTCTAAATGGCTGAATGTTTAAATCAAATTCGATTAAAAATAAATATTTCATATATCATGAAATATATAAATGCTAAGATAACCAAAAAGTTTCTATAATTGCCTATATTTTATTTTTTTGGTAAACTTTTTTTTTTTTTTTTTTAATTTTTAAGTAATCTCTACACCCAACATGGGACTCGAGCCTACAACCCTGTGATCAAAAGTCGCATGCTCTGTGGACTGAGCTAGCCAGGTGTCCCGGCTACATTTTAAAATAAAGCAATTAAGCCCATCTAACTTTTTTTTTGTTCATATCCACTTAACACTAGACTAAAGGGGTCTTGGAAAACTTAGGGACAGTGTCAAGCAAAATCAATCAAATCCAGTTGCTTTGAAAACAGTAATCTTCCATAATAAAGTGATGGTTATAAAAAATTCCCAAGCATTTAAGTAAAAAGAGAACTGCCTAGAATATTATTCCTTTACTTCCCACTTCTCTTCCGAAAATTGTGTGGCCAAACTATTTGCTCTTCAGATCTTAGCTTAGATTTCATTTCCTTAAGGTCCCTGTTCGCCAGGCCCACATTAGGCGTCATTCCGACCCAGTCCAGAAGTGCCCTGTGCGTCATCTCTCTATCATAGCATTCTTTCACACAATAGCATAATCGCCGATTTCCTTGTCTGTGAGCTCAGTGAGAGCAGAAAACCATGTCTGTGTTCACAGCTGTATTCTTAGCATTTTGTACAAATAATCTGGCACTAGCTCATAAATTTCTGAGAAGTATTACTTAGATATAGGAACTATCTAGGTAAGAGAACACCATCTGTCCATCATTCCAAATGTTTTGCTAATCTATGAAAAGGATCTGAAAATTGGACAAGCAAGCATGGGTCATTTAAAGGTAAAAAGAAAAAAGATGAATACGAAAATAGTAGTGTGCATGGTGAGATTTAGGGGTACAAGTAGAGAAATGAAACTAGGGAAACCTTAGGGAGGTCAGCGGGGGCAAGGATGGGTCAGCAAAGAGAAGGATCAGTAGGTGCAGGTCAAATTACTTTTGGGTCTTCGGGGAATATGTTGTCCACCAGGCGTTTGTAGCGAGGACGCAGAGCAGAGCAGCAGCAACCCACTCCTGTTCAAGAAAGAACAAAGTCACAAAGTGCAAAGATTACTCATCCTGTAAAACTGACCCAGAAATTCAGGTTTCTGAATAGTAATGAGTTATTTAAAATAAAAAGAAAAACCGCAAACTGGCGCCAACGGAAAACAGGAATGCGAATTCCGTTACTGACTAAGAAATGAAAAAATGTCCTCTCCCCTCCCCAAAGACACTACAGGTCAAAGTGAATACATTAATGAATTATTCCAAAGTCCCAAATCGAATCATTTAGGGGCCTGTGTGTGCGTGCGTGTATACACACACACCACCTACCAAATTCACCCTATAAATTATAGGCAAATACATAATCTCTAACCCCTTTGCTTCCTATCTAATCTTGTCTCCTACCACCTTCTGCATCCTCCAGACCCACATTCCCACTGCCTGGCCCAATCCACTCACAGCCCCAGCCACAGTGGTCTTGGAGGACGGTCTGTTCCATTGTGGCTGGTGGAAACAATTAATACGTGTACTTACATAATGCATCATATGAGGAACTACACTAGAGGGGGAAACAACCTCAAAGGAAAGTCCAGGAATTTCAAAAATCCTCAAAGGCTGCTCTATATAGTTTCAGGTGTTGGTGTCTTGGAAACAGCAATGGGCTGGCATGCAAAGTATCTGGGTTCATTCCAATTCTTTCACTTAAGTGACTACATGGCCTTGGGTAAAGCACATCAGCTATCTGGAAAGAACCATGTAAGTGAGAGCGATTAGTTTTCTTGTCCTGCAAACTAATAACAGGAATGCTGGTCTGGAACCACTATAAAATTATTCCCATGATTTATGAAACTGGAGTATGTGTGTCTCTGTGGAAGTGTGCATTTGCATGTATTTAGAAACCAAAATATGATATGAAAGACTGCTTGAGCTAGAAATTAAAAGAACTCAGATCTAAGCAGACTACTATCTCACAGAGTAAGGTTATGCAAGAGACAACTTCTCCAGATCTCCCTTTGCTCATGAAGTATGCACATTTATGCACGCATTCATATACCAAGTGTCAACCGATCACCCAGCACTGGCCAAAACAAGTAAGACTGAGTCCAGATTTGCAGTGAAGCAGAGTCAATAAAGTGATAAGAACAAGGGAGACTTAAGATTTGTACAGTACCTTTAGTGATCACAGAGCACTGTGCATATATAATAACATTTCTAGTAACCTAGTGAAGTATTACTACCATTATCTTACAGGAGTGGGAAGTGCAGCAGAACTGACCAAGTAACTTACTCAACAGCAATGGCTGGGTGAGAATCCAGGGTCTAATTCTGTAACCCCATGCTCTTCCCACAGCACCACAGGTACTAGTGGTCAAATCAGTCAACACCCAAGTATTTCATCTGTACCGATTATGTGCCTAAGACCATGCTAGATGCCACAGATACAAGAAAGTATAAGAGACAAGATCCCTGTCCTTGAGTTTATAAACTTACATATAAAAAAAATAGTGAGGGGCGTCTGGGTGGCTCAGTCGTTAAGTATCTGCCTTCGGCTCAGGTCATGATCCCAGGGTCCTGGGATCGAGCCCCGCATCGGGCTCCCTGCTCAGCGGGAAGCCTGCTTCTCCCTCTCCCACTCCCCCTGCTTGTGTTCCCTCTCTCGCTGTCTTCTCTGTCAAGTAAATAAATAAAATCTTTAAAAAAAAAAAATAGTGAATTAATTTCAGCAATATATACTTGGCACTATGTGCTGATAATATAAAATGCTCTCTATTGTTCAGGATGTTTTCTACTTTAACAGAAGAAAAAAAATTCCAAAGAGTTCATTGAGGAATTTTTCAGATTAATGAACACCAAAACACCTGAACTTTTTTAGAATCCAAAAGTAAACACTGGTCCTATTACTAGAGGAAAAGAAGGGGGGGAGGAGAGAGAGGGAAAAGCCAAGTAAGCAAAAGTCGTTTTCTCTGTCTACTACAACCAGTATAAAAATACTTCAGATAAATATTAATACACTGAAATAAACTAAAATCAAATATGTTCTGAGTGGTTATTATGCAGAGCACCAAGCTAGGTAATGGTAATGATGAAAAAAGCTTGCAACCTGATAAGAAGATTAAGATGAATACTCTGCTTACACTAATGCAAGGCCAAATATAGTACACTCAAATTGCTATCACGGCAAAGAGACCAGCAAGGGACTGAGAAACAAGTCTTAACTGCTTCAAGTTCCCTGTCAAAATGGTAAATTATGTTATTTTCAATAAGAAAAGATTCTTAATAGCTATTATGTTTCACTTACATTGACACTTTGGGATGTCATACATTGCTTTTAAAGAGGTTTTAGAAAAGATATGAACTTGGAATACACACCATATGCAGCTCCTACTTTCAGAAAGCTTAGATCTACTGAGAGAAACAGGAGTGAAGAGGAAAATGACACACAGGCAGCATGCGGTTAAAGGGAGGGCGCTGGAGTCAGGCCAGGGGTGACCCCAAGGTCTCTTGCTGTCCAGCTGGGTGGGCAGGTTACTTTATCTTACTACGCCCATGTCTCCTCATCAGTTAAATGGTATAATAATGCCTTCTTTGTACTTACTGGGAAAATTAAAAATGAAAAGAGTACAACATATAGCAAGCATTCAATAAAATAGTAGCTACAGTAATACAATAAAAGAAGTACTACAAGGGGTAAGCAGAAGGTGCTTGAGGGCCCTAGGGATAATTTTCCTGACAGTATGAAAACCTTTGCTGTAAACTAATCTTTAAAAATCACACCTAAAAACTAATGTAACATTGTATGCCAACTATACTTGAATAAAAAAAAAACCACAACAAATTCTGTATATGGTTCACAATAAGTTTTCAGAAACAGTATCAGTACCAGTTTGGGGCGGGGCCGGGGGGGTAGTGAAATGTTACTTTCTGAGCACGACCTGTGCAGCATTATACTAAGTATTTTCCAACATTCCTCACTCCTACACCAACTCTCTGAAGCAGGTACCATCATCTCCCTCTGATAAATGGGGAACAGGCTTAGGGAGGCCATCTGTCCAATATCACGCAGCTGGTAAGGAGCACAGTGGAGCCGAGTCCAGCCCAGACTGGATGACTTCACAGGGTAACTGCCATATGACATGCAAGCACAAGACAATTTTTTTTTTTAAAGATTTTATTTATTTGAGACAGAGAGAATGAGAGAGAGAGAGAGCACATGAGAGGGGGGAGGGTCAGAGGGAGAAGCAGACTCCCTGCTGAGCAGGGAGCCCGATGCGGGACTCGATCCCGGGACTCCAGGATCATGACCTGAGCCGAAGGCAGTCACTTAACCGACTGAGCCACCCAGGCGCCCAGGACAACACAATTTTTAACCTAAACATTTTAGCTCTCCACAAACCATGACCAATGACCATGACTGCAGGAGTGAGTCTGACTCACAGACTAGGAATGCACTACCATGCAGGGAAGTAAATGATCACAGTGCGTTTCTCCAGAAAACCCAAAATGAAACAGGAACACCTTCTTGACTACTTATTATGAATGAAAAGCTACCAACTACAGAGAAGATAAATGCAACCAGAATTAAAATTTTTCAATTTACTGAGATTTCATATTGATGATAACATAAGGTTAAAATGACCGTGGCATCAGTAATCACGAAAGAAACACTATTAACTACTTTACAGAAGAGAATACTGTACTTGTAAACATCACAAGAACAAGTAAAATGAAGTCACTGGACCTACTCAGCCACAGAAATGGGGTTGATTCCCTTGTCGAAGTCAATTCATAGGGCTTGTCGAGTTCTGCTGCAGGAACTTGAATGTAGTCTTTCATGTTGTAAGAGACTATTTTCTAGTCGATCTTCCTGCTTTTAGATCCTTTTCCTACTGCTCAGGAAGTGCCTAGGGCACTTCACTTGTAATTAATTAGCAGAGGGTACTAATGGACTGTAACTTATCTAACTGGTTGCTGACATCAAGTGTAAAGCTATCAAGAACTTGATAATATCCATATCAAATTCTGCTGCCAAGACCAAAGACCTTAAACAAGATACTACAAAAGTGCATGTTGCTAGTTTAATAAAAGCAGATTTCAACAGTTTAATAACATGGGAAAATAAAGCTACTTACACCTTTTTTCCTGAAAGCATTCCTTCAATTCCTCCTCATCCTTGCTTCTAATCCCTTCCAACAAACTCATTTGAGCCCCAGACCACCTTATTTTTGAGCCCTTCCCAACTCTCTCTTTCCAAAGGACTAAGCATATCACAGAATGCCTCAAGCAACCGGCAAGTCTGGGCAATCGATAGGAATTCTTCCATTACATTTAATTCTAGTACATAAGGAGAAGGGAGTCCACTATTCTCCTGGAGCGGGTGGAACTCAGAGCTTTGCTTATGATATGCCATTACAAACAAGTCCCAAGTGGGATAACTATAGAAAAATGGAACACGGGCACAGGTGGAAACAGAAAAATTGACCCCAAAAAAGTACCAAGCTACATATTATAGCAGTGTTCAGGCAGGCCCATGGAGCACTCTGATTAATGGGCTTTCTGAGTACTACACCTCCCTACCCACCTCTCAGGGTTAGGGGTTCTAAATCCATATAGATATACACAGTGCCTACAATGTAAAAGTCATGTAACATATTTTTTAAGCAAATTTTGCATATTCCCAAATTACAATTTCTTCTTTAAAGACACCCCAAGACAATTTCTTCTCCTTAGCTCTCCTACCATCATTCTCATAGGGATTCACCAGTGTCTCCGGGTCCTCATCTCAGGCAGAAATGAGCTGTATTGACCTCTGGCAGCCTCCTTCTTCTTTGATGGTGAGGTGTTAAAATTAATTTCCAACCCACCCTGGCCCACAGAGGCATTCGTAGAAGGACCTGAGTAGCTGCACAGAAAACCTCATAGTTGAAATGAAAGTGAAATGAATCAGGCACATGAGCAAAGGTGCTGGGAGAAATCTGCTTAATGGGCCAGTAGTCTAAGTGGTTGGCCCCCCGGGGAGTACTTCTAGTTTG